TAAAAATGATAACTTCGTCAAGGTGGTAGGGATTGCCATAGACCAAATTTTGACGTTGAAGAAAACATTGAAACGACCTGCTCCTAAATCGGTCAAGGAAAGATCGAGAGTAAAAAAGGTAATCAATTGCTTATGAAATATGTTTATTTTCGTTGTTCTGGAATCGAGGATGAAATCAATGGTAAATTTGAAGAACAAGTGAAAATATTGGAAAAGGCTCGTAAGTGTTTATTAGAGTTCGCTGCTTTATTTAATGTAATTAAATTTGATGTACCTGAAGATGTTTTGGAGTTCATAATTTCCGAACACAATCAGATTTATTGTGGTTCTAAATATGTAAGTTAATATAAAGTATGAATAATACGTTATGGTTGTTTCGTATTCGATGTGCTTTAAATGCAAAATTGTGCTTATTGTTTTATTGATTATTGTTACGAAAGAGGGACCTTTCGTCTAGAGGACGAGGGTGATGTAACAAAATTATTGATCTTCACTTATTGTTGTGTCTACAACGTTACTATGATGATGACCATGAATATCATGGTCATCAATGATTGTCACGAATGAACTTATTGATTTAATAATTAATAGAATGTTCTAGAAGGTGATCATGATGTACTGATCATGATCACCTTCGTTATCATTGTATCCATACATTGATACATTGTATCTTTTAATCAGTCCCACTTCCCTCTTCCCTTAGTCAACATTAAAGTCTAAGTCTTTTATAATAATTGTGGTTATTATTTAATATTAGTTAATATTGTGTTAATTAATAAGGTGAATAAAGAAACTTCGTTTCATAGTAGTAAGTTTATAACTTGACTTGAATTATTAAAATCTATACTATATATTTCAACTCTTATTTCTTATAGTTATTCATGCTAATGCCAATGCGATTCTTCAAAGTTTTTCTTTTTCTTTTAAAGTTTTTAAAGTTTAACATTTAAAGTGATCAATGGAGACGTCATAAATTCGATGATAGTGAAAACTTAAAGATTGATTAGAATCTAATCATTGGTTCAACGAAATATCAAAAATTTGCCATGACCATTGTCTACCCATTATATAAAAAAGTAGACAAAATCAGTATTCATCGACATAGTGAAAAAAGCAAAGGTGATCAAAACGCAGGTCTTCATGCAATATCTATAATTAAAACATTGGATAATTTTGTAGAGATCAATAATAATGATATATCCACATCACTGCGAGAATATAGCAATGTAAGATCAAAGGTCATGATCTTTTACCAAAAAGCAATGGAGTAGTTGAGTGCTAAAATTCCATAAAAATTGATGAACAAATTTTCACAAACTTTTCATAATTTACTTAAACCAATAGATGTACCTGAGCTTGTTGATCTTGCTTGTAACTGTTTATTATTTGGATTTATTGATATTTACTAATAATGAAGATAATCATTCAATAAAAGAAAAACTTATTGTTTTAATAATTGATCATTTAGAGGAATCATCAATATTGATAGAAAAATTAGTTCGAGATTTAGCAGAGTTTATCACAAAGTTTCCATAAGCAGCTGGTTTCAATTGAGTAATCATTTATTCAATTTCATTTTCATCATTACCTGAACCTAATTAAAAAGACATGAGAGTAAATGAATTTGACAATTTAGATATAAATTTTTGGTACCGGTAATTGGTAGCAAAAACAATTTTCAAAATTGTCGAACTCATTTACTCTCATGTCTTTTGATTAGTTAATTAGATTTGGTTAAACAAATAGAATCAAGTAGATGATTAGTTGATTAGATAATTGTAGAGAGTTAGATTAATTGTTTGTCTTAAAAAAACCAGCGCCTCTGATGCACTTCTACAAGAAATTTTGTCCTTTTATATTTTTAAACATAACTAAACTATTACCTTTACTCACAATAATCATAAAATTGGTTTACCAATACAAATTAAAGAGACAATCTGAAAAAATCTAAGCAAAAACAGTAAAAACAATTGGCATTGAGTCTACCTGGAAAAATATTTATTTACATCAAATTTTCTCAATTTCAATTTTGATCCAATTGTACTGGGCTTATACCCAGTACCATTAGTACCATGGGCCCATTAGCTAATAAGCCATGAATTTTGATTCGATTTTGTTATCGCTTTCGATGCGCAATAAATGCGATATAAATTTACCGTCATTTCCCTTTGCTGTATTGTTAGGTATTAATCCGCACTTCCTAAACCCTATTGGTAATCGACGATTGGTAACAATTTACCTTTGGATTAACTTTAGTTCCTTTTCTTCTTCCAATTATCATTTTGATTTTAATCATTTTTCTTTATTTTAATCTTATAAAAAATGACAATTAGACCTATCAACCTTAATAATGGGTTAATTCTGTTTTAATCATTTAATCATCTAAAGATAACCTTATGAGGAAAGTATATCTTCTGTTTAGCTTGATTAAGCTAACGTACATGTATTTATGTTTCTTTTTGATTTACTTTGTGTTACGGAAAAAATTCCGTAACGAGAGTTTCAATGAGAGTAACTGATTGAGACTCTTTGACGATGGTCGTGCCAAAGAAAATCTGTTTATTTGTTTTGTTTTTACCCTTTATATACTACATTTTTTGTTTCTAATCTAAAGAAATTATGATTCCTTTTTAAAGGTTAATTGGTTTGACGAGATAAGGGAGAAGATATACTGAAAGGAAACGGATAGAGAAGGATAAAGAGAAGGTATTGTAATAAATGAGCAAGAGAGAGAGATAAGAAGTATCATAATCTTGGGATTATACAAGGGGAATTAAGGTAATTAATTAATTAATTAAAGGTTAACAGATCAGGAGAGGGGAATTTCTGGTGTACATTAACTCTTTTGGTTGTTAGGTTGATTAAAGGTGTTAGTCTTTGTTTATTTTGTGACATGTCCCCCACTTGATGGATAACCGTCTCGGTTATTTAAAGGTTTTTAATTGTATCGTCGAAGTTTTGTATTAAGACCTCGAAATTCGCGTTTTTCACTTCAATTGATAATTCATTCGATAATTTTAACCAATTGGCTCTGGCTAATTCCATGTATCTCTTTGATTTGAATTCGTTCACTTCTTTTTTGGTGTAATGCAGGTGTAGCAAGCGATAATAGTAGTATGATCTCATCGTGTCATATAACGGAATCATTTGTTTATTTTTTTCTTTTATTGATTTAGGAGAAGGTTTGTTAGCTTTCCTTTGATATTCACCTTTCATTTGAGTCGCCCAGATAAGTAGTTCTCTTAATGTTTCTTCCATCTTTTAATTTGTATATAATTGATTAAAAGTTTTATTCATAAGTTTTTTTTTGAATTAGAGAGAAATTGATTATTATTTCACAGAACCCGTTCGCTTTTTTGGCTCACTGTTGAGAAGGTTATTGCCAGAGGAGAGTTGACTGTAGGTAAACAATGTGTTCAAGTTTCTTCTAGTTTATTGTCGATTGGAAAACTTAATGAATTAATTTTTACCAAGATTTTTTTAATGGTATTTGTGATGGGAAAGAACTTGATTATTAGTTGGGTTAACTTACGAGGTGGTTGTAAGCGTTGATTTATCGTTGTTTGATTAAATTTTCGATGAACTGATAATTTTGATGTTTGGTAATTATCACTTAATAGGTAACTTATTTGGTTAGAATTATACTTCGAGGGTTAACTGGTTGTTGATTAGGTCACTTGGTTGAAATAAAAACTAATGAAATTTTTCACTCTCATTAAAACTCGGGACTAATAGTCCTCATCGTGGGCTCCATTTGTTACGGAAAAATTCCGTAACGAGAGTTTCAATGAGAGTAACTGATTGAGACTCTTTGACGATGGTCGTGCCAAAGAAAATCTGTTTATTTGTTTTGTTTTTACCCTTTATATACTACATTTTTTGTTTCTAATCTAAAGAAATTATGATTCCTTTTTAAAGGTTAATTGGTTTGACGAGATAAGGGAGAAGATATACTGAAAGGAAACGGATAGAGAAGGATAAAGAGAAGGTATTGTAATAAATGAGCAAGAGAGAGAGATAAGAAGTATCATAATCTTGGGATTATACAAGGGGAATTAAGGTAATTAATTAATTAATTAAAGGTTAACAGATCAGGAGAGGGGAATTTCTGGTGTACATTAACTCTTTTGGTTGTTAGGTTGATTAAAGGTGTTAGTCTTTGTTTATTTTGTGACACTTTGTAAACCTAAAGGCGCCATTTCTTATTTTAAATTTTGTTCTTTTCTAAATGCTTTCCCCCCATTTAGAGTCTATTGATACATTGATTTAACCATAGTGTTAATCAGTTAGAGTTTTACTTTGAAACTGTTCGTTTCTAATTCTAATTCAATTAATAAAATCCATTTCATTGATTAATCTGTGCGCTTAATTACGGTCCTAAAAGTACAGTACTTGTAAGATTAGATTGTGAAGGACTAATCGCTCTTCTGTGTTCGTGAATTAATCAATAGATAAATTGTGAAACTCTAGCGAGACTCGGTAAAGTTCAGCCTATTGGTAAATGAACTCCCCTGTTTCAATAGAAACACCAAGTTACTCAGTCAATTCTCAAAATCTTCCCTTCAATATGTAACCATGAAAATCTAAATGATATTCTTGAAGATAGATGGCATCCATTGGACTATCATGAAATTCATGATAGATTTCTGTTCTGTTCAGATGAGAGAAGAATTTGAACTTTCATTCTTTTGGGTATGATTCTCTCTCATCTCTTTTTCCATGATCAGTTGAATATCAGTGTTAAGTTGATGACAGTTTCTTGTTTCTCATCATGAAGATAATCATTTTTCATCTTGAATCTCTCAATAATTTTTCATGAAATCTATTCAATTCTATGAACAGATAACCTAGAAAACAAAATACATTCTACAAAAGTGTTTACCATTTTCGCAACAATCAACTGAACTCTTTCTAAGAGTAAATATAAATAACATTTCAAGTTCGAGACTTTAAATTGAATATTATTGCTTATTGATCTCATTTTAATTGTCCAATTCCAGGCTGATTATCAGGATGATCCAGTGACCTACTACTCGGACGATGATATGGTCATGAAAAGAAAAGGTAACATCCCTTTTGGTGGATTGCGAAGTAAAAAAGGTCATCCAATATATTCCCGTGAAGATATTCGTGAACAGTATTGTATTAATCGTAAGGAACTTCAAGTTTTCGAGGATAACATTTACCATCAGCGAGGATTATTTGGATGCCTATCAACCTCTCACCTTCCAGACAACAGTCCATGTAAGAATTCATACCTTTTCTCATGTATGCAAAAAGGAAAATGTTCAACTGATTTGGAACCAGAAGATTCATTTCGGTAAGTTGAGATATTATCTTATACTTTTCTCCCTGAAATTTTATTAACCTTCATGGAAACAAAAAGAGTAAATGTAATTTTCTGCAAACAACAATCATGTTAATGGAGAAGATAAATTGATCATTCACTCAGAATACTCATAAGATTTTGCAGAGATAACATTTTGTTCACAATTACCATGAATACTATTACCATTATCAGAATGGAAAAATGTTTCTAGTAATTATCATGATGAGAATAATTTATTCACATAATTTTACTTAATATAAATCATCATGTTAATGATTATCTAATATTATTGAGAGATAAAAGATTCAAAATTAGTTCATTTTCCAAGTAAACCAGAACTTTCAGTTTATATTCATCAAGGTGTCCCAATTGATGGTGTTTAATTTGTATCATCATCATCATCATCAGAGCCTCTCCCAGTTATCAACCATCTTTCTCAATCTAATGATGTAGATTTAACTGAAAAAAAAGTTTCCACTCCCACCTCCCGATTGATGATTTAACATATTCAGAGTGATGAAAATTTCTCACTCCCAGAACCATCACTCCGATGGACTGATAAAACAACATGATAATATGATGAATAATCTTCATGATGTCTATTGAGACTGAAAATTCAGTTGTTATCCTTGAGAATTACCTGATTTACTTCATCTCTCTCATATTATATTAATACTAATAGAAAGATGATATTTCCATTTACAATATTGATCTGGTTCTGATTTTCATCTTGAACTTTCACAAATGTTTCACCCATAAAGAATACACCATGTATTCATTATAACTTGATTCAGTTTTCATCTTTAATCTGTGATTTTTTGCTCTCTATCCAATGATTGCTTATTATTACACCGATGGTATTAACCTTTGATAGGATGAAGGTTAATAACATGATACGTTGTGAATCTATCAGATGGAATCCATTTATTATGATTATATCTCATCTTTTATCTTTCTCGTTATTTTTTTTGCTCCTATCACCATGAACATGAAACATTCTGATGATGATTCTCATAAAGATTTCAAGCTGACCAAGAAAATGCTAACATCATTAAGATGGTGAAAAAAACCTTTATTCAGTAATGATATTGTTACATGAAGAAAATGTGATGACACCAAATGATAATAATGTATCTTCATCGTGTTGTAGTTGATTTCTTGTTCTAATCATCATGATTTTCATCCATATTAATTCATTTACTGAATATCGTTCATGGTGGGAAAAAAGGAGAGATTCTATCTGTTCAACTATTCTGAATGAATCGTTATTCATTTAGCTATTGAAAGCTTAAGTAATAATAATACCCTGAAGAAAGTGATGGAAACTAATTAATAGTAGAAAAAAAAAGTTATCACTTTCATCATTTTTCATGTTAAACTCATGAAAACTTGGAAACTTTCATCTATCAAAAAGGTTGAATATTAATGGAAAAAGGATAATTAATAGAGTATCAAGTTTGCTAGTTAATTAGTTGTTGCAATTGTTTAATATCGTTAAATTGTTTGCTTATTATTTTCCATCTCTTTGATATCATGTTTACAATTAGAACTTGAAATTCATTCAATTACATGGAATATGAATTGTTTCAATGTGAGAACTTTTTGTCGACTGTTAATATTTCGATTAACATTTGGACATTTTCTTCATCTTTTTTCTCGATTATAATTAAAAATATAATATTTACATTCAATTCTCCTGAGAATCATTTCCTATTTACTTCTTATGTCCAGTTTTCTCATGGTGGTCAAAATGTTATTCCCAGTTATCATTATTTATTTTCATCATTCCTATCATCATCATCATCATGATTCTGTCTTTTACAATTAAAGTTAATCACTTTCGGCTATGAGGAAAGGTTATTATTTGGTTATCCTTTTGATTTGTGAATGAAATGTAGCAACAATTAATTGATTGTGAAAAGTTAACAGAATTACATTGAAAGAGAAGCAAAAAATTGACATTAGATACTTTGTAAGCTTTATCGATCACAAATGAATGATAATTAGATTTGATTTTTGTTTAATTTATTAAAGTGATTAAACTTGATAATATTTCAAATATTTTACCAATATCAGTTTACCGAAAATGTAATCAAATCTAATTGAAAATTAATCTGATTACTTGGTAGCAATAGTTTCAAATTATCATATAAATTAGGTAACAAATGGAATCTAATTATAAGATGATAATAATAATAAATTCAATATGAGTGGGCGAAAATCGAGCTCAGGTTTCATCATGTAATAGCCTCATGATATTTCAATGGGTCTAATCAACTTACAAAATTTTAGTTAATTGAATAAATAATTTGCTTCAGGTTAAAGTTGACTGCTAATTAATGAGAATTGGGGTTTATTTAAATGATTAATCTCCGGGATTAACTTTGAAAGTTGATCAGTTGAGAACTTTTATCAGAATTCAAATTGTTTAAAATTCCAAAATTCTGAATATTCTGATCAATTCAGTTTATTTTGAAATCTAGACAAGTTTGAATGAAAAATTTATCACCAATAAATGTGAACATTATGATTCAGTTCATCTGTTTATCTCAAAGTTTCAGTTTTGTCTGAATCGATATAAACTCAAATATTGAACAGGGAAAATATTTCAAATGTTACATGGAAAAGTATTATTATTATTGGTCCATTGGACATTGGTCATTTTTAGATATACAATTCACCACAAAATACTACTCCTCCTATTATATTTTCATTGAAATCAGGGAAAAATTATCATGGTTATTGAAACATTTTCCTTATCCTTTTTTCTGGTTAATATTTGAAAGATATGAAATAATAATCTCCATGTTATTATGATTGTAATAATATTAATTTTTTATTACATTTTAATGTATTTTTTTGACTTTTGTTTCAATTTTTGATTGGTTTTTTATTTATATTTTATCATAGAAATCGGGTTATTGGAAATGAAAGTAAAAGTTCATCGGCTCGTCGATATCGGCATTCTCGAGGTAATGATTATGATGATGAAAATGTGAATGACGAAGATGAAGATTCTGATGGTGGGTTTAAAAGACGACCTAAACCTCGAACTTGTGCTCTTCTTGAACAATCCAAAAGTTCTTGGTCAGCTCACCATCATCATGGTAAAGTTTCATCTTCATCCGGAAGTGGAGGAGGTTCAGGCTCGTCGACAAATTTCAAGGCATTTGAACGATATCCAATTTCGTCCAAAACCAATACATCACAACCTTGTGGTAAATATCAAATTGATTAGTTAATTATTGAGTTTCTCTTTTTGGTTCTAATTGTACAATTAATTTCATTTCCCGTTTTTCCAGAACTTAATTATGTCTCCGGATACAAGTTAAACTACAAGCAAATTGTTTCAAGTAATCGTCCTAATGTACTCGAGTTTAAAATATCCAAGGTGAGCATTAGTTATTGAATAAATTACAGAGCAATTCAGCCACTTTTTTGATATTCTTTTCACGATTACTCAAAAACTACGCGAGCGATAAGGTCCATATTTTGTCTAAGGAAGTTTGACAGATACTCAACTATCATATTTCAAGGTCGTAAAGGTTATTCGTTAAGGTTATGGTTATTGAGTAATCGTAAAAAGAAAACCAACAAAGTGACTGTATTTAAATTTCTAATCATTGTCAATTGATAATTAAAGGATCTTCCTGGTTCCTATTCATCAACGAGTAAAAGTGTTGATGAATTAAATGCAAATAGTTCATTGGATTCATGGTCAGCCAGATCTTCAGCCTTACGTCCATCATCAACAATAAATCATCCACAATCAACTGATTATCATCAGAATCAGTGTCACCCTGGATACGATGGACAGCAACCCCAACAACCAATTCGAGATGAAAGGACGAAACATGTTAGTTTTGATTGTTCTAATTTAATTCGTTCGAATACAGTTTCGGCTGGACTTGAAGCATCTTCCCCACCCTCATCATCAGCATTATCTTCAATCTTATCAGGACTTCCTCAGCCTTTATCTTCCTCCCTGTCATCACATCATTTCCACCATGCAGCAGAATCCTCACCTTCACAATTTCATCGATTATATAGTTTATCCTCTACAACCACAACCACTACTCAAATCGATGCTGCTTTTTTAAACCAACTATCACCTGATTCAATTAATCCAATTAATCCTCCTCACAATCCTTGTCAAAATTATCACCATCAACAGGTAAATCAATTCAATTCGAATGCTCTTTGTGCCCAATCTCAGGAAAGGTTGATCACTGGTTCCTTTAAATCAATTGAAAAATGTGATTCAATTATGAGAAATTTAAATTCCTCTTCATTATTAGCTAATCAATCACTTCAACAATTAAACCAGCCTTATCTTCAAATGAATAAGCCCTCACAAGTACGATCAATGAGACGAGTAGTAATGAAAACTCATGCAACTCAAACTGAAACATTACTCGCCCGAGGCAATCAATCAAATCAACCTAAACTTCCAGCGACATCAAAAATTGCAACACAATTTGATCAAGTTTCCAATTTATCACAATCAATTCAAAAGCACAACAATAAAGGTGATAATTTGAATTCTTCCGATAGGAAACTTGATGAAAATTGGAAAAGATCATCCGGTGAATATGATGAGGAAGATGAAACAGATGATGATAGATATTATCATAATAAGCAATCATCTTTTAGTCAACTTAATCAATCGAGTGGTAAGCAATCTAGTTACCATCGACAGGCCAAACAACCAACAGTTCAACCGCAAATTCAACTTCAACAGCAACATAAACATCATCGATCCCATCATCATAATAGTTATCATACATCATTTGGTTCTAATCGTCGATTTCAAAGTTCACAAGATGATCCACATGATAACAATTCTTTGAATGCTGTGAATGATATTGGAAATGTAAATGATCCAACTGCACGAGCGAAGATGTTGACATCTCAAGATTCGGACGATGATGGTGCTCGAGAATCGTTGAAGTTAAGGGACCGAGTTCGTGGTTATAATAGTCAATCGAGAGATTCTCAGCCAGATGAACGTCAATCCAAGGCTAGAACTCGAGTTCGTGCTAAAGTTCAACGAAGTTTATCTACATCAATTGATGATGAACGTTTGGATGTAGAGATGGAAGATGCCGACTGGTCAAACAAAGCAACAAATGAATCAAATGATATAAATAATGGACAGAAAAGCAATAATAATAATAATAATAATGTTAAACTGTTATCATCTGAAGATGAGAAGAAAAATTTATCTCAATCAAATGAAGATCAATTTGAAGTAACTCATTCAACTACTTCATCGATCTACAATCAACGTAATTTTGTCAAATCAATTTCATCTGAGCAAATTGATTATGATCAATCACAATTAGATCAAACATCAGGTAGGGTTAGTTATCTTCCATCAGCCGCATCATCATCGTCTAGCCATGTAATCAGAGATCGAAATGTTTCCTCAGCCGATTTCCGTGATATTGGTCTTTATCGAAGGCACTCAGTTGCAGCCGATTTTATTAGTGACCTTAGTGTTCCGGTTCTTTATCCACCCCCTGGGTTTGAGGATCGTTCAAGTCCAACAGTAGCCAGTGGAGTGCCGGATAATATAACCCAAGCATCTACAGGGACAACATGTGAAAACATCAAACAAGAGACAATCAAGTTAACGGTTAAAGGTAAAAGTGTTTCAAGTAAATCATCATCTCTTGAATCAACCTCATCTTCATCATCATCTTCTTCAAGTAAAGCCTGTGCTTCCGGTGATGGTACTGATGAAGGTGATCATTCATTGACTGAAATGGACGATGATGCTGGTAGAGGTGCAGTTGGTGGTTGTGAAGGTGATGATAATGATGAGGATGATCTAGATTCACCAACACTGGTCAGTGAACTATCAAGTGGACTGATTGAATCATCTGATAAACAAAAGGGAAAAAGCAAAATAAAGTTAAGTGATAATATGAAAGTGTCTTCAATTAATCAACCTGAATCTCAATCAATATATAAAGTGATTGATAATAATTGTGTTAATCAACTGACAAATGAAGGTCAAGTTGACTCTGAAATCAGATTATTATCATTACCATGTAGTGTTTGTGAACCAATAATCGATACCAATGAAAATGTTGATCTGGTTTCTCCGGTGAAAAGTGAACCTTCTGAGGTGGAAAGTTCTGTTCAGGCTGAAGAATTTCCTGGAAATCGTAAAACATCCGGAAGTGGATCATCTATTTACATTACAGCAGCTGAAGAAGAGGAAGAAGATGATGACGATGAAGATAAGAATGGAAAAGGAAAGGGAGAGCTAATTGAGAATGCAAATATCACCAATCAAAGTGATGAAATTTTTCATGGTGATAATAATTTTCAGCAAATTAATGAAAAGCTTAACCTAATCAAAGGCTTCCAATCATCATCTGCATCTTCATTGTCATCGTCTAATCAAATTCAAAGTGTCTTCGAGGACTCATCCAACATTCCCTCCCCACCTCATGGTGAAATTGAATATCATCCAGCTCATTATGAGACTGAACCAAAGGTAAGAACCTAAAATGATGACAAATTAGATTGACAATCATCTCATTGATTATGAACGATGAATGAAGGTAACATGAAACTCAGAGTGTTGGAATAAGTTTATCCTTTTTTATCCTCATCATCATCATCATTATCATCTTACTTTATCCTTACCTTGTCATCTTCTTGCTTGTAGATCATCATCATCATTTTCTTCTTCTTCATTCATCCATTCATGCTCGTCGAAATTATCATGATGAGAAGCCTCTTAAGTTGGAAGTTCTTGTTCAAAGTTTAATTCGTCTTCGATTAATAGGTTTTTTTTTTCTCGTTCACCAGAAAACTTTTGACTTCGAACAAGACTTATTCTCATGTTATTTTGTTTCTCTCTCATTTAATACTAAATGAATTCGATTCGAAACATTATCATGATCAGGATAATTTATCAGAATCAAATTATACCGAACAACAGTTAGATGACTTTTGTATCATATTCGAAGCAAAACTTTTTCCCTCAATCGAACACATTTTTCGAGTTGGAGTCAAATAGTTTCCATCAAAATGATTTATCGACCATAATTGTTCATTCTAATTGTCTAATTGAAATTTCCTTTGTCTTTTAATCGACTACCATTAACTAATCAAATGGTAACACAATTAACTCTTTCCATTGCTATTAGTAAGTTACAATTAACATCAACCTAAAAGTTAATTGATTCTCATAGCAAAAGATAATCAAAAGAACTAAATTAATCATCAATTAATTGTTCGTTTTGTAATAGATTTGATTGGAAACAGAACTTTTTTTTTCCATCAAAACTTAGGATTAAAATTCTGATCAAAATCAATTTCTATTTGTTGATCGATCCTTAATCATCAATGTCAACTCTTGTATTCTTACTTTAACAATCAACTGATTGCTTATTATTTTGATCATCAATATCAGTTAATAAATAATCATACAAATTATTTCAACTCAATCATTCATGATAATCAGAGGATTTTATCTTAATGATTTATCATCAAAATCAGAGACATTTACTTATCTACTTATTTATATTCATTGTGAATAATTTTGAGACATGAAACATGGTGATTCCACAGGAGAGATGATGAAGATAGATTATTATATTTTGATGGATGAAAATGTTCATGAAAATGATGATCATCATGATGAAAATGAGTTAAAGTTTGTTAAGAAAAATATGGAATCCAAAATAATGATCAGAACTTTTTTTTCCAAAGCAGAAAATAAGACAACTCGTCGATCTCATTGATCCCATTCAATGGGAAATATTTCCTTCCCTGAAAGAATCTATTGGAAATAAAATAATATCTTTCGAAATCATATTTTTATGTCTCGAAATTCTAGTCAATATATTGAGCATTCAATCAACTTCATGGTAATTAGAGTTACACCAAATAACAAAAGAAAAAACTGAATTCCGATAGAATTGTCATCTTTTGGAGTAAACTTTTTCTTTTCAATGGAAAATAAAATCAAGTTCAGAACTTTTTTTTCTTCCTCTTATAAACTTGAACTTTTCTCGAATAAATATAAATTGGATCAAATTTTTACCCTGAAAAACGATTAACTTTCAAGTCTCATGGTTTCCGAGGTTGAAATTAAGTAATAATTGTTAATTGTTTACTTAATTTAGTTTCTACTCTTAATGTTTCCATATACATTAACCACATAGTGATCATTAATTTAATTGGAATAAGCAAATATTAATACAATCAACATCATCATTAATGATTAACAGAATTTTCATCTTAATTTAATAGAATCAACATTAAATATTTAAACTTCTTTTGTCAGAATTTCCATGATGAAATCAAAATAACTTTTTTCTCTCCTTTTTCATGAAAGTTCCTTGTTCAATTTCCTCTGAATTGAATCTGAATTACGAATTGTTTTTTTGTTCTTTCCAGTCTCATCTTCTTCCTTTTTCCTATTAATATAAACTCATCATCATTTAATAACAGGGAAAACTATTAATGATCATGATGATGATATGAAAGTTCTGACATTCTCAACTCTGTCTTCAGATTAATATGTACTTTCTCATGACTTTCTTGAACGAATATTTAAAGTTTATCATCGAATCTGTCAAAAGAAAATGATAAAGCAAAAGATGACGAAAAAAATAGATTAGAAAAGTTCTAATGTTTCAATATTCTGAACCAGATTCGAGAAAGAACAATATAATCAATATCATTGAATTTCGACGATAATATATTTGATAATCTTAAAGAATCACCGAAAATATTACATTTCACCCGAATGAAAAGTCAATGAATATCATGTTAGGTAAATGTTATCATCTGAATTATACCTTCAGTTCAATTCACTTTGTCACGAATTACAGAATTGAATTTCAGGTTGGAACATTTTTCTTTCCAATTTCTTCATGAATAAATTTCATCAGGGAAATAATGTCACGGTAAAAACTTTTAGAATTACAATCCAGTTCCTAGACGATTGTCTCATGAGCTTCCATGGAGACTTGAAAGCTAATTTTTCGTCAATTCTAATGATTGTTTTATCAGTTTGAGATTCTTGGTTCTATTTTTTGGTTACTCTATACTCGAACTTGTTATTAGTTTTCATATGAATTTCTCCCAGTGTAACTAATCTCTGAGTCTGAACTTGACGGAATTAGAGAAGAAAGTTGGAGGAAAAAAGAAATTTAATCGAAATTATGAAAGAAGGGAAAGAATTGCAATTTATTTTAAATTTAAAAAAAGTTCTCAAAAGTGAAGCAAATAAAATGGACATTAAATTGTGTAAAGAATAAGATAAATTCTGGTTATCCGTCTGATCCAGTTATTAGATTATCAGATGGAAAAACTAATCACAATAATAATAAAGTGATAATAATAATCGAATCAAAGTAATAACTAATACAAGAATAAAGAAGCGGAAAACTAAGAACTATGGTCGAATTTTTTTTCTCCTTCAGAACTTTTTCTTGACTTGTAGAGGAAAAAAGAAAGTTTGGAAAATAATTCAAAATTTTTCTATTCTTGTCATCATTCATTTTCTTTCGCCGTTTTCCATCATTTCTCTTCTTTTCATCCTTCTCATCATCACATCATTTTTTTCTTTCCTCGCCCAAATTATCATCATCTTTTTTACTCTCTCTCTCTCTCTCTCTCTCTCTCTCTCTCTCACTCACTCACGCAACCTCTTTCTCTTCACTATCGAACCTTTTGTTCAGATACTTCCAGTTAAGTTTCATAAGATTATCGAAGCTCCAGAATATTTGGGTCACAGTGATTATTTGATTAAAACATATACTCCCTTTTATACACCTTCCCCACCCCGAATACCCACTCCCTGCTCTCATCATGCTCATTCACGTCATCATTATCATCCTTATCCTTTTCTGATTCTGGAAACATTTTCATGATATTGTTATTTACATTGTGCGTTGTACAGCAGAAAAAAATAGGATTTCTATTTAAACTCAACTGAACTTTCAGCTTTCCCATAAAAGCAAAGTTCAGCTTGAAGCTACAAAAAGTAGTGAAAAACAAAAAAAAATCCCAAACATTGAAACTGAAACTAGTGAAAATTGTCCAATCTCTCCCTATGAATTTTATTAAACAATCTAATAGATGAGAATGGGTTAGGATGCTGACAAAAGGATAATGTAAATGTCATCATATCAACCTTCATTTATCATATTCTCATCCTGGAACAAGGGAGATAACAAGAAGAAACAACAACTTGTCACCAAATTATAATGAATAAGAAAATGAAGTTTCAGAATGATGAATAAGTTGATATCAGGGGAGAGGAATGATGAGGATGATAGAGATGATTATAATCCATGGAAGAGAAGAGAAAAAACTTTCAAGGTAACATTTTAACTGAATATCAGGCTGATCAGAATGAAAGTAGAAAATGTAATATAAAAAAGCAAAAATCAACAACTCCCAGATCTACTTATCATCAAACGATAATATTTACCATGAGAATCATGAAATGAGACAACGATAAAATCTGATAAACATGGAAATCGATTAGTTTAATAAATGTTAACATTTTTTATCGAAAATCATCATTAAAATATTTGGCTTCTTAATTCATTTGTCAGATTCGATAACATTTTCATGATGACTGATTATCGTGATAATAATTGATTGATTCCAATTAAGATCTATGATATAATTTGAACTTTTTCAATGTTTCCAACTTGATAAAAGTGTTTCCAAGTTGTTGATTAAAAGACTCACCAGAATAATTTGATTGTTGACTTAATCATAGTTAATTAGTTGTTAGTGAATAGGATTAAGTTTGATAATAGTTTGGTGTTTATCTTGATTAAATGGTAATTACATCGATTAATTTTCGTTTGCCTGTTGTATTTTTTGAATGCGTTTCTATTGAAAATTTGACTGAATAATTTATCACCATGGTGATGATTAAGTTCTTGAGATTTATAATAAGATTTTGATTTTTTTTTTCTTCACCATCAAAAGTCATTTTGATAATAATGATCAAAGATTTCAGGGTTATCATGATAATGATTTAACGATAATGATTGAACCATTGAAAAGCATTTGTATCTCACTTTATGATGAAGTGTTTACTTTTCTTTTCTTGGTATTGTTGATGAAAATTCAGCTCATGATGGTCATGAAGATTTCGATAAAATTTCAAGTGAAATGTCATTTTTGTTGAGAAATTGGAAGATATTAATTGATTTGACTTAAATTGTATCGAAATGTATCATGAAAGAAAAAATCAGTTACATGAAAAGTTTTCATTCATTTTTACAATTTCTTTCCCAGGGATTTATCATGATGATGGGCATAAGTTGTTCATTGAAATCTCATTGAAGATTATTAATACTTTGATTAGTTGAGTCTGATCAAGTTGTAAACTACAACTTGATAATGATGATAACTTTAATTGTAAGAATGAGTTGTGAGAGTTTATATTCTGAGTGAATTTCATGAATTCGATTGAATTTAAATGATCAGAGGTCAGCATTAAGTAATCGGAATAAGATTTATAAAGAGAAAATCTCATTTTCAACAAAAAAATTCATCGATTTCTGAATTTGAAGGTCGTCAATCATGGTGATGAGTAGGTCAATTTGTGATGATAATCATGATGAAGTAGAATGTGAAAGAAGTGAGAGAAGAACCAATTTATCGCTCTAATTGAATATGTATCAGGAGAAAAAAGTTCTTATAATCATTTTCTTATCTTCTCATCTCAATATCTTTTCTTAGTTCATTTCCTTTTCCCTTTTTTTGCTTATCCATCTTGTCAATCTTCACAATCAACTGTTTCCGTTTTAATCTTTCAGTTGTTTCCGTTTCATCTTCTTGATTATGATCAAATCTTATTTACATCAATTTATATTCAGTCAAAAACTTACCTTATTCATGATATTTACTCAGCTGATTATTACTGATTTACCTTTGAATACAATGTTCAATATTTGATTACCTTCAACCTTAATCATTATGATTGATAATTTTTCAACCTGTTTTTGCAAGTTGATTGTCAACACAGGGCGTTTATATTCACTACCGCTATTTCACTAAATATCTCAAGAACTTAAAGTCAAACTTGACCAGAGGACCGGACAGAATTGAAGTGATTGACCTCACGATTTTCAAGGCCATTTTAAGGCTACCATGTATAAGAGCATATCAAAGCACCCTTTATATTGAATAATTAATGACGTTTCAACGTAAGCTTCTGGAAAGGACCTTAACGACCGTGCAAGTCGTAAGGTCAAGCACATAAGTTCTGGCCAGACCTCTGGTCAAGTTTCCGTAGTTGATAAAAAAAGGCCCTGTAATTATTGATCCTCTAATGATATGGACATAATCTTGCTTGTCTATTGAAAATGTGCATTACTAATTGTCAATTTGAATTATATTTTGACGTTTGTGGTAATTAACTTGATCCTCATTCTAATGATTCTCTTTCCATTAATCTTTAAAAGGCTAATCCAACTCCTACTGGATTAAGAGTTCGACATAAGTCTGGTTCTGTGGTTAATGATTATTATGATGATAACAATGGTTCTCATGAGTTAATTAACCGATCATCTGAATCGGAGACTGAAATTGATTCACCAAGTTATTGGAGGAAAGAGTTGATCCAATCACCAGTATCTGAAGTGATTATGGTAAGTGGACTGTCCAAAAGTACACCTTGTGACTTGGAGATTGACCAAGACTCAGAACTGACCCATGGAGTACATAGTATTGATTTAACACCGATTCATGAAGGATTTTCATCTGACCCCTCGTCAACCGCGACACATGAGCAAATGACAATCATTGACACTAATCGAGTGACCAATAAACTGACCCGTTCACCAACAAGTGAAACTGATTTAATCATAAAATCATCTGAAGAGGCTGAAATAATATCCAATCAATTGTGTGAAAAGATTAACCCAATTTCAGAAGATGAAGAGGATAATGAATATAAAGTAAATACCATTGGTCAATCAGCTAATTTAAATAAAGTTCCAAGTCAAGTATCTGAGGAAAGTTCAATGGAAAACACCATTGAGGTGACACCAATCACTTTATCATCTTTACCCACTGAGGAAACAACAATCACTTCATCCTCATCCTCTTCAACTCCAACCCATGTTCACACAAATGATTCAATTGTTATCGGTGAGGATTCTGAAGGTGATCCAGTTGAATCAGATGATTTGGAAGCTTTTGCAAGTTCTGACAAAGAAAATGGCCAGCACGATACTACCACAGGTTCGAAGTCAGGTTTAGCCGGAAGCTCGTCTTCTTCTCCCTCTTCAGCAAATTCGGTGGCTGAGAAAGAGTTTTCTCTCTCAGCTTTGAATATATTCTGTCGTCGAACTCTTTCCGGTGAACTTTCAACCGTTTCTGAGGTTTCAGAAGAAATTTCCGGTGCAATCAAATCGTGTAATGAACTAGATGATCTGAATTCAGGGTCAGATTCAGGATCAAATGAGGATATCGAACCTGTTCCTGGTTTGAAAGATTCAACATCAACTGAACAAACATTGAACAATAAGGAAGATGATGTTGCCATGATCATAGTGGAAACAGATGATTACAATGAAGATGATGGTCAACCGATTGGTGATAATAAGAAAATTTCAAATGAAATATATTCCAACAACAATAATAATGATCGAACTGAGGTCAGCTCTCCATCTTCATTTTCCGATTCAACGACATCAGGTTCATTTGTTATCGATGGTCAAACCTCTGAACCTCAATCAATTTTACTTGATGATGGTCCAGTTGAGGTAACAAGTGACCATGGAGAGAATGATATTTTCGAGGACAAACTATTAGACCAAGAAAAAGAAGTGAACATTTTAGATAATGATGGAAACTTGGAATCCAAGGTAATCGATAAAGTTGAATCAGCAGGGGAAAAGGATAAACATAATAATGGAAATAAAGTTTTGAAACGAGTTCAACTTTCATCTGAAGCTTCAATTTTAGGTGAATCTTATGAAGATGATGATGAAAAACAGGAAGAAATTGATGAATGTAAAAGTAATAATAATAATAATCATCATCATGGTCATCGTTTATATCGTCCTGGTGGTGGAGGTGATAAATCTTCAGGGAATAATAATAATGCTAAAGAAGATGAAAAAGAAGAGGATGAAAGGAGACTTGATATTACTGGAGGTGAATCATCTCAGGCCACTGAACAGGATATGGCTCGATTGGAATTCTCATTGACTCAGCAAAGTTCTCAGGAAATTGATGAGGAATCATTATCCATGGGAACACATGGTAATAAAGATTTATTAGTAACCTCATCATCTTCCCATCATCATTCAATAGATCTAATATCAGATGGAGAGATGGAAAATGTTATTGAAGAAGAGCAAGTTAGAAATTTGACTAAAAATAGTGACCTTAAACCGACCACCAGTGGAATTGATAATAATAATTTGGTTCCTCAAGAAGTTTCAACAATACCCACTGGCCTAATTTCGGTAACTAATAAGAAATTGAGGTTCAGTGAGAGTAAAAAAATGTTCTATTCGCAAACTCTTGGGAAATCTGATACTTTGGATAGTGGAAATAGTGGTATTATCGAAACTGATCTTGATAAGTTCGAAACTCAGACTCATGTTAATTTAAATGAACCCAAGTCAAGTCTTGCTGCTTCACGAGTTCCAAATCTTCCAATGCAATCTTCGTTACCATCATCAGGAAATAAAAGTACAAATGATAAAAAACCGGCGATTGAACGACGAACTCGATCATTAACTCGAAGTCCAGTTCCACTAAGTTGTACGAATCAGTTTACTTGTAGTCACTGTGGTGAAACTAGTGCTCGAACCGGACAAGGTCACTCTAATTCTGGTCCAAATACCAGTTCTGGTAGTGTAGGACCAGGTAATGGACGTAAACCTATCAGTAGTTCAAGTCTAAGGTCACCTCACCCGTACCATAAATCGGCAACAATTGATGACATATTAAGTTACCGACGAGAGGATGATGAAGACATAGGCGTTTATTCAGATGCATATAAATCGTGTCCATGGTTTTATATTGGACGTCGAGATGAACTAAGAGTTTGGTGTCAACGGCGACTTGATAAACCATCTCAGTCCTCGAAATCGGACACAATAAGTTCAACTGAAAATCTAAACTCTGGCGACGAATTGGTTACTGATGGTGAGAGTACACCTTCGGAAAAGGGTTTCAAGAAACATTACGAAGCAGTGACACACCGAATGATCCATAGAAAGGCTTCGATTGAAATGTACAAAAAAATTCTCGACAATATGTTCAGTAAGTATTGGATTATTTTCTAGAAGAAGAATCGAAAATCTGATTCAAATTTTATAATAATAGAATCATTTATATAACTTAATCTTTTCCTTCAGACGTTGAAAAAAGTGTTCTGGTTGATCGTCACAATGGTGAATTTGGATTCAGAATTCATGGAAGTCGCCCTGTCGTGGTTTCAGCAATCGAGAAAGGTAAATACATTGTACTTAACAATGAACAAATTGTAAAACTCAAAAAACTTTTCAACTATCAATTGTTTTCATCAGGAACGCCCGCTGAAAGTTGTGGCCTTGAAGTTGGCGATATCGTTGTAAGTGTCAACGATATTAACGTTCTAGACGCATCACATTCAGAGGTTGTCAGATTAGCTCATGCAGGTAAATAAACATGATTATCAATAATATTAATCTTTCTGATTGTCCAAAATGTCACCATCAATAATATCAAGTATCAATAAGATAATCCATTATAATGATTGTCAATATAATTTCATTGTCTATCCTTGAACATTTATCATCATTTTCTCATCAGGATCTGAAACATTGAAACTTGAACTTGTTCGAACTTGTCAAAAGTTAAAATCAGCATTGAAAGAATTGAAAGATGACGATGAAATATTCAGTGGTTTCCTGAATCGTAAATCACCAAGCTTGGAATCCACATCAAGTTCAACCTCTGTAGTAAATGTATGGAAACGAAGGTGGTTCGTATTGAGGCCAGATTATTGTCTCTATTGGTATAATCAGCCTAAGGTAAATCAGTTAATCAACTAAATTGTTTCATCTTCAATTGGTAAATAACCTCAAGTTAAAATTGTTTTCTCTCTCTCTCCCTGACTATTTGATTTAGACAATTGATCCATTAGGAGTAATCAATTTGCAAAATTGTACAATAACACTTATCCCTCCAAAATCATTATCATCACCATCCTCATCTCCAACACCATCATCATCATCATCTTCATCCAATTTACCACCAATTGGTACAACATCTACCAATGAGAAACGATTCGTTATTCGTATTGACAGAATCGACGGTCCGTCCAGTTATTTACATTCAACAGTCGAGGAAACTGTTCAACGTTGGTTACATCATTTATCCTCAGCAGCTAATAAAGTCTCTCGAGTAAGTTAACCCTGCTAATATTTGGAAACTAATCAGAAACAATCGATGATTTTGTAAGAAAATTCATTCATGAAAAATACGACCAATGATGATCAGCTGATGAAGAAGATCATCAATCATTAGGGAAAAAAAGAAACGAGGGACAAGAAAAAAAAGATTTCAATCGATAACTTTTACGATTTCAATGTTCATATTGAGATAACATAAGTAGCAGTCGAGAATACAAAAAGTTATCCAATTTTTTTTGTATCGAACAAAAAATCTCTTCAATTTGTCCTCCCTGTTCATCCTTTTCATCTTCATCTTTGTCCTCATCCTCATCTTCATCTTCTCCTTAACCATTATCATCCTAATCCCTTAACATTTTCCGCATCACTTGGTATCCATCTTTTTTTTTGTCTTCTTTCCTCATCTCAAATCCATTCAATTCACTTTTTTACCTTTTTCTCAGCTCTTAGCATCATTGTCCTCATTATCTTCATCATTCTTGTTAATCGACAATCAAGCTTGATTAAATTGTGATAATAACGATTTATGATCTTGATAATGTTGAAGAGAAATGATTCCAACATTGGTATTAATATTTAGAATCCAGTTATTAACTAATAATTAGTATTATCAATTGAACGATTAATTTTGTCACAATTATTACAAATTATTTTCTTTCTCCATTTTCACTCAATAGACTAACTCTTATATTGAGAGGACACTTCGATGTATTCATATTAAACCTTTGTCCATAAAAGATGCTGATTGTCGTGGTTATTTGGGAATCTTTGGACAGAAAAGGAAACTATGGAAACAAAGATATTTCGTCCTGAAAGATGCTTGTTTATATTCATACATTGACATGTCATCATCAACAGCCTTAGGTAAGAAACATTCACAGATGAAGAAACTATTGTCTACCTTTCACTTTCAGGAATCATGGTGAATATGAATTGAGCTGAAATTCAGTTAATCAGATCAATAGGTTAACAATGAACCAGAATCAAAGGAAGAAAACAAAATTCAACTTTTGTGATAAGTTTTTTTTTTATATTAATACTTTTCTTTCAATTGAAATGCAAACAAAAAGTTGTTTCTTTGTCCTTTTATTATGAATAATAAACAGGGTGATCAGGGAAAAATAAATGAAGAAATTGATACTCTGATAATGTTTCATTTATATACCAATAAATTTATCATGAAATTTGAATCATGATGAACTTAAAGTTCAGGTTAACTCTCAAGTACATAAGTTGATATAATAAGTTATTGTGATATTTGTATAAGGTAAATAATTCAGGGAATATATTTCATGAGAGATTTCAATTGTGATGAAATTATATTGATCCAATTTGAGTGATTGAAATAAAACCTTAAAACATTATTTCAATATTGATACAAATTCAATTTTCTCTTATAATGTAAATGAATCAATCAGTTGATTAGTTGTAATCAGATTCACATGGTGATGGTAATGATGAACATGAAGTTTAGTTTTTTAATGAGAAAGATTTTTTTTATATTCTTATTGGAATAATTTTCTCATTAAAATTGGGTGAAATTCAAATTCTCTATTCTGATCTTGATGGAGATCTACTTTTTTTATATTAACAGAGGAATGGAAACTGAAAGAATAGCTCACAATATTTCATGGAATTTATTATATTAATAGTTACTTTATTTTTCTCTCTTTTTTTTCTCAGGAGTTTTTTATCTTCATGGATGTAAAGTTCAGAGCACTTCTTTGGCTGGTAAACGTAATACCTTTGAAATTGTTCCCTGGGATCGTAAGATGAAACACTTATGGCTCATGGCTGAATCTGAAATTGATAAGAAAAGGTACCCTGTTTATTCAATAGAAATTCAGAATCCAGAATTTTCAGTGAAAAAGAAAAAAACTTGCTATCATTAGGGGAGGGAGAGAAAACACCATTAGAGTTATCAAGAAATTATTATTATTAAATTCTCGCGATATTTTCATATCTGAATAGAAACTGAATTCTATCAGAAACTTTACAATTATCACATTTATTATCAATTCTACCATCGAGTATTGATTTTTTTTTTCATTCCATGGAACTTGACAATTCAGTTAAACAATAAATATTATCGTTAGATATGAATAAGCCTCAGAATTTATTCACTTGAAGCTCAAGAATTTACAATGTTTCCAGAAACTCGTTTAATAGAACTGTTATTTTCTCTCTTTATCTCTTCTGAAACACATAGTAACTTATTTACCTTTGAAAAAGTTCATGGGACATGATAAATCTGATTACTATCTCATTATATGAAACTTATGTTCCAACCTTCATGTAATAATCCTCAGAGACTCTGAATCAACTCCTACTGAGTTTTACATGTATATTTATTTATATATATATATAAGTGTAACTGGAATTCTGTTATTTCCATTTTAATCTGAATTTCATGTAGAAAAACAAAAAAATTATTACCAAAAACTTTTTCTCCAAAATGATAATCCCAATCAGAATTTAATTACAATTAACTAATCATTTCAATATACTTTCGTTTCATTTTTCTTTACTATTCAGATGGTTAGCAGCATTGGAATATTCAATTGATCGTTGGATAAAATTAACATAAAATGAATTAAATCACTTTCGATATTTAATTAATCAAATTGTATTATTAGTTATCAAATGTTATTAATATTTGTAATTGTTAAATGATTAAGAAATAAATTGTAACACTAATCAAACCTTGGGACCCTTTACAACTGTAATCAACACTAATTAAATTGTTAATAATTGCAACAATTTACACCGCAATTTACTTAACATTCGATAATTAAAATTCTATTAAATTGATAAAAAAATAAATTCTATTAACTTAATTGACTTATTGATAATTTTATTTCCATTTGAATTAATTGTCAACGAATTGGAACAATTAACTCTTTTTAAACTTCCCGCGCAAAATTGGAATTTTCGGTGAACCACCAGATGGAGTGACTTTCGTTTTCTATTTGTGATGCTTATGCTTTGTTTCCACCCCGCCAATATTATTGTGATCATTTGATTGTCACTTAATTTGTAATAGTAAATTGTTTTGATTGTGTTTTATTGTTTTACTTAATTAAGTATAAGTGTTCAACTAATTCTAAAATGGATGAAGAGACTGTTAAAACCGAGAATGAAAGTGAAATTGTCGCAGCTGTTGATCCAGACCAAGGAAAAAAATATGATAACCAAGTAACTGAAGATCGATCTAAAAGGTTTGAATATCTATTGAAACAAACGGAGATTTTTGCTCATTTCATGAGTTCCGGTGTTAAACCAGGTGAACAAAAGGCTAAACCAGGACGTAAACCTAAAGTTAAATCAGAAGAAAGTGGTGAAAAGCTTGATGACTCTAAATTTGATCCCAATGATCCTAAATTTGAGGTGAATGATCATCGTCACCGGAAAACTGAACAAGAGGAAGATGAAGAGCTTCTCAGTGAGGTGAAAAAAGATGTTAATTTATTTAGATTTGAGGAGAGTCCAGCTTACATTACTGGTGGTGAACTTCGTGATTATCAAATAAGAGGTTTAAATTGGATGATATCACTTTACGAGAATGGTATCAATGGTATTCTGGCTGATGAAATGGGTCTTGGTAAAACTTTACAAACCATTAGTTTACTGGGATACATGAAAAATTATAAATCAATTAATGGACCTCATTTGGTAATCGCTCCAAAGTCAACACTCACCAATTGGATGAATGAATTTAAAAGATGGTGTCCATCTTTAAATGCTGTCTGTCTTATTGGAGATGCTGCAACTCGATCAACTCTTATCAGGGATACTCTCTTGGGAAACCAAAAGGATTGGGATGTTTGTGTGACCTCTTATGAGATGATTATTAGAGAAAAATCTGTCCTTAAAAAGTTCAATTGGCGATATATGGTTATTGATGAAGCTCATAGGATTAAAAATGAGAAAAGTAAACTCTCTGAGTTTATCCGAGAATTTAAGACAACAAATCGTCTTCTTCTAACCGGTACTCCATTACAAAATAATCTCCATGAATTATGGGCTCTACTTAACTTCTTATTACCTGATGTTTTCGATTCTTCCGATGATTTTGATGCATGGTTTAACACCTCTAATCTGGTTGAAGCAGATGATGGTATTATCAATCGTCTACACGCCATCTTGAGACCTTTTCTTTTGAGAAGATTAAAAAGCGATGTAGAGAAAAGACTTCCACCCAAAAAAGAAATCAAAATTTATGTTGGTTTAAGTAAAATGCAGCGAGATTGGTATACAAAAATCTTAATGAAGGATATTGATATCGTCAATGGTGCTGGTAAAATGGATAAAATGAGACTATTGAATATCCTTATGCAGCTTCGTAAATGTTGTAATCATCCTTATCTATTTGATGGAGCTGAACCTGGTCCACCTTATACAACTGATGTTCATTTGGTTGATAATTGTGGTAAAATGTGTATTCTTGATAAGCTTTTACCCAAATTTATGGATCAAGGATCTCGAGTTCTCATTTTCTCACAAATGACTCGAATGTTAGATATTTTAGAAGATTATTGTCTTTGGAGAGGATACAAGTACTGTCGGCTTGATGGGCAAACAGCCCATGAGGACAGAGAACAATCAATTTACGAGTTCAACAAGCCTGATAGTGATCGATTCCTTTTCATGTTGAGTACTCGAGCTGGTGGTCTTGGTATCAATTTAGCTACTGCCGATGTTGTCATCCTTTTTGACTCTGATTGGAATCCTCAAGTAGATTTACAAGCCATGGATCGGGCTCATCGTATTGGTCAAACAAAAACAGTGAGAGTTTTTCGCTTGATCACTGATAACACTGTGGAAGAGCGAATTGTTGAAAGAGCTGAAATAAAGCTAAGATTAGATACTGTTGTCATCCAACAAGGACGATTAGCTGATGGAGGATCCAACAAACTTGCTAAAGAGGAAATGCTTGGTATGATTAGACACGGAGCAGATCATATTTTCGCATCTAAAGACAGTGATATCACTGATGAAGATATCGATAACATCTTAGCTAAAAGTGAAGCAAGAACCGAAGAAAGCAAGGTTAAACTCGAACAGCTTGGTGAAAGTAGCCTTCGTAATTTTACCTTAGATGCACCTGATTGTAGTGTGTATAAGTTTGAGGGTGAAGATTATCGAGAGAAGCAAAAAATGACCGCATTAAATTGGATTGAACCGCCAAAGAGAGAAAGGAAAGCCAATTACGCTGTTGACGCATACTTTAGGGAGGCTCTTCGGGTGAGTGAACCTCGCGCACCCAAAGCACCTCGACCTCCAAAACAGCCTAATGTTCAGGACTTTCAATTCTTCCCGCCAAGACTGTTTGAACTATTGGACAAAGAAATTTATTTCTATCGTAAAACTTTGGGTTACAAAGTACCTAAAAATCCTGAACTGGGAAGCGATGCAGCTAAAATCCAAAGAGAAGAGCAAAGAAAAATTGACGACAGTGAACCTCTTACCGAAGATGAAATAGCCGAAAAGGAAGACTTATTAACTCAAGGTTTCACCGCTTGGACTCGAAGAGATTTCAATCAATTTATCAAAGCCAATGAAAAGTATGGTAGAGATGATCTTGACAGTATCGCTAAAGAGGTTGAAGGTAAAACTCCTGATGAAGTGATGGAATATGCTAATGTATTTTGGGATCGGTGTCATGAATTAACTGATTGTGATAGGATTTTAGCTCAAATTGAGAAAGGAGAGCAAAGGATTCAACGTCGACAAGATATTAAACGTGCACTAGATGCTAAGATGGCCCGATATCGAGCACCATTCCATCAACTTCGAATCGCTTATGGAACAAATAAAGGGAAAAATTATATCGAAGAGGAAGATCGTTTTCTCATCTGTATGTTACACAAGTTAGGATTTGATCGCGAATTGGTCTATGATGAATTGAAATGTTCCATTCGTAATGCTCCACAATTTAGATTCGATTATTTCATCAAGAGTAGAACTGCAACCGAACTTCAAAGAAGATGTAACACCCTAATCACCCTAATAGAACGTGAAAATATGGAAATCGAAGAGAAAGAACGTTCAACCAAGAAGAAGCCCGGCCCGAAACCAGGTCTACCCAGAGGACCAAGTAAACGACCAGCAGCAACAAACGACAATAAGAACAAAAAAAGAAAGAAATAACCATTACACTGATCACAATTTAGTCTTAATTTCATTTTTTTTACATTTACAACTTTTAATTTCACTCATCCCAAAAAACTTAAACTTGTAAACAAATTTTCAATCTCCTCTAAATGAAGATGATCCTTCGTCCTTGTCTCATCCTCTTTTTGTTTTCATTCCAATATTTAGAATGAAATTTTGAATAAAAAAAAAGTATTAATTTTAAATTTGTTTTCTTTTTGTCTTCTCACAATTAATTGTAATAATTAGTAAATCTTATTTTTCTTTGATCTTTTCTCTTTTTTTCTATTCTCGTCCAAAGTCATTGAATCGAGAGCCATAAGTTTCTCTCGATTTTCCTCCACAGTTTTAATCCATTTATCGGCCATCACCCGCCATGGAACTGACCCCCCATATTCCTTGGGCAGTATGTCCACCGGGATTCGTTTGTGTAACTCGTTCAGGTCACGAGGAAATGAAAGACGATTCTGTAATTTCTGAGTCATAAAACCCGAGATGAAGATGAGAATGGTTCGGATAAGGTGGGGTAAGTTTATCCAGTGAACTTGTTTGTGTTTAACGGGCAGCGCTTTCTGTGGGTCGGAAGAAGGTCAATAGAATGAGAAATTGGTAATGATAAAAAGATCGAAGAGAGAAAATGAAATTAATTAAAGCAAAATGGATCTTGTGGTGATGATCGAAGCGGAAATGTTTCCATTTATCGAGGACAAGCTAAGAATAAAAAATGTTTATCATTATACATTTACCTCTCCGCTTTGAGCTAATCTTTTCAATTCTCTGATTCCTAAATAAGTGACCTCCGAAAGGCAGACACCTTCTTGATCGAAAATATAAACGAATCCATTCTTTTGATTATCTTCATTGTCCAACAAAATTTCAAATGTAATTATAATAGATCGAAATAGATCAGTAGGTAAATGTCCAAATTTTTGATTGAACATCGCACATCGACCAAAAATAACAGTTCGACCTCGATCGTCCCTTTCGAAAAGAGGAAAAATGTAACCACGTTTCATCAGGTCGTATAAACTGGTATCACGAATATTCAAATTCTTATAACAATAAGGATGAACATTTCGAACCTTTAAATATTTTTCAAATACTCGACAAGATTCATCGAAATTAAATTTACGGAAACGTAAAAATCGTAAGATAAACAAATCATCTGAATGAGAAAACAAAGAGAGAGAGAGAAAAAAATGATCATCAATGAACATTGAAATTCGTAAAAGTTGATTAAATGTTCTAAATCGTAGATGGACAAACTTACCAGTTCGAGGAGAAACAAATTGTGGCTGAGATTTAATCCAATCACGAAACTTTTTCACTAGAACTTGTTCTTGCGTGGAAATGGTCATGATGATTAGTTGATTATTTGCAAGACACAATTGAAACAATTTACTCGTTGGAAGACACAGAAACAATCCTAATCCATTGACGAATCGACAATTAACCAAATTATTCGTGAAAAAAAAGAGGAAAAGAAAGAGAAACAAACTGTCAGAGAGGAAGAGAAAGGGAGAGAGACAAAGAGTGAGAAGAGTGAGTTGGTTAAGGAGGGAAAGAATATAAGAAGATAAGGATGATAGAAGAAAAAGAAGAAGAAGACAAATATACGTGAGAGAGACAAATAAACGAATGAATTAGAATCAAATGTTAATAATTCATGATGATGATCAATCTCATCTCATCTCTCTCATCAAGATGATGAAGGAAAAGTAAGAGAAGAAAAAAAAAGTTCGACAGAGAAATCGAAAGTTAATTTATCTTCTCTTACAATTAATCTTCTCAATTAAGTTGATAAATTTTTCCAATCAAATGAATTACTTTTACTTTTTGAAAATTAAGTATCACAACAATTTCCTTATATTAATAATGATGAAATAAAAAAATTAATATTGAAAATTTAAAATGAAAGTTAATTGTGATAATAATAAGATTGATTTTTACGATTGCCACTTTCACTTTCCTCATCATTATCATCTTCATCTTCATCTCATCATCCATCCCTCCCACTTGCTCTCTCTCTCTCTCTCTCTCTCTCTCTCTCTCTCTCTTAGATTTAATCTAAATAATCTTAAATTAAATACTTTTAGGCATTTAACTTGATTGGTACGAGTGGAAAGGTGAGTTTTTCAAATTCTAATTAACCCTAAGGTAATTTACGACTTTACGAAGCAATTTGTTAACTAACGGACACCATTTCGATTATTATTAATAGCATCAATTAAACTGCTGTTAAATTATGTCCTAATTTTCCTGAAAAACGTTAATTGTAAATTAGCTCAGGAAAATAATCAAAAATCAATTTAAAGGAATAACAATTTCATCGCTATTTCTTTTTCTCAATCAAACAATTTAATCACATTTTCCTAAAATCAATCATATCAAATTTAAAGTTAATGAAAACAATTAAATTCATTTCTGTGTTTCGAACGAAAAATTTCAACAAAAATACTAAAAAGAAACAAAAAAAACTCTCTTTTCAATCAAATCACTTCAATATAAACCAAACTAGTTATTAATACAAATGTAAATGATTTTTAATTCCAATCTATTAATTGTTTTTCTCTTATACAAAAAAAAAGATTAAATAAATTGTTTGTTTTTCGAGAAAACGAGAAATTTAAATTTGGCGCTTTTATTTTTTCAGTCAGATTTTGACTCATCAGGTGTCGCCTGTCAATAGACTTTAATTAGAGTTGATTTTTTTTCATTGTCAATAGTTGATTGGAATTCAATGTTTACAATTAATAGATTGTCACAATTAATTGGATTCAATTGCCTCCCTTTTTACGTTGATTTGCTAATGTCAATTTAGTTGTTCTATAGTTCTTACCAATATTGGGTAAGTATTTTATCTTGATAACCCTTTTTTCTTACTTCCTGGTTAATCTATTTTTTTCTCCTTCTCTTTTTCTCAAATACTTGTCTCTGTGTCCTTATTGTTTTATTTTTCTATTCTTCAGTTTTTTTTCTTCATTTTTTAAATAGCCAACTAGCTGTCTTGTCACAACTTTAAAGTGACCAACAATCATGATTTCTGCTCCATCAAAGCGTAACACTGATTCTTCCTTGAACCATAATGATACTAATCATAGATCAGCTTCCAGCTGTAAAAAAAGACGTCGTGAACCTGATCAACCAAGATTAGGCCTCAGAAGTGAAGCTCCATATTCTACGGACGATGAAGCAATTAAGGAACGTAATGCCTGTGATTATTCGATTAAAATCACCATGGAAACAGCTAAAGCTGGTAAAGCGCCGAGGAGAGTTCGTGTATATGCTGATGGTATTTACGATCTATTCCACTTGGGACATGCTAAACAATTGAAACAAGCCAAAAATGCCTTCCCTGATGTTTGGTTGATTGTTGGTGTCAATAATGATGAGATGACCCACTCACTCAAAGGAAAAACTGTGATGAATGAAGATGAACGTTATGAAGCGGTTAGATATTGTTGTGTTGTCGATGAAGTTATTCGAGATGCTCCTTGGGTTCTTACTGAAGAGTTTTTAGCCGAAAATAAGATTGATTTTGTTGCTCATGATGATATTCCCTATACAACCGATGATCAAGATGATGTTTATTCGCTAATCAAAGAGAAAGGAATGTTCCTAACAACTAATAGAACCGAAGGTGTTTCAACAAGTGATTTAGTGGCAAGAATTGTTAAGGATTATGATATTTATGTTCGCCGTAATTTAGCTAGAGGATATTCTGCAAAAGATATGAATGTATCCTTTATAAATGAGAAAAAGTTTCTCCTGCAAAACAAAATGGACGAGCTTAAAGACAAATTTGAGGAAAAGAAACATGGATTTATACAAACATGGGAAGAAAAGTCAAGAGATTTTATCGGCAATTTTCTCGATCTATTTGGCCGTGAAGGTGCTTTAAATAACCTTTGGAATGAAAGTAAAGGGAGACTTCAAAGGGCTTTATCACCACCACCAAGTCCATAATCCAAATCATATACATACACCAACAAACACACACACACATTAATATATATATCCAATTAATCAATCGAGAGAGAAAAAAAATGCAAAATCTATTTATTGTTGAAGATTTTAAATCCAATTTGAAAATTCAATTTTCTATTTTCTTGGGAAAATAATGTTTTTGTTTTGTTTTTTTTTTCGATTCGACTGGAAAAGGAGATATACAACTTTACATACACACCAACCATCAACTTTAAATATATATTTAAATGTATCTTAACCATGGATGGATAATTAATTGTCATTTTTAGTGGATCAGTGTTCAAATTAATCAAAAATCAAATCAAAAGAGATGAAAATCAAAATCAATCTACGCTGACATGAAAAGATCTTAATTATAAATAATTGTGAGCAAAATAAAGAGCCAAATACATAAGGTGATTACATCTTAAAGTGATTCCTATTATTAAGGATACACACCTCATCTTTAATCATTAATGTAGTACAATTTAACAATCCTGTCAATCAAGTACCACTTGAAACAGGTTGATCTTGATCTTGATCACCATCATGATCATAGGTTATTCCCCTAACTATATAATTAACAAGTAACACAGAAATTTAATCATTTCCTTCATCAATTAACTGTACACTCAGTGATTAACGATAACAATCAACAAGTGAAATGTTCATCTGATGTTTTTCATATAATCAATTTTTTTTTTGATGATTCTACAAGATGATTAGTCTTAAGGCCTAATGTGTATTCATATACTTTGAGGATAATTAAGTGATCAGATTAATTAACGAGAGAGAAAAAAGTAAAATTATTTTCTACTATTGGTAACTAATTGTGAATTGAGAATCAATTGTTTAGATTTTTTCTTCTAAATATTTACAATTGAATCAAATTAACTGAATCATTTTGATTTGGTAAACATAACCAAAGATTGACTAATTGATTATGTTTTCGTCTTTAAATAAATAACATCAAATTGCCCGGAAGCGTGAAAATCAATTAATTACAAACGATTTCTCGGTTTATAATTAAACCTTTTTTTTCTGTTGATTATTAAATTATAATCGTTGTTTACAATCAAAATACAAACGAGAGACAATTATAAATAAAGTTTGATGATGTATTTCCCTTGAACAATATTCTGGTATCATCATCAACAAGTTTAAAATTAAATCAACAATTTAGATTGACAATTATTATTAAACCAAAATTATGGTTATATTATTAAGATAAATATATAAATAGTAAACAAGAGAGCACCAAAAATAGAATCGCAACAATTAATTACAACGAGATTGCGATTTGTTGTTTTTTTGGGAGGTGTTTCGATGATGCGAAAGAGAAATCGAAAGAGAAAAGCCCTTGGGCTAAACACGTTAATCTTTCCTGCGACCTTGTGATTAATTTGAGCACATTGATTGTGATTCCAAATCAATTAAACATTTCAAACGTAGTGCTGGTGATAAGCCTTCGAAGAGAAACTCCTCTTCGAGCGAGGACGCGAAATAAAATGAGAGAGAGAGAGAGAGAGAGAGAGAGAGAGAGAGAGAAAGTAATAAGATTAAAGAGAGAAGGAGGAGGAAGATGCTGGTTCGCGGTGGGGAGGTTCGAGCAAAGAGAATTAAATTAATTCGAGAGAGAAAAAAAAAACGATATAACAACAAATCGACGATTAGTTGATGGCCTTGATTAGCGGTTCAACCTTTTCTCATCTGATACATTAGATTGATACTCAGCTGATGATAGTAACAGTAGATTATAAATCAACAATTTGGTCACAATCGTAATCATTTTGTCAACATCCTTTCGAGAATCAACTTTGCATTCAACTAATTAACGTGTTCAACGTTCTGTGTATTTCATTTGTTTGTGAGCGAGTTTGTGTCCACTACTATAAATTGACCAATTGGTTTTTGTGCTTCTTTTTGTTTATTATACAAGAATGGAAATTGAAAATTTAATTACCGATCTTAAAATTACCTCGATTAGTCCAATTTCGTTGAATAAGAAGTTAATTGATTCTTGTGATCAACTTTATCGTGTTTATCTTGAACTTGTTTCTCTTGCACCGAACTATGATTTCCCTGGTGTTCCTCATAATGGACTTAGATCACTTTGTCGAATTATTGATAAATTCTCGTTCATTGTTCGTAATAATCTTCTAAAGGAAAAGGTCTCATTCGAACAAGTGATCGATGTCATTGAACTGTTTCGTTCGATGGGTGAGACTATTCTTAAACAGAAGCAAATCGAATCAACTGACCAAAGTGACCACAACAAATCTGAAGATGATTCAATCTTTCTTAAAGGTGTTACTCTTTGGTGGAATTTTGCAAAATCTAATCGAACTCGATTATCGACTTATTTCGACAAATTTACTCTTTTCTTTATCGAGCCCGAAGTTCGGAATTTCATAGTTCTTGCTGGTAAATCGATTGGGTCACTTTCTTCACCTCCAAATTTATTTGGATCTTTTTTCTCATCTTCGATAAACGGAGCGGCGCTTTCGTCATTGACCTACAATGGAAGTCTTTATTATCCCCTTCGAGCTTGGAGTTTATTTGACAATCCGATTGTTAATTCAATTGCTTCGTGGCAGGCATACAAATACTCGGTGGAAACATCAACAGTTCTAATTCCTCGACAAGAGAAATGGTTCATTCCGTTTGATGGATCACCAACACAACTACGATCAAATTATATGACCGCTAACGAATTTTCATTGATCTCGAACAATAAAGCAGTTCGTTGTCGTCTGCTTCGATCAAAGGTACACAAGCCCAATGGTAAATTGGCTATTCACTTTTCTGGTGGCGGTTTCGTTATGTTCAAACCTGAGGCCAATGAAGGTACTTATTTACAATATTGGGTCGGTCATCTCGATGGAACTACTCTTTTATCCGTTGATTACACCAAGTTGGTCACTTATCCGGTGGCTTTTCAAGAAGCACTTGATGTTTACCTTTGGGCTGTTGGTTTATCCGATAATCCAGATTGTACACCAGAATCAATCTTAGGCTTTAATCCAAAAGAAATCGTTCTTTGTGGAGATTCAGCTGGAAGTCATCTTTCATTTTCAATTCTTCGGGCACTTCGAGATATTCAATCCCTTTCACCTCACGGACCAAGAATCCTCTTCCCAGTTGGTTTCGTTAGTTTCTATACCAATATGACGGTCGATAAAGATCAACCTTCGTTAAGTTTATCATGTTTAGAATTAGCTCTTACTCCAAGTGTTTTACTCTCAATTTATGGCCTTTTAGCGTCAGGCTTTGTTCTAGACGATGATGTTAGTGTCACTAATGAGACCTCACTTGATTTTTATTCCAAGCCCGATCCATTTCGAGATAATATACGAACTTGGTTATCCCATGGACGAAATTGGTTCGATTGTGATCCAATTGAACTAACAGCAAGGTTACAGAAAATAAGTCACAACGCATCTAAAGCCTATTTAAGGCCACTTACCTCTAATGATATCGACTCCTTAGCCGATATACCGATATATTTGATTATCGGTGAATATGATTTCTTTCTTGATGGCTCAGTTAATTTAGCTAAAGCTTGGAAAGGTCCAGTTACTTTGGACGTGGTGGCAAATCTGTGTCATGGATTCTTGAGCTATTCCAAGATTTCAGCTCAAGCGAGGCGAGGATGTGATATTGGCTTAAAACGGATTCGACAAGCACTTAAGCTGTGATTAATTTAATTCTAACTTAATTGTTACAAAATGATCTCAAGAATGGAAATTGCGAAATGTTAATTTCCTCCAACATAAGCAATTTCTTAATCACAATTGACTTTTTATTTACTTTTTTGTCTCTCAACTTATTATATGTGTATTATTATTATTATCATTAATTACTAATTTAAATTGATTTGATCTTGTTAATGTTTCCCAAGGATCTATTGAACTAAATTAACGGTATTAAATTTAATTGTATGAAAGTTTTGCATTTGATTGAATAATCGGTTTGAAAGCTTGATTGTTACGTTAATTATATAACGGTATTATTATTTACAAGGGATTTGTTAATTACAGTTTTGGTTCAATTGATTTAGTTTAACCATTAAAAGTTTGCAAGGTTGGATAAAAAAACTATTATGTAAAAAAAAAAGTTAATTAAAAATGAAAAACAAATGAAATAATCATCAGGATATTATTGTAGTTAAGTAATTGCATTTGATGCTTCCAGTTAATTGTTTGCAATCAAAGTTAATTTAGTTACTGTAATTTCCTTCGAGAGGCAAATATACTTTTAGGTCGTTTCTTGAACGGATCGGTTACTCTTAATTCCTTGAGAATTGATTTTTTACATGATAAATTGCAATAATCTTTGGTTTCACTGTAACGATGAGATAATCTGTAAGACAATTAGTGAGATAATAATTAACAATTAGTGATAAATAATTAAATAACAAGCGTAACAATTGTTATATCAAGGTGATTGAAAGTTTACCTGTAAAAACGTTGAAAAAGTTTATCATCAAAATCTAATTTATCAATTAAAATGTCCCATCCTTCAGGACCTAAATGGTTAAGGTCAAATTCATCGAGTGCAGTGTAAGCCCGTCGCCATTGTGGTCCATGTGGACTTAGATTGGCCTCTGTTAGATTGAAATAGATGGTTTCATGGTTCTTAATGAAACCCGATGGATCGGTATGATAAACTCTGTAAGCGGGATTATGATCTGTATAAGGAGTAATACTTGGTCCAATGTAGACCATTGAAATGGCCTTTTCCGCGTTATATGGTGAATAAAGTACTCGAAATTCATCATGGTGAGTGTGTCCAAAATACTGGGCTAAAACTATAGTTGAAAATCTATCGATTATCCGAAGATAATTGAATAACCAGGCCTGAGTACACTCTTTATCGTCGGGTGGTACATGGCCTATTATATGAACTTTATCACCAACATTTTCAGCTTCATAAAGCTCATCAACCAACCATTTCAGCTGATTACCCGGATCAATTGGATTATAAAGTGTCCATGGATTAAGACGAGTACAATAATTGGTGTTAATACTTGTAATCCTGAATCCGGGTCGCACTTTAACCGTATAATAGCCCCCACTGAAAGAGAGAAAGAGAGATTAAATGAAACAATCAACTAATCCAATGGTCAATAATCAACTTACTATCTTAATGTCCTAACGGCATCATCAGGTAACCAGTATGACCATTCCTGGGCTAGAACATCATATAGCCATGAGATTGAAACTGGACCTTTGATTTCTGGTGGAGCGAAACTGTTGATTTAAAAGTCGATTTCCAAATTAATTAGAACTATTTTTCTCTTAATAATTTAATAAGATAATCATTTAAACGATAATTGTTTAACTTTGATTACATTTTGAAAATTTCTTCCGAGTCTCCAATTACAACAAACAACAATTAACTTGATCATTGAGGAATAGGGAAATTGTTAAAAGTCAATAAATTGTAATTATTATCATCATAATTTGGTTGATTGTTTATTTTTGACTATTATGATTAAGATTATTATTATTATCATTATTATTTTCCGTTCTTATTATCAGAATGTTGAAACCAAAAATAGCCTGAAAATATGATTCTAACAATTGAAATTGATTTAGTTTCGTTATTAATAGTTGACATTTATGATAATCTCTTGATTTAAATTGTTTAAATTAATGATTAGTTAATTGTTAAAACGATCAGATTAATTTTTATTCAAATTTTCATTAAATGATTTGAAAATCTTTTCAAGTTGATTGTCAATTGTTAATTATCAGGAAACTGATGAAAAGCTAATCAATCAATCAATAATTAAAAAGCCTTAGGGTATAAACCAGAAAGTAACAGTTACTTTCATTTTTTTTTATCCATTTTAATAGTTAAACAATTAAATTTGATCCAAGTAAATTAAAATAAATCCAGTTGATGTATTGTAATAATATCGCAACTTAAATCAATATAATATCATTATTACATTATCTTTAATTGTTAATCACTACAACTAACAGATTAAATTTGATCACAATTTAAATTGTAAGGAAATTGTTTATATATTCAAATGAAATAAAAAAAAGGTAAACAATTAATTTACAATTTGGTTCCTTGTTTGATTGTTTGATTGGATTAATTTTTATATATAAATAATATATTACATCCTAATAGCTTTAAGCAATTAACTAATTGAATCTAAATCTTTCTAGTTATTATACAGAATCATCATCATCATCAACAACAACAACAACAAGAAAATTTAAATTAATACAATTAGTTAATTATCTTGCTTCCTTATTCCTTTTCATGATAATCACTAATCTATGTTTGTATTATAATGATGATGATTAGTAAATTAATCCAGTTAGATTTGATTACGTTTGATTTGTAAGTAAATAAAAACAAGAAAGAAGGAAAAAAAAAATATTATTCATTTTGTCCAGAAAATAATAATAATAATAATATTTCATGTTCGGAATGATTTTTGATGTTTGCTGATGATAAACAATTAGGAAACAATTAAGGTTATACTTGCGCGAGATGATTAAGTTAATTATGATTACCTGTTAACTGGAACTGCTTCATGATTACCAATAACTGGATAAACTGGAACACGAGAAAATCTCTTAAACATATTAGTAATTAACTTAATTTGATTGATAACTTCTTTTCGAGTGATATTCCAAATATCATGAGGAGCAATATCTCCTGTCCACATCCAGTATCGAGCCTAAATTGTGATCATCAAAATGGTATGTAAATTATTAGATGATCAGTTGATTCAATTAAATTAGGTTGAAGTTGTCACATTAATATAATCATCATCCTCATCAATGATTTGATTATCATTAACATGTATCATTTTGTTGTTTAACTAAATTGTTAATTGTATGTATATTATGTATGTGTCATTGATCAATAGTAATCAATATATTGTATTAATAATATGTTATTATTTCATGTACGGATTAACCTTGAATTTGTGTCTATCTTAATCAATTTGATATATTGATCCAAAATCCATTGACACAGTTAATTAATAACAATAATTAAATCTTATCAATCTTTTCAAGTTAAATCAATGGTAGCATTTTTTTCATGTTCATCTCATCATTTAACTAATATTATTTGCATATCATCAGGATTATTCATGGAAACTAATCAGATAATTGATTTAGGTAATTAGATGATAATCAATGTGAAATTTATCGTTACTCAAACTCAATTAACGATCTGGTAATAATAATTTAATTGATTAGCAATGATTGAAAATTTCAAGATGGTTAGGATTGAGAAAAGTTGATTGAAAATGGTTATGAGATCAGATTAGGGATTAAGATTATGATTAATTAAGGTAATTTAAATAGTCAAGTTTGTTCAACTGATTTGCTAAAATTAAAATTGGTAACAATTAGTACTGATTGTTGTTCAACTTACGTTTGGATAAGTTTCGCTGATATGTTTCATTGCATGTCTTACAGTTCGTATTGGTGTATCACAAGAACGATAATCGCCCCATTTTCCGGCCATTTTATCGGAGTCAATTTTACCCTCAGTGGACCTACAGCAAAGCGGCTCACCACAAGCCGCCGCTGCACCCTCTTGATAATAAGGGTCAATATGAATATCGGTTAAATGAACAACACTGATCAACTTTTTCCCACCATTTCCAGGGGATTTTTGAATAGCATTGTTATTCATGTTCATTGGTTCATCAAGTGAAACTGGATCACGATATCGATTGTACCGAGTGGTTGATGTTAGTAGTGAGTTCAGAGAAGGGGGTGATGATGACCCTGTATTCCTCATCTCCCATCCACCTCCACTCTCACCTCCAATATGATGATAAACCATCGAAGAGTCTGAATATTTTTTCTGATTTCCCGATGATGATGATGATGACGATGGTGATGAAACTGGCGATCCACCAACTCGAAGTCTTTGTTTAGTCGTCGGAGAATCAGTTAAATGAATAGTTACCGATGATCGTCTATTAATTGTATTTGATTGTTGTTGTTTTGATGGAATTGGTATAGTCCAGTTTAGATTTTCGGTAACAGTTCGAGCACATTCAATTCCCAATAGAAGGCCACACATTTCTCTTCGAGTCAATCGACTTGATCGTTTTATATAATCAAGATCATCTTTAAATGATTCAACTACACCCAAGCAAACTCTTTCAGTGGTTCTCATCAGGTGACTAAATTGCTTACAAACAACTCGAGCTGCACCAACCATCACCTCTTTGGTGTTTAATGGTGACAAAAATAGAGTCATAATTGTATTACAAGCGATACAATTAATTTTAGATGATGAACCGATCCTAAGATCTTCAGAAACTTGAGTAAAATTAACCGATCGTAACATTTTAGATAAAGTTATGACCAGAAAATTTTTACGACTACGTGTTGGCTTAACGGGATTAGCACTTGTATTTACAGAAATTATTGATGAAGGTTTAATCTTATGATTTAACTCTAATTGCTCTTCTTGTTTAATTACTTCCAATGCAATTGATTCTAAAGCTCCTCCATTGAGATCACTGTCAATGTAACCATGATGGTGATGATCCGATGTGGATACAAATGAAACCGGATGGTAACCAGGATGATGAGAATGATGGTGATGAGATGAAGATGAAGAAGATGAAGATGACATTAGTGATGATGATGGAGATAACGGTGAATCATTGTCAAGAGATTTACGTTTAACAAAAGATGAAACAATCGCTTTAAGAACTGGAAATCGTCGTCGTCCACTTGAACGAGAACGTTTCGGAAATGTAATCGTTAATCGAGGTAAAGAAGAAGATGAAGATGAAGATGATAAAGATGATTCACTAGATTTTAATTTGATTTTTGGCAAAGATGAGGAAGAAGAAGAAGATGCTGATGAGGATGGTGATGACAATGATGACGATGATACCGATGAAGATGATAAAGGTAAAGCTGAAACAGAGACTGAAACTGATGCTGATTCGGATGCTGTAAGTGTTGCTGGTGATTTATGGTTAGATGATGATGTCGATGATGAAGGATGAGATTGTTGTAATACATCACAATATCCTGGTTCTATCAACGAAATGACCACAACACAGAAGATCACAAATGGACTTAACCAGTCCATTGTTTTACCATTGGTCTTCAAGTGATTTAAGTGATCTACACCTACCAGAGTAAATTGTCTCGGTCAATTTTCTTCTGTTGTTGATTAAATCACAACAATTAACATTAATCAATATCTGATGACAACCATTAAATCCTCTCAATGTTGTTGTATTAGTTTATTGTGGTTGTCGTCGTTGGTGTTGTTGTTGTTGGGTTGAAATTATTGGTATCTACCTTTTGTTGTTGTTGTTGATTACTTGTTATTGGTTTGATGATGATGTTGTTGATTGTTGTTGTTGATTTTTTGCTTTCTGATGATGTTGATGATGTTAGTTGAATCTCCCATCAACAGCAACTAACAGCAAAAACCGAGTCGGGTTCTTAACGCTCCAAAAGATCCAATGCTGCGGATATCAATCACTAAATTCAGTTCCGATTCATGAAGAAGATGATGATGATGATTAGGTTGAAGTAGAAAAAGAAACAAGTTTTATCTTTCAAAGTGGAAACTTTTACTCACTTATTTATCTTTCAACATTCGACATTATTTTTTTTTTCTGTCTATTTACCTTTCGCTCTAATATTTTACCATTTTCATCTTCTCTCCTTTTCTCCTTCTTCGTCTTCTTTATCATCCTTAATCTTACCCTTTTTCTTTCTTTATCTCTGTCTTCCATTTATCATCATCTTCTCCCACTTTTCTTCCATCTACTTACCTTGTTTTCTGTTTACCTGTAAAACTTTTCCTACTATCGCAACATTTACCTTAACATTTTATCCAATTTCCTACTTCCTTTTTTCTGCTCACTTTTTCTGGTTTTCTGGTCTCTTGAGGTTCGTACTTATTTTGTGTCCCATTGCCTTTTCGTAGTAAAAGAAAAGGTTACGATTTGTTCTGGAAACAATTTACTAATCATTGAGAAATCTCATAAAAGTGGAACTAATTAACTGCTAATTTTTCAACAAAAAATTTCCATTGATTCAATTCTTTGCAATTTAAGTCATAATAAATGTAATTATCTTGTAAATTGTGGCTCATTTTTCAAGGTGGTGGTGTTTTTATCATGTCATTCAAAGCATAATTGTTGAAGGAAATGTAATTGCAATTACAGAAAGAAAGAAATTACATTCAAATTTATTAAAATGCTAACATCATCTAACTGACCAATGGTCAATATCTCATTATCTATTATCGTTGACGTTGATTGTTGCTATGAAATAATAATGGTTTTGAAATGCGTTAATCAACAAATTGGTAATATTTAAAAGCCTCGAGGTTTTAAGCTAAAGATCAATGGTCGAGTTTTAAAATTTCGAGTTGAAAAAAAGGTTTATAAATACATGAATGGTTATTAAATATTATATAATAATAATAATGAGAAGCTTATCTTCATCATCCTTTTCATCATCATCTTCATCTCTTATAATCGGGAAATGAAACTGAGCAAAAAAAAATTAGATAAATGAAACTGGTTTCATGAATCAAGATGAAAACAAGAATCAACATGATGATGAAGATAAAGATAAAGATGAAGATAAGGATGAAGATGAAGATGAAGATGAAGATGAAGATGAAGATGATAGTAGGAACAGGACATGTTGAGGTGAAGGTAAACTGATCTTCATCTTGAGACAGTAACATACATTAAATGGCTTAACGAGGTTGACCAAATGAGAATCGATTTGATCATTTTGTTTATATTGTTAAAAATCAATTCAATTCAATGTTAATATGGTCGCAGTGAACTTTAATTGTCCTCTAATTGTGACAAAAAATCTGCAACACTATTGATTTACAATTAAGATGAACAAACAACCAATTGATTTCGAAACAAACTGATAAAGTTTTGTTTCTATCTCTTTTTTTTTGAGATTATATTTTCGTTACTGATCAAATGTAGTTAACAATTAATCTGATTGTTATAATTAGTTTTTTTTTCTCCAAACATTTTCTTGTCACTGTTCATCAGACTGTACAATTTAAAATTCATAATCATTAACTAATCACAATCAGTGATAAAATATTGAGAAAAAAACAAGTTAAATATTAATTTAAATTGTAAACATTAACTATTTGATTAGTTAATTTTATGTCTAATTGATTGTGTTTGTATTTATGTTTACACCAAATGTTTTCATTACAATTGAAATTAATTGTTTATGAGTAACAAAAGAGGAAGAAATTAAATTGTAATTTACTTTCGTTGTTAATTGTAGTTGATTGTTACTGTCTACCTCTCTCTCTCTTTCCTTGTTACTCTTATTAATTGTTGGTATTATCCTTTTAATTGTATCCCAATTAACAATCCAAGGTTAATTTTATCTGTAATCACAAGATAACAATCAAGTAACAATTAGTTAAATGGTTAAAAATACGATTAATGTTGATATTACATTGAACTTCAGTCCGGATGGTTAAGCAATTTAAAAGGCGATATAAAAATTGGTTAACTAATCACAATCAACTGATCAATGATAAATTGATTGTTGTCATAGTTATTATTAAAAACTAATTAAAGTCCAGTTGATTTCGGGCTAAATAATAAGCTAATTTGTTTCCATTAGCATGTAATTATTAATAAACAAAAATCAAATAAACAAATTCAGGGTTAATGATCTAATTAATTGTTAACAATTAAAAGTTTATCATTAAATTGTTACTTTTAAACGTAATAAAACAATTAACTACCATAAAAGTAACAGGTAATTGAAGAGCAATTTAATAAAATAATAATAATCCAAAGCTTAAACAATTAATCAATTTCTCATCAACTTGAATTATGGTGTTACAATTAACAGAAATTAATAATATTATTTAGTAATTTGTTCACAGAAATCAGTCAATAAATTAATTACCGATCCTTAATGAAGGCTGATTCCCTTTAATTCAGATTAAAAGTAATTTTCATCAATACGGATTACAATTAATCGATCAACAGTTAATTCAATTGATTAGAGGTTATTCAAAATTCCGAGTGAATTTTTGCTAATCTGATTAGAAAAGATGAAATTAATATTATTGTGAGAGTTTTAAATGAGTTGAGATCAAAATAGTTACACTAATTGTTGGTGGTCCGAACATGAAGCTCATTTAATTTGATTAAATTACAATTCGATTAATTGTTAAAACTGTGATCATGTTGAGAAAACTTTTTTTCATCAATCAGAATTAGTTCATTTCTCCGACACCAGATGTCACTAGTGATCGGATTCGAGTTCGATTTTACAAACGATTCTGATTGGTCGATTTCTCTCTTGTCACGTGACTTTTTTTCAGGTCAATTTGAATTTTTTGCTTTCGCTCAACTCAAACGGCTTTTGATCTTAGAAATAGACTTTAGTGTTTGTCTACCTGTTCATCTTTACCTGAGTCTTTTTTTCAATCTTTTTGTTTGTCAACATTTTTTTTTTGGCGCTTTTCATATTAACCAAATTGTGATTAATTTACTCTGGTTTCTATTGTGTGTGTGTTTTGTTTTGTCACCAATCAAAGTGAACAATTAATTCTTGGACTAATCAATAAAAAGTGAAGTGTGAAAATTCAATGGATTAAAAAACTGACCAATTCTGATGATCTTTGTCCACCTCAACACACATGTAAGTAGTTGGTCATTTTTCACCATTTTGAATTTTTGTTTTCTCGCAAATTTAAACATCGAGGTTGTCAAATTGTTGGTGATTAATAGTAATTTTGTTTACGTTTATTGTTTAAACTTTGATTGATAGAATTACAATTTTCAAATTTATTTAATTTAAACTGTTGTTGCTCCTATGGAGTCAATTGATAGTGATGATGAGGTTGTTGTTGGTTGGGGTGATGGTGGTGGTGGTGGTCGAGGAGTTAATCTGTTGATTGATTGTTGAATTTCACTTAACATGTAGATGATTGTGTCTAATTTACCATCTAAAGGTGGAGGTGGTGGAGGTGGGAAACCGAAAGGTGGTCGAGGTCCTCGGTGGGGTGGTGGTGGTGGTGGTCCACCCATTGGAGGTGGTGGAGGTGGTGGCGGGAAAACATTTGAACCCATTTCTTCAGGATTAAATTGTTCAAATTGTGAGACAACAATCGAGGTGAAACCAATAAGAATCAAAGTAAAAACAAACAAAGTTTTCATCTTGATTTAAATAGCTCGAGAAACACAAAGAGAGAGAGAGAGAAACAATTAACTAATAACGATCAAGTTGGACAAATGATTGTAATTTAATTTGATTTGATTGATTTACCCAAAGGGTTTTGTTTATATACACAAATCTAAACCACTGATTGAATTAATTAGATTTTAATCAATTGTAAAAGTATCGAGTACAAAACATTAATCAATTGATTATAAGACAAAAATCTGTCTACTCATTGGGTAACAATTGGAAAATTAAATCATAGAAATGATTTAATTGTTACCCAAACAATAATCCATGAAATTAATTGAACTTGAAAATTGATAATCAAAGTCAAAACCATAAAAACAATTATTTAGATACAATTAATCAATTAATTGTACAGAAAAAAAAGAAAAAAAGAAAAAAAAAGTTTTCTTCTTCAATGAAAAGTTAACCATCACAATACAAATACAATTAAATAATTGTAAACAAAAACATCAATTGATTTATCAATTAACCCGAATGAAAGTTATCCCTAATTTTGATTAACTTGTATCATGACCTGTGGTCAACAATTGAATGGAAACATTTTGTAGTGTATAATTTTGCCGTAGGCATGATAATAATAGTAGCCCAACGCAAAGGTAACCATAATTTCAGCCCACCTTTGGGCCATGATAAAGATGAGGAAGATGATGAAGATAATGATAGAGGATAAAGGTAAAAGTCTATGATAACCTTTGTTCAATTTTCTAAAATAACTTTATTACTCTATCGTCTTTTTTTTTATTGTGTAGAATAAAAAAAAAAGAATAGAAAAGCTCTAAGTTCTAGTTAAAAAGAGAAAGAGAAAACCATAAGAAATAAGAGATGAGCCAAAGTCCTAAAACGTGATCTTTCAAGAATTGGCCTTAGAACTTTTGAAGGAAAAAGGGGAAAAACAGGTAGTGAGAAGATGGAGAAGGGGAAAAAGCCACCGGGGTAACGGTCATTTAAAACTTTCGCTCTTTTCTCTTGTTACCAAAATTCAATATTTTTAACATTTTACGCTTTTTATCATTTCCTTCATAATACATAATATTATTATCGTTTCTCTTGCAACAGGTAAACATTTTAGGTCAATACATTAATATGTGTGTATCTTAACTTCGGGCTTGGTGTTTGATTATGCAATTTAAATACTCGCACACACATACACACACCTTATACTAACTTGTAACCTAATCCTATTCCCTAAATTATCAAAGTTTGCTAAATCATTGTAATCAACATAATCGTCGTTTTGTAATTTGTTTTGTTGTATATTAATCGTTGTTTACTTAATTCACATTTTCCGGTTTACTCTCATATTATGAATATGATTGTGATTAAAAGTCTTAAAGCAACTTAGCTTTGTTTTCTTGTTCTTTTGCTGGAAATTATGATTTAAACATCTACACACTCTCAGGTTAAGGTTCACTTGTTATTGTTATTATTGCCATTGAATGTTTACCATTGTTAGTTTCTTGTTTTTGCTTATTATGTTTTGGCATGTTTATGATGAGAAGATGATGATGAGGGAACAGGAGGAGGTGGAAAGATGAAGAAAAGAGATGAGGAGGAGGAAGAGAAGCCATTTTTTTTATTCTTTCTCTCTGCTAATTGTTATTTTCTCTCTCTTTTTATCCAACGTTTTAATCTTATCTACGCTTATAACTAGTGGACTTTGGATAACTACTTTTACCTTTAGCAGTTTAATTTAAATGCAATTGACTCTCTCTCTCTCTCTCTCTCTCTCTCTCTCTCTCTCTCTCTCTCTCTCTCTCTCTCTCTCTCTCTAAGAATGATAATCAATTTTACCTACAATTTGTCATTCAACTTGGCGAAAGTAAAAAAAAAAGTGTAATAACAATCAACAACAATCAGTATATCGGCCAATTAAATTGTTTTCAAGGAGCAACAATAAAGACAATAACAATTGAAGTATTAAGATGTTATAATGAGCCATCTTTCCTGATGGTTTTACCTTAATTCAACTGTACCCAAGTAGCTGTTAGTTTTTTTTGAGCTTCAGAGACTTTTTTCCTTGCAGTTGATGTGCTAAAGAGTCTAGGCCCTCCAGGAGTGGGGTGGGATTGACAAGGGGCTGTGTGTGTGCGTGAGAGAGAGAGAGTGAGGTTCGTTCACAAGGTTCACGCAAGATTAACAGAGCGTCTTGAGCTTCTGCTGTTAAGGGTAACCTTTTACCAGGGCTTAACATTTGTCTTCCCTGTTTGTTGTTGTTGTTGCTTTTTGCCCTCTCATCTTAACATTTGGCATTAATGCAGTGAAATGTACTTCCGGTGAATAGGATGAGGGGAAGTGATGCTGTTTGAGATGAAGATAAAATGATCAACATCTCCTTGGATGTGTAAAAATAAAGATGATGCTCATCTTAAATTGTATATGGAATCCGAATGTTTTAGAACCGGAAAGAATAAGAATATTGTTATTATATTTTATTTTAATATGTTAGAAAAAAAATATCATTCGAATGACCGGAAGTAGATTTACATTAAATTCGAAAACTTTTTCTGCCAAATATTTACTCTCAATGGATTATCATATTAGAGAAAAATGTTTGGTACTTGAACAATTTAAAAAATTCGTGGATTAAATTTTTGATTTTTCTTCTAATTGTTAATCAGCATGATTTTAGTTTTTTTTTTCTTAATCTGTGATTAGTTGATTAAATTGTGATTGAATGTTTTTCACTTATCATTGTTACAAATTGTTGATTAACAGAAAATTATTATAACGAAACAATTAACTCGTTGATTGAATGATTAACCTCAAACCAATTAACTACAACAGAAAAGTTTATATCTGACTAAAATTTGTATGGTTTTCAATAATTGATTAATTGCCGATGATTGATTGACAGATTTAGATGGAGGAGGGAATAAGATATTTGAATTTTGTGAGGTCTATTTCGTGTTGATTATTCATACATAAAATAAGAAGATGTAGTTAGATGACCATCATCATCTTCTTGATGATAATGATGACCGGAAATGTCGTGAGTTCCTTAATGATAAGTTCCAGTGAACAAAGTTAGGAGAAGATGGATCGTCTTCTGATCCATATTGACCTTAAAGTCGTGGCGATTCACATGAAGAGAGAAAGCAAAACAAAATTCATTCATTAAATTTGATTCTCTTTTCCATTCCAACAATTTACTAATTACAGGTTAACAAGTCGCGTGTATTGAATCAGAAAACTTTTACAACCATTAAACGAGCATCATAATTATGAATTACTATGGAAATGATAATCAACAATATCATAGTAGTTGTAATAGTTATGAGAATTCAATTCATTTGTTTACCTGTGGTAAAATTTTTCCATTGATCATGGATTTCAATTAATCGATTGACCGTCAATTGTAATTGTTATTATTTCTCTACGGAAATGTAATCAATGCTTTCGTGTCATATGTTGATTCGTTGGGTTAATTATCCAAACGATTGAAAGTTAATTGATTAAATCTGAATTGAAATGTTTCCAGAATACATGATAAACCGAATCACCATGATCATATATTAAAAGGTGATCGACTGAATTACTCTCGTTGCAATTGTATTATGTCAAAATTAACAATTAATCAACTTTATTATAACGTTAATTGTTGGAATATGTATTAGCAGATGATTGTAACACAATGATACTGTTAATCATGATATTTCATGATAAATGATCATTCAGACAATTTAATTTGTTCGTCATTACATTTTGTTTACTCCTTCAAGTTTATTCACTATAAAGTCTATGGTAAACAATTTACACTCTTTAACTTTAATTGTCTTCTCTGTGATTACTAACAATTATAATTGTAACTCGAAAAATGGTTCTAACCTCGTTGATCGGACTTTTTGCCTTGACCGTTACCGTTTCTGGTAAGTTTGATAGATTGATTTTCTTTTCTTTTGGAATATCGTTTCAAATATATTTCGATCTTTTTTACTTCAGGTAATTTCTTTGGATCACCATTCCCACCGATGCCAAACTTTCCCTCATTTCCCTCTTTCCCTTCGAGCTTTGGATCAGATGATTTCTCTTCTCAATCCGCTTACCCTGGATTCAACTCTTTCCAATCTTCATTTCCTTCATTCGGTGGTTCCAATGGTTTTGGTTCTCAATCTTTTGGTTCCTCTTCCGATGGTTCAGGTAACAATGTTGTCCAAACCATCAAAGTCGAAAAAGATGGACCTGATGGCTCGAAAATAACTGAAACTATCGAAGTCGATGGGCCTAATGGTGGATCATCAGTTAATCGTCAATCCTCATCTTCATCTTCATCCAACTATGGAAGTCCAGTGAATGTTGTTCATTTCCAAGGTGGAAATAAAAAGCCCTCAAGCCAAGGGATCGCTGTTGGTGAACCAAACCCTTCGGCACCAGGAAATCGTGGTTCTAATGGTGGTTTCCCATCATATGATGATTTCTCTAGTTCTTTTAGTAACTTTAACAATGGATTCTTCCCATCATCAACCGGTATTTCTACCGCTGCTACATCATCTTCGGCCTCTAATTTCGTCACCTCTTCATCGACCAAAACAAATCCCGACGGAAGTACAGTTACCGAAACTGTAACTTATGATTCAAATAATCCAAGTAAAGTTACTCGGGTCATCAAAAGAATCGATGCCAATGGTAAGGTAACAATTAAAACTGTTTAAACTACAATTGGTTAATCTATTTGATTAGAAATCGCGATTAATTATCCATAAATGAGAAATAAAAAACACAATTTAATCTAAATCGTGATTATATTTGCGCGAATTGATGTAAATACAATCCATGGGAATTTTGTTTCTTCATTGAATACGAAACTTTTTTTTTCTCTCAAAATTCTTGATGATTCTAAATAATCATCATGTTAAGCATCACCGAACTGAAATGCTCTATCTGTGTGTGGTCAAAGAAGGTAAAAAGTTAATTATTGTTACAATTGACCGAGAATTGAAATTTGAATGCAATTCAATCAAATTAATCAATGATTGACATTAGAAACTTTCAGACCTCATTGCGAATACCTTTAATTATCATTACATAAGATTGACAGGTTTACCTGTAACTAAGATAGAGATATATTCAAAATTATATAGGATGATGAGGATTATCAATCTCATTATCTAGAGATGAAGATAAAGATGAGTGTTAAAAATCATTGATATCGATTTGAATACCTGGTAAGAAGCGACTGCCTCCATCACCACCACCACCTCCTCCTCCTCCTTCTTGATGATAATTCACTTAATCATTTGATATGAATGATAATGATTTCTCAGGAAGATGATGATGATGATGATGATGTTAATCTTACCTTTACCTTAATGGAATAAACAAAAGTTTGACCTTGAAATATGTTAGATGATTATTTTTGTTTCTCCTCCGTTGATTTTAGGGACAATTTTCATAGAGATTTTTGTTTTCTACTGCTCTTTTTTTCCCTAACTTTTTGCCTCCTTAATTACTATCATTAAAATTCGTGATCCATTTGTAAAAAGAAAAGAAAGAAAAAAAAAATAAAACAGAAACAGTAGCAATGGTGGTAAAAGATGAAGATAATGATGATGATGATTGTGACTCTGATAGAAAACTAGAAAACAGGTAAATAAGAAATGATAACAGTGGGTTGATGAATTTTATCTCGGCTCTTTTTTGCTTCAACAACTTTCATCCAACTCTCTCTCTCTCTCTCTCTCTCATCATTATCCTCCTCTGCCTCCCCTAACCTGCTTCAACAGATATTAAAGTTTCGTCAACCTTATTATCATCTTCATCGCTCATCATCAACCTTGTCGCTCTTCCCGTTCCCCACCCTCTCCGTTTTACTTTTTGCTATTTTGTCAGTTACAAAATACACGCAGTTTTTTATACCTGAAATGTTTTGGATGATGGTCACTATTATCTTAATCATTATCACTATTATATAAACTCTGCTCTCTCTCTCTCTCTTTCTATCTCTTGAGAGGAGTTTGACCTTAACTTCCGGTCAGCATCTTCTATCATCATGTAATCAAATCTTATAAAGTAAAAGTCGTAGCTTCCTTTTAACATCATCATCTTTTTCCTCTTTTTTAATGTATCATCTACACATCGGTCATCTTATCATCATCTTTCATCCTCCCTCATCCTCATCCCTTTTTATATAAATAAATGAGGTTGTGAGGCCTTAGCCCAGGCCCTGGACCAAACCTTTTTCGTGTCAAAAATACTTAAATAACGTTATAATGTATAAATATCGTTTATAATAAGTTGACCTGCTATTTGCATTTTAAACTTTCCTCTCAACTATTACAATCTTAACACAGTGAAAAAAAAGGTTACAATTTAGTCTTGATTAAACTACTGCTAAGTTGATAATAATCTGGAACAATTTATATAATTTTAATTGTGATCTAAACTCTAGATCAACCAAAAATAGTGCTACAACAATTAACTTAATCAGGATAAGCAAGCAAAACAAAAAACAACAACTAATCGTCATATTTACAGTCAGAATTAATGAAAAAAATTCAATTTATTATCATAAAACTATTGAATTTTATGTTTACTTGAATGACCATCAATTGATAGTTAATTGTATCACTTTTTATTACTATTAGTTTACCAATAAAATGATTTAATCGATTGAACAATTAACTCAACTGTATTTAAGGTAATATGTAGGTATCATTACCGACTCTTTCTTTGTTGAATGAGATTCAATCAACCTGAAATTGGTCAATTTACTGACCACACAAAGTTGAATCATCATGATAATAGTAACGAAATCATAATAACTGTAATAAGAAGCAATTTATAAATTGTAATGGTCAAAATTTGATTGTTGGTCACTATTTATTTGCTGCTTCCAAGGGGAAAGTTATCAAAGTGTTGATAATAACAAGTTTGATTTAGTTGATTTCATGTTGATCATTGAAAAATATTTGAAAACTAAATTGTTGCTTAATTATCAATCAATTGAATGATTTGATTTTAATAATAATCGCACTTAATTGTTGTAACAGTTTATTTTACATTAATGTTAAATACAAAATTCATTATAATTAAAATCGTAAGTTTAATTTACTATGAGAGTTAATAATGTTTACGGAAAGCAAAAAATTACAATCTTACAAATCTTAATGATTATTAGTTAAAAAGTTAAATTAACTATCATTAAACGTTAATTTAATCACGATTTGTTTTTCTCGCTGTACTTACATTGATCACAATCAACAATTAAATTTAAAATTAATTCAAATTAAAGTAACAACTAATATCTCAATGATACAAATTACGTTGACTTTTACTTTTCCTCCCTGATTATGATTATTATTATTTTCCTACTTGATTGTAATCAGCTAATTAAATGAATAGTCAATGATCATGGATACTAAATGTATTTACCTGGCAACAACATCAACAACAATTAAAAACTTTAATTGTACTGTTTTCCTATTCAACTCGTGGCAAAACTTTCACTACAATTTAGGTTAATCTGTGATTACAATTTAACATTTGATTGAATTGTTATTTTTGTGATACTTTCTTAATTGTTGAATCAATTTTTTTTTGCTCTTACGTTTCCTCCTTTACCTTTATCATACATACAAAACCTTAATTGTGACTTGTAATCATTTAAATAACAATGAAATATATCAAAGGAACTGAGGTTAACCACAATCTCACTCAACCTTAACTTTAATTGTTGTGTTAATCATAATGTTTATTAACCTCACCAACAACAATCATCAACAATCAAACCTTTGTTATTAACTCAGGCATAGATTGTTAATGATTAAAGCAAGAAACAAAATTGCAATGGTTAAGAAATGATAATAATAATTGTTACAATTAGCAAGACATTTCAATTTTAATTTCAACTGCAATTTTCCAAACGCATTTGATTAATTGCAATTCTCAGACTTAAATTGTTAACAGTTAATTGTGTACAATTGTAATTTCAATTTCAATTTCAATCTCAATCTCTTTCAACTGTTCATTTTGTGCTCTCAATTATTTTTTACTTTACAAACAATTTACAATGAAATTCATTGCAATAAACTCATCATCTCTTGATTGTTGATTGTTGATTGTAATTAAAGAATCAGTTCTTGCTGTTATTACTCCCTCATCTCAATTATCATCATTTAGATAATTATCTTTTTTTTGGTCCATCAACATGATCCATCAAAAGACAGTCATCAAAGTAATCAACATCATCATTATCATGAAATAGATTAAGATTTCTGTTGATTACTAATGAGTGAGAAAAGGTTGGTTTTTTAATCACAATTTACAATTTCAACCTACCTTTGATTGTCCAGGTAGATGTTGTTTACAATTAAAACCAGGAAAAACAGGGATAGGAGTTTACCTGTTGAAAATGTTTGATGCTATTTACAATTTAAAAAGTTCATCTAATTTACCTGAAAGTTTCATCTTATATTATCAACAATTAGCTGATATTCAAGGTATTACTTGATTGTCCTCCTCTTCACATAATATAGCAACAATTAAGTAACAATCTAATTACTTGAAAGGATTGTCCTTCTCTTATTGATTATGATGGACAATCAAATTGTTAAGATTTCGTCTTATAAAACCATCATTTACAATTCACATACAACTGATTAGGGTCAATCATTAGATTGAAGTTTCTACTTGAGTAAAAAAAAAAGGATTGACAAAATGTTTCCAAATCATAATAGTTACAACATTTTTCCAGCAATTAACCTTGATTTTGAGTTGAATGTGAGAAAAAGCAATTAAAGCCGTTACCAGGATTATATAATACGAAGATGATTCTCTTAATTGTGATGAAGATTCGGTTGATTGTAAGCAAAATTTCAATGATAATTAAAAGGTAAACAAATAAGAAAAATAATCAAGCGCTGGTCAAGTTTATCAATCATAAAGCAGCAACATAAAAGCCACGCCAAGAAAAAGTTAATCTCATGTTGATTACTGAAAAAAACACACCGAGCCCATGATTATGATTATGATTAAGATGATGATGATGATGTACTCAACTGTCAGCCTATTCATTTCATGTTATAATATCATCTTGATTAGTTAAATTTGTAAATGAATGTGTGATAAGTGATTATGTTGCCAATTGACCGTTTTCATGAAAATTAACTAACAACAATTAAGTAGAAAAGTTTTACATATTAACCATTGCAGATTCATCATCATCTTCATCTGATTTATGTAAATATTAGTAACCCAAGTACCGTGTTATTAGGTCAGATTAGGAGCATCTTCACGATGAGATATTCATCATAATTATCATCTACAATTTACTCATCATCTTGTTCATCATCTTCCTCAATTCAAGTCTAGCCTTGTTTTTTACATCATCTTCATCTTCATCTTCTCATCATCTTCATCTCTTCATTGAGATGCTTTTTTCTGTTGATCTATTTAAATGGTTTACAAGACAAAAATACTTTACTTTTGGTGATGGGAAAGTTTTTCTTGTTGTGGTACCAAAGTTTTGACCCAAGTTGAGGATTAAAAGATTAACTCTAGATTAAGATTAGATTTCATCATCATCATCAGCACATTAAAAGTATCAGCAAGCCCATTGGATAATTTATCTTTACCCTAATCTAATTTTCAATAATTGTTTCCCATTGTCAACTTTAAATTGTAATCACTTTTGTTTGATTTGATTAAATATCGGTGACAATTTTCAATTAACTTTGTTCGTGACATTTACCAATCAATTAACCAATTTAGCTATTAGATTATCACATTGATTGACTAGCTTTAATTAGCTAATAATTGGGTAGCAGTTTAATTAATGTTTATTGTTTCAAGTTAATTGCTTCAATTAAGTTTAATGTTTCAATTACTTGTACATAATCAATGATAAAAATCAACAGGTTGTTGTTTGTTTCAGATTTCATTGATTTGTGAATGATTTTGTTACCTGTTCAAACAAATTCATTGCCTTTTTCTCATCATCATCTCACCCTGTCATCCTTATCATCTTATCATCTTATCATCTTCCCATTGCTCTTGTTACCCAGAAAATGTAACAAGTTTACCTTTAGATTAACAGGTAAAACTAATAAGAGAAGAATAAAAAAGTTTTCTTTTCCAGTATTCGAATTTTTTTCTTCCCATTTTTGTTGATTGTAAATACACTTAATGACGATTGTAATTGTTGTGTTCAAATTGTTAAACTTCAATTGATAACAATCAACTTAATCTTTCAATTCTTAGCAATGTTACTTTTCAATATATTACATATTGATTGTTGTGATTTCTTTTCATCCCTATTGAAACAATTTACAAGTACAACAACAATAACAATTAAAGGTAAGGGATGAAGAGGTGGAAAGTGGGTGTTGGAGTTGATTGTGAAGATAGTAACAATTTACTAATCATGTATTGATGGTGATAATCAAATCTTTGATCATATTATAATGATAATAAGTAGTTGACGGGATTATATAACTTTCACTTGATCAACAATCAGCTGTTATTATTTTATCAATTTTTGTTTATTAATGAGAAATTATTTCCGTCATTATCATCATTATAACAATTGTCTTGGTCATTTTCGTGATTGTTACAATAACGACAATTAAAGTTTATTGTTCATTTGATATTCATGATTGGTGATGATGTTTATCTGTTTTCTTTATTGATTGATTGGTAATAATAATCAAATTAATTGTCATTAATGTTAACAAGATATGCAAATTAATTCCATCTAATATTTTATAACAATCAACATGAGATTATTACTATTATCTAATTAGTGATTTGTTATTTTGTTGATAATACTTTTATATATATATAAGTTATTATGATGATAACAAGGATTAAATTGTATCCTGATTGTTGATAAGTTAATTGTTCAATCATGAAGCAGTCTAAGAGATACACTTTTCATATTATCATAACAATTAAGGTTAATCGAGAATCAAAATATTTTGATTGTTGTTGTTGTGAAAATGTCATTGGTTTTTTTACCAAAAAAGTGGTGAAAATTTTGGGATTAACAATGAGATTTAAAGTAATACAAGAACCCGTGGGTCCCTTAATCTTTTGTTAATCCAATATCTCTGGGACTCTTATCCTTTTGTCATCATAATCATCCTTTGTATTTCTGCCCTAAGGCGATAAGAAAAAGTTTCATCTCTTCTTAACCTTTTATCTTCTTATTTTTTTTCTTCATCTTCTCTCCTACTCATTGAAAGACTTTTTTTTTCCAAGGTACATCACCATTGTCATCCTCATCTTTTACCTGTGAAAAAAATGTCATTTCAAGAGTGTAAATATTTCATCTTCATTCATTGTTGTAATGGTTGGTCACCTTTTCTCAATCAACTGACCAAAACAATTCATATTGACACTTTAATTACTTTCATCTTCTCAAGTGAATATGTAATATGATTTTTTTAAGGAAAAAAAAACTCATTGAGATTCATTTTCATGGGTTACAAGTTCCAACTGATTCAGTAACTTCCCATGTGAAACTTATCTGTTCAATGATTTAATTAACTATTATCATCTCCATCGTCCATTGTCTTAATCATGGTGATTCACTCAACAATCAAGTCTATTGAGAAAAAAAAGAAAAGTATAATTTATGAATAATCAGTGTGAGTTTGATTGTTAATATTTACTATTGTTTAACTTGCTCATGTTATGGTTGGTTGTTGATTCTGAATAATAAGATTGATTGTCTAAGTTAATTAGTGGAAACTAATTTAAGGTTATTAACACCAACAAAGTGACAACAATTAACCTTCCCTGTTTATTATTATTATTATTACAATTTACTATTTTGTTCAACCTTTTCATTTATATTTCATCATCTCTTTTAATTTGTTACCTTAATTGTCCTCAACTTTAATTGTTGATATCTTTGTTGTTTCTTATTTCATAGGATTAATTGTTCATCAATGAAATGGATTATCTAACTCAATCAATTGGTAATCTTCAAGGTGATCTGGAGATTGGTTTTCAATCACAAAAAACGATCACAATTAACAGAGAATCAAATTCAACTCCTTTACATCCTAATCTAATTAATGGTAAGTACAATCCTAATAACTAATCAACTCAACAATCAATTGAATCAATCAAAGTTGATGCTTTCTATTTCCATACAACAATTTATATTATTACACAAATTGTTAACCTCAAATGATCAATTGTTGATTATTTCCTGTTGATTTATTAATTTGATTTCTAACTGTTAATTTTATAATCATCATCATGTTTCAATAATGTTTCAACATTTAATCAACGTGTTCCCATCAACAATTTAACAACAATATTTTAAATTGTTGTATCATAAGAATCAGCTTGATAATTGAATGTGAATTATTATTTAATATGAAATAATAAAAAAATCAGGAAATTCAATTGTAATTAAGAGTAACAATAAACTCTGTGAGAGCGATGATCATTTTTTTATTATAATTTAAGGCTAATTTAATTGTTACCTGCTGATCACAATTAGATAATAATAATAATGTTACTCTGATTATCATTAGTTAAACAAATATCTTAATCAGGTTGACCATCATTTGTGGTCATCATCAACTTAATCATGATTCTCATTAATCAATATCTTTTCATCAACCTGGTTGGTAAACAATTAGATTGGTTTCTCACTGTGATTAACTAAATCAAATGATTAAACAATAAATATCAAATGATAAAAGTCAAGACAATTAAGTAAATCAGTTAATTATACTTTTACTTGATTCTCAATGAATTATTAGAAATCAGTATAGAATCAGAATGATTAACATTTCAATTGAACAATTAAACTTTTTATCTGTTTGATTAATTGTATTTAAATAGCAGGTTAAAGTTAATTTAAATAAACTTTGTTTTCTAATTATGATTAAACTAAATTTACAATTAACTTTGTAAACATATCAAATAACCAAAGTTTAATTTAGATCAACAATTTTGATTATCTTTATAACAGATCGTAAGTTAATTATCCTGATGGATTACATTAAATTAGGTAATTTACTTGAAACATAATCAAAACAGAATTAAATTTAATCATAATAAAAAAGGGTTGATTGTTAATCAGATAGAAGGAAACAATTTAATCAGAACAATCAAGAAAAATAATCTATCTGATTATCATTATAATGATTACTATTATTATAACTTACTAATATCTAATACTTTAATGAAGTTGATTAAATTGTTTTGATTTGATTGTTAATCATTATTAAAATATATTGATAAATGATTCAGATTAGCATTTATGTATATTTACATCTTAATCATCATCACTATGATTAACTTGATTAACTGTCAATTTGATTGAATGTGATTGAAGATCTAATTGGTAATCGATATAATCATTTTTAATCAAGAAAATTTGATTCATATTTTGATTGTTGACTCTTTTTAAATTGTTGCTTTCCAATCAATCAAACTTGCAAACAAAGTATTCAATTTAAAGATGATTGTTGATTAAGTTGATTGTGATTTCGTTTGAGTTTTAATTTTAATTTGCAACCGATTGATTGTTTTTCAGGTGATTCTGATGCCGATTCTGGGATTGTCGCCTTAGGACCAGCAAGAATTGGCTCATCTTCATCAACTGACACCGATCCCGATGTCACTTTGGCCTGTAAATATGTCGCTAAATCATTGACATCTTCATCTTCCTCATCCTCATCATCTTCATCATCCAATCGAGATTCAATTGCACCTCCACCCATATCAACACTTTCTTTCAATTCGGATAAAAGAAAACCAATTTTCCAACGAGTTCGATTCGATGATCAACCGAAACCTTCGGTAACCGATTTTACTTTGCGAAAATCATTTCGAGAACTGTTCAATTCACCTACATTAATGGTCAACAATAATGACCAACGATCAAAAGAAGGAACAAAAAGATCAACAAACGATTCAACAATCAGAAATTCAAACAACAATCAACTAATTGTTTCGTCAAGCGATTCAAAGACAACTTCATCAATATCGAATTTGAATAATCATTATTCATCTTCATCACTTTCCAAAGAAACTCATCCTCTAGCTCATCGACGATTAACTGTTCCTTCACCGTTGAACCTTAAATCGTCAACATTATCGACTACAACAATTAACAAGCCAACAACTGAACGATCATGGTCAACACTTCCTCGAAATAATAAAATTAATTCCAATGGTAAATGGACCAATACAATCAATCGAAACAGCTTGAATAATGATATAAATCGCGGGAATAATTTACAAGCACCAACAATAGTAAATGGAAACGGACGAATTGGTGAAAAAATCGATTCCAATGGAACATTGAAAAGATCATTTTTCGATAATAAAAAACCGGATCTCATCGAGTCTCATTCAATAAGCACCAAATTAAACTCATCGTCATTCAAATTACCCGAGTCTTCAATCAATCTATCAACATGTTCATCGTCCAATTTACCTCAAGTACAGTCAACAACAATGTCCAAAAGTCGTAGTTGTGCAACTCTAAGTAACAACAATAAAGGTCAGTTGAAGGAAAATTCAATACAAACCAATGGAAGTTCAAACAATGAGCCGAAAATTACTAAATTGTGTACAATTGATCCTTTGGAATCAACTGATTCAATGGTCTGTGCTTTTGCCTCAGTGGCAAATGTGATCGCTGATGATTGTTCATCAATCGTCAGTGCAAAGGGTTGTGTTGATAAAGCAGTTGCTGCCGCAGTGGCCGCAGTTAATTATGTTACATCATCAAATCAACAAGTTAATTTATCAACAAATTCAACTGTAACAACAACATCATCATCATCATCATCAATCAGAAAATCATCAAATCACTCAACAAGTGTGACAACAAATGGTCATTCTAATGGTCATCCATGTAACCATGATAATCGTCATCTTCACCGTGCTCATCATAATTTTTCTCATCAATTTAATAATAATGATCGCCTTGAGCGATATAATTCAAGTAATATAAAAAACGAAATAGATTCAGATGAAATTGATGAGGAAGATGATAAGCTGGATCATCAATACGAAGCGATATTTCCTTGTGGGAAAACATCAACCTCTAATCAGGCAACTTCTAAATTAACAGTATCATCATCATTAGGAGAAATGGTAACTCAGGTCAGCTCACAATCTAAATCATTATCATCAACATCGCTCTCAAAAAGATCCACACCAACATCATTTTCATCGATCCCTTTGGAGATGATGCTGATTAAATCAAAGGAAAAGGTAACAATCGGTAATAATTCAGTTGAAAGGGAATTAAACCAATCATCAGTTAATTCCAATGAGAGTGAACCATCAAATAATCAACGAAGCATCTCAAGTAAAATGATCAGTAAATTGAACAACAACAACATTGCTCAAGATGAAGATGAAGATGATGATGATGATGATAATCTTCATCCCAATCATCATCATCATCATCAACCACAATCTCATGTTAATAATTATCTCAATGGTGAAAATGTTGACCCGATCTCAACCGGAATCCGTTACAAGTCAATTCTTAAACGTAGTTCAACAAGTTCACCAAATTGGCCTCAACAATCAATCCATTTTACTGAAGAAGAGACCGGGACGAAAAATAGAAATGATGATGGAGATGAAGATGAAGATGGAGATAATGATAATGATGGAAAATCAGAAGAAATAACTGATTGTGATGGAGAAAAATCAAATGAAGAAAATCCTGTTGGTGGAAATAATGAAGAGAGAAAAGTGGATGAGTATGAGGAGGATAAAGTTGTCCAGAAAAACGAAACCGAGCCAATGGCCTTACAGATCAATGGTCCGTGTTCCGTACCAAGTTTATCATCATCTGCATCATCATCACCGAGAGTATCATCCGCATCTTTTACTGCCTCTTCCTTATCCTGCCAACCAATGAACCAACAACAACATCACCAAAGTAAAGTTTCATCTAAAAATTTAATCGCCAATTATTTACCTGCCAATGGATATTTAACTCAATCAAATAGATTGTCATTGATCAATGATCATTCAGAAGCTACTTACCTTCAACCTGATCAAATTTATCCTAATCCTTTACCATCAGCAACACAATCAATCCCAACAATTGAATCATCAACGTCATTAAAACTTGATGGTCAATCTCAAAGATATTCAAATGATGATGATCATCACCATCAACAACAACAACAACAACAATCAACTAATGAAGTTGAATATGCAATTATAACCAAATCATTTGAGAAGAAAAATGTTTCTAATGAATCAACTAATATTAATTTTAATCATAATCAACATCATTATCATTCATCTCAACCTAATGATAATCGTTCAACTTGCCAACAATTTACATCTCAACTCACAGGGGATAATAATAAATTGTTACAATCAACATCATTAACTGCTGGAAACGTTAATCCAATAGTAAAAATGACTCGATTTGCATTAGATGAAACCGATGGAGTTAATTACAACCGTAATAGCAATTTAGCTAAAAGCTCATCGTCAACAGTAATTACACCTTCGGCAGCTTCAAATGGTAATAATAATAAATGGTTAACTAAGCGATTTGGTGGCCTGAGAAAAGCGATATCAAGAGCGTTCAGTAGTGATCGATTACCCAAAGAAAATGGAATCAATTTTAATGATAATCTGACTGCTAATTGCAAGGGATCATCAACATCGTCCGGACTCAGAGGAATTGAATCAACTTCAACCAGGGTTAAAAATTTGAAAATTTCACCCTCCAAATCAACACCAAATCTTAATTGTAGATCACAATTAACTGATTCTTCTTGCCAACGAAATCATTCAAGTGAAGATTTAACTATTGATTTAAAATCGTTTGTGAAAAGTGTTAAAAATCGTATGAGTTTTAGGAGAAAAGATCAAACCAAAGGAAAAAAAGTAACAACAGACAAATTAGATAATTGTAAATCTAAATTGTCAACAATTAATCAGCAAATTGTTAAAAGCGATCACAATACTGATACTAATCAAAGGTTAGTTAAACATTGAACCATTTCAATTGAATTAATGAAAAACTTATCAATGGCTGGATAATACAATTACCCTCAAGCCAATCAAACCTTTTGATAACATTTTCTCAATTATGGTTAATCAATGAGCCATAAAAGTTAATTGTTACAATTTATTAGACTTTTTTTTTGCTACTTAAATTGAAAGTAACAATTAGTTAACAATTGAATTTTGTGCTCATTGATTTAACTTTCAAATGTCATAGTATTTCAATTGAAATCAAACAAATCTAAAAGTGAAAACTTTTGGCTTTATATTGATTAAAATATTAGTTTAATGATCACTAATCATTGATTTGAGTTATAATTAAATTTCATCATGACTTAATCATCATGTATTGAATTAAATTGTCAGTGATTAATATAATTTAATGACAAGATAAACTTACAACAGTTGTATTAATATGATGAAAGTTGATTACGTTGACAATAATTAATAGTAATTGTTAATTATACAAATATTTAGTTCCCATCATCATAATTATGACAATTTAATTTTTTTTTTCATTATCAATCCGATTACGATTGTAAAACTTGATGATTAAACAGTAATTGATAATTAAATCATGGAAACCTTAGCAATTAAGTAGACAATTGAAACCTTAGGGGCAAATTAATCTTAAATATCTTCAACTAATCATCATCATCATTATTATTATCCTTAATTGCTTGGGTTTAATCATAACTATCTGATTGTTAATTATTATAAAAGCAAATATTTACATTATATTGATTGTTAATTGTTCTAATTGTCTACTTTTTACAGTAAAAACAATTGGATTAGTGAATCAAATAATACCAAAGATAATCTTGTCGATGATCAAGAGATTAATCAACTTTGGGGTGAATTAATTGAATTGCGATCTGATGGATCACAAGTAATTGAATTAAATCGATCTCAAAATAAACCGTTCGGCTTTTTCTTGGCAAGAGGAACAGTTAATAATGTTAAAGGTAATGATAAGAATTAATCACTCGACGACAATTAAACTAATCACTTTCCATTTGTTCATTTTTAGGTGTTTTTGTATCTCGTATGAGAGATGAGCAAACCCAAACCATATTAACTGGATTAATTGAGATTGGAGATGAAATAATTGCCATTGATGGATTAGATGTTAAAAGTTATCATAACATGGGTCAAGTTAATCAGCTGATGTCCAACAAAAAACGAGTTGTATTAACAGTGCGACCTTATATCAATCAGCATCACGATTAGTCAAAATCATCATCAATCGATATAATAATAATTCATAATTGTATCACTTTTAACACAATCAATTTATATACATAATTTAATGTTATTAGCAATCAGTCAACCTGCACTTGACCACTAATTTTGTGTAATAATTTTAATCACCATTTGAACAGCTTAATTGTTTTTCAATTCATTTTCATTTTCTGTACTCTAATATTGTAAAAAAATTAAATTCACTACAATTTATCAATTATTATTATTACATAGGATTGTTGCCCAATCAATTTGGATATTTTTTTATCAAAAAAAACCTCATTTTCTGTAAGGATATGAAAAGTTGTCGATGAAATAAAAATTTCATGATCTGAAAGCTTATCGTTGCTTAGAAAAAGTGACCTGAAGTTTTAACTTCGAACTCAATTTTCTCGAAAACTACTGATCAGATCAGAAAAAAATAAATATATTTGGACTCCATATTTGTAGCCCTACAAATACACAAAATTTGGTGCACATTCTCTTTGTTAAACACAATCAATTGTCTCTGAAGGTAATAAGAAGAGGAGCTGATTGACTCGAAATTAATTTCTTATTCTCATCAACTTATTGACCACTTTTCGCAACTATTGTTTATATTTTGTTGTCTCTTATTTTCTTAATTATTTTTGATACCAATCAACATCAATTCCATCAATCATCCCTTGAAAAAATCTCTTTAGTTAATTACTCTTACCAATTTATCTTTTTGACTATTGTTTGGCCCTCTTCTTCCTATTCCGGTCTTAAATTTTTGTAAACCATCGCCATCTAATTGCTTGGATCTCTAGCCTTTTTCTACCAACTGAATTAATTGTTAAACCATCGATTATTCTCAATTCTATTGAATTAACCGTGTACACAATTTATCATCACCATATCACTGTCACCACAATTTACCACCAACACCAATTTAGTTGAACAAACTAATGTTAGCTAAGTTGAAGAATTGAAATAAAAAAACAAAATTTTAGCATTTTAAACAAAGAAATCAAACCACAGATCAAATCGAGCAATTAAACGATTCTCAACTTAATTTCTTTAATCCATCACATAATTAAACCATCACCAATTGAATTTAAATTTCAATCCTGTTGTTAACAAACAAATTGCCTTCCAATTACTGCTAAATTGTGTTCACCTCAACTGTCTGTGTTGACTTAAGTACGAATACAATTACCAATTGATTAAAATAGTATCAACGAAGAATCAAATGGTAAACCATAATCAAGAAAACGAAACATTTGAAGAACGAGTCAAAGTAGATACGAAAGTAGGAAAAAGTTTGAACAAACAATCAACGGAGAGAATAAGGAACTTGGACCAGCAGAGTTTTTACCGCTGAACGTTCAACAAACTTATGGTGTATCAATTGACATTCATATTATTAGCAAGGGAAATGTTTTCGGTAATTTTGGTTCATCTTGTGCATCGATCTCTGTTCGTGCTCAATGACATGCGATGAAATGAGGAATCACTGTTCTTATTGAATAGCTTGTGGTCATCCAATGGCCAATAATCCTGCTTCTCTCACCATCTTTTTTACTTTGGTTATTGATATTGCATCACAACATCATTCATTTATTATGGGCCGAGGAAATGTTAATATCCGATCAATCAAACAATCAACTGGTACAGTTATCAATTTCCTTGATCCATCGGCTGTTGAAAATTCAACTATGACAACTTTACATGGTTCTCTTACCGTTCAAAAGTCAACGGTTATGATTAAAAGTCCATGTTTCGATTCAGTTGTCCTTGCATGGCAAGAACTTTTAGGTTATCTTCCTTTGGTTCTCATCTTTGACCTGAAAGAAGGTCAACAAACTGATTACACAGTTGATGAAGGATTATGAAGTCACCATTCTGATTAAACGGAAGCCTAAACTCATGAATATGTATGACTATTCTAGGGCTGAACGAGATTCTCGTATGCTTTTTCAAGTCCGATGACAAATATTGGAGTTAGATGAAAGTGAAGTTCCTAATTGTTGTGATGATGGCTAAACCTTTCTCCTCGTTTTTATCTCATTGTACCTTTAATCTAGTAAACATGATGACAATGAAAACGAATTTGGTTCTAATCTTAATTCTTCAAATTTTTTACCAAATACTTAATGGCAAGTTAATGGGCTTCTCAATTGGCCTTCAGGTGATTACTCGAATCTCAAAAATCTCCCTGATTTTGCTGCCGTTGCTGCTTCGGCCACTAACCCTTCATCTTTAGGACCCAATGGCAATCAAGGCTTTAGGCAATGCTTGCTTCTCAATTGACTAATTTCGCTGCTGCTAATCAAAAGCAACCACAACTTTCTACTCGATCAAATACTCCATCTTTCAATCTCGATATGTTGAAAAATAGTCCCGAAAATCGAAATGTAAAAGGCTGTATTCAATCTGGTCACAACATGATGGCCACTGCAACAACTCCAACAATGAATCAATCATGTCTCACAAGCTCCAAGTTCGTGAAGCTAAACCAAAAGCTAGTGAACCCCGAACTCCGACCCCATCATGGACTTGGTTTGTCTAAATCAATGCCTCACGAGATACTCAATCAAAGTCGACTTGATAGTTGCCGTGCAACTGAAAAACTGACCCCAGTTAAAGAGTCCGATGAACTTACGAGGTAAAAATCCAAACAATGGTCTTCTTGCAAATGGCTCATTGACCAATGATCTTCCATCATTCTAGGAATCGTCAAAATATCCAACTGCCAATGGAATGAAAACTTTACGTAAACAGCAAAGTTTCAATTTTCAACTTACACTGGAAGCCTGGAGGCCTTAACCCGTTTGGGCCTTGCAAAGTATATTGATTATTTTCAACGTGCTGATATCGATTTAATACTTTCTTATATTTTAACGACACCGAAGAACTTGGTATACCTTACTTTGGACGCCGAAAACTGTCAAGTGTAATACTTGACTGTACTTTCACCGTTCAACCATTTCGAAGCTACTCCGGGTGCAGAGAGAATACCGGAAAGTGGAGAACATCATTTGAAACGAAACAAAAAATGCGAATTATATTCTTGCTTTCACCTGAATAATCTTTTTTTTATTTGGATTGATAAAATAAACGCATACATAATATATCCACGTATTCCTACAGCATTTACTCACACACATCTGAACACAAATGTAACAATCATATCATTAAAAAGACAATCAATAAACATCCACACTAACAAACTAAATACAATAGAAACAAAATACAATATGTAAATTAAGTAGCTCAGAAAACATCCACAATAATTTAAACGAAAATTCAAATCGACATTTCAATTCCTGTTGTAAACTCTTTCACTTTTCTCTCTCTCTCATCATCATCATTATTATTATTATCCTTGGATTATATGTTAAAAGTTATCATAACATTGGTCAAGTTAATCAGCTGATGTCCAACAAAAAACGAGTTGTATTAACAGTGCGACCTTATATCAATCAGCATCACGATTAGTCAAAATCATCATCAATCGATATAATAATAATTCATAATTGTATCACTTTTAACACAATCAATTTATATACATAATTTAATGTTATTAGCAATCAGTCAACCTGCACTTGACCACTAATTTTGTGTAATAATTTTAATCACCATTTGAACAGCATAATTGTTTTTCAATTCATTTTCATTTTCTGTACTCTAATATTGTAAAAAAATTAAATTCACTACAATTTATCAATTATTATTATTAAAATGAAAGAACCAATTTATATGAGTACAAGTATAAAAATGTGATTGTAAAAATATCTTGAAGATTAATCAACAATTGGTAATGATTAAGTATCGATTGTTGTTGTTGTTTTTTTATCATAATAATTGATTATTACGATTCTAAACAATATTGATGTAGATAAGTTTCCAATTTGTAGGCAGAATTTTCTGGTAAATGATAACGTGATTCGCACTCTCGAGCGGACGGAGCTCCTTCTGGTACATTTCGATAATTTTTGGTACAAGTTCCATTCAGATAATCGGGTAAATTTTCTGGTTCAATGTAATCGTTGAGATTAAATCGATTAATGAAAATAGCGAGTCGCTGGTAATGTTCAGGTACCCAGCTTTTGGCCAGATTGTAAATAGCGTTCAAAACCCAGGGTAGTTCGTGGAGAAGGACATATTCAAGGCCGTAAGGAAAGTAACAGGAAATGGTGGTTACCATGAACGATAACATTTCGATATCAACATTGGCCAAACCTGCACCCTCACAGTCCCAGAAAGCGGCATAACCATGGCCCGATTTCTCTTTGTCCAATTTATTGATCATATAAACGAAAAATTTCTTATGAAGTTCAGACCATTCGCTTATCTTTCGGTGTAGTTTACCTCGAATATAAATCATGGAATTGCCTTTACGATCAGGTAAATAGGTGAAAAAAGAACCGGAAAGATAATATTCTTTCGGAAAATCGGTCTCCTTGAGCGAGTTAACGCCAAACGATTTTCGCCATCTCATCGATTCCCTCAACATGCCAAGGGCGGTCTCCGGGTTACCTTTACAGTGAAGTAAATACCTTTCAACTGACCAGTCATCGTTTCTTACCTGGTCAATATCTTGTTCATCATAAAGATGACCGTTTTCGGAAGCATCTTCCAGGAACAATTTTCGAACTTTGGAAATTTTATCCTCACAGGCCATTGGCTTCACTTTGGTGTTAAATTGTTTTTCTCTTTCAACTAAATCACTGGAAAATCAAACAAACAATCAATGAATCACAACCAAAAACTACTTGTTTGTTGAGCTGTTTAAACCACTTCAACTTAACATATGACAACTTGTTGAGTTAGATGACAACAGCTATCAAATTGCTCTGAGAATAGCTTCAAGTTAATTGTTATCTCATTTAACATTCAGTTGTAAATATTTAATCCGAAGTAAATTATTATGAGCCAATTGTTTTTAACAGAAACAAAAATCAATTCTTTTAATTTACTTTTTGGCTAATAAACTATGTTCAGAGTTATGTTAACTTTTCCGTTGATGTTATGATTTGTTGTTGTTGTTGTGATTTGGTTGATTTAGTGATAAGCATCAAAATAATTAGTGCTGGTAAATGAATTAAAGAGTAACGAAAAAGTTTCCTAGAAGTTGTTGCATTGGGTGTTTGATAAAATTTATAACTCAGATAAATTAGATAAATGTTGAGAGGTAAAGAACCGGCTAGAAAAGCGTAATTTGTAAGTCCAACAAAAGGTGCCGACATTGAGCACGAATAAGCGGTCAAAAGGTAAGCGTGTCGTAAGGCAGTTCGTACACAGAGTTGTTCATTTGTAACGGACATCATTCGATATCCGGCTCTTGCATAATCGTGACGAATATTCCAGGACAAAGCGTTAAAATGGGGAAATTGCCACGAATATAATATTAGTCCTAAAAGTATTGATGGTAAATCGATCATATTTGTCGCCGCTGTGTATCCCATTACTGGAGGTATCGCACCGACAATGGATCCGACCCAAGTATTGGCGATATTTGCTCGTTTCATTGGTGTATATACAAATGAATAAAGGACTAAATTGAAAGCACCAAGTGCGGCGGTCAATGGGTTAACAAAAGTCGCCAATGTGGTCAGTCCAATGGTACCGGAAATGATTGAGAATGAGAAAGCCCGACCGGAAGATAGTTGACCAAGGACTAGAGGACGATTTCGAGTTCTCATCATTTGTGAATCAAAAGGTATCTCCAAGAATTGATTCAAACTCGCAGCAGCGGCAGAAGTTAAACCAGTACCAATTAAAGAAGCACTAGCGACAATCGGATCGAAACTAGAACAACCCATAGTGTAACCAGCTAAAGTTGTCAAAACAACTAAACTGGTTAATCTAAATTTACTTAATTTAAGGTAATAATTAATTGACTTGAGACCATTTGGATCTTCCAATGGTCTCCATTCAAGTTTTACTTCATCTTGACCATCAACCAGTTCCAAGTTGCATCTTATTTTTTCAGATTCATCTCCTCGGATTTTCAATGTAAATGGTTGACCATCTTCGCTTGTTTGTTTTAATTGTTTCACACAATCTTCCGGTAGTGTTAATGAGGGTCGATCACCAGTAAATTGTGTTGATAAATGAGATGGTGAACTTGTAGTGGCAGAAAGTGATGGTAATGGTGATGATTTTGTTGATAGTCGAGATACATTGCTGTAGAAATGGCGAGTAACCACAATTTTTGGTAAATATCGAAACATAGACTTTAAATAAATCAAACTCGGTTAATCAATTGGAGAAAATATTGATTAATTATCGTAAAAAGTTAACAATTAACGGAGAAAATGAATTAATAGTTGCATGTTTCCAATGTCAACAAAAAAGTGATTCGCTGTGAAAATAGCAGCCAGAAGGTTATCTAAAAATAACTTTTGCTATTTTTACAATTATCTTCTCATGGTAAACTGAGTTTACTCAATGTTATTGAGACAATTTATAAATTTGGTTATAATAAAATACATATTTTCTTTCCATATGGAATTAATTTCAACAATAAATAGTAATATCGATTTTTTTAAAAAAGATTTCTTATCAAAAATAATGTGACAGGTTTCGATTTTTGGAGATTTTGTTTGTTTTGTTGTTTTGGTAAAATTTAATCAAGATTGATTATCTGAGGTTTGTTAATTGTTCCTCTCTTGAGTGATTGATTGTTGTTGTTGTTTGGTTTAGTTGAGTTTGACGAGCCTAATCTGAATCCAGTTCCAAGAAAAGGTGTAAAATTTGGTAATTCATAGGTGAATACATCTTCTTCGTCTTCGTCTTTATCAGTCTTTCTTTTTTGAGAGCCGTTAGTTTTAGAAACAGTGGGTAAATTTAATTGTTCTGGCGTAGTTGATTTTTGGGAGCTTTGACCATTTAATTGGTCTTCTTTAACAGCTTCAATGATGATAGAATCATCTATTTCAATATCAGGTAGATCATATGTAAATGAATCATCATCATCATCTGTTTGGCTATTTAAAATTTGAGGAATTAAATCTGGTAAAAAAGGTTGAACTGGTTGTGAAAGTTTTATATCCTGGCTACTTGAAACTTCATCTGATCCAATATCTTCGAGTTTCAATTTTTTAACTGGGTTAGATTCAAGAGAAGAACCAAGACGATAACCATTACCTGGAAAATTTTGTTCATTCTTTACGGGTGATATGTAATTTCTTATATCACCTTGTCTGATTGGGCTGCTTTTGGAGATTGGAGCAGCTTTAGATGGAGTTATTGTTGAACTTGAGGCAATTGTCTTGGCACTTGTACTTGGTGAAGAAGAAATTTTGAAGAAATCGTCGATACGTTTGTTATTTTGTAAATTGTTAGCTACCGTTTTTCCTTTATTATTCTGTTTTGGTTTAGCAGTCTTATCTGGTTCAGCTATTTTGTTAAAAGTTCCACCACAATTAGCTTGATGTGTAGTCCACCAGTAGTCATATGAACCAGGTTTCCTGTTATTGGCGCGACGGACATAACCATAATAAGGCGCTTTACCAGCACAGGGTCCATCACAACGCCAAATATGTTGCTGGTAATGTCTTACTTCATCGTGAAAAGTATGATAAACAGTAATATTGGTACCAGCTTCTTTATTAATCCTGACAAACAATGGAAAATTAGGATTATTAAAAATGAAAGACAACCAAACCAATAGATTAATTTAAAGTATCTTTTACCTGAACATATGAATATGAAATTTGGGACCATGAGATTCATGATTATCATCTTGTCGTGTCACAAATAAAAAGGCATGAATCATCTCATGAAGTAAAGTCTCCACAAGATCAGCTCTTGATCTAAGTTGAAGTAAAGGTTGTGACAATTTAATTGTAGCAAAATTAGTCCGTGGATTCCAACAGCAAAGCCCAGCAGTTGAAGTCATACGACCGGTAGACCACATAAGCTCAACGAAACTTGAAGTCAGTTTTCCATTGAAAAACCTTTTGTCAAATTCAGCAAATAAAGACCATATATTCGGATTAGGGTCCATCATTTCCCAAGCAGGATCAACCAAAGATAAATCGACCATCGTTGGTTGAGTCACGAAAAATATCAAAATAAAGAAACTACACCAAATTAACGAGCAAAAAGAATTCAGAATCTGAATTTCAGATCAGAAGAACATTTTAAATATTCGATCAGATGAATTCACTCTGATTGGTCAATTGTTCTTTCGAACCTGTTGCCATCTGGTGGTAGAGAAGAAAAGAAAACTAATGTTTACAAACGTTCTTTCTTTAATTATCGTTAATTAACTAATCTTTAATCTCTAATCGGTATATTCCTGTTTTACCGATTCTTTGAGTTAACATTAAAGTTAATTCCTTTTTCTTTGTTAATTTTCACAAGTTATAGGTTAGGTTTGGTTCGGTGTGAGACGTAAACCTAATTAATTATAACAATTGAAGGGCCTCGGACTATCAACCTATTCAGTAAGAATCTCTATGATTAAACTAATTAAACAATTTCAACCTTAAACTTGTGAAAATTAACAAAGAAAAAGGGATTAACTTTAATGTTCACTTAAAGAATTAGTGAAACAAGATTATACCGAAACAAAAATAACCTTCCATTAGGCTATTCTCACAGCAAATCTCTCAGATTTGTTGACATTGGAAACATGAGAAACTCAAACAAATTGACTTCTCTTTAAATTTATCTCATCTTTTCCAATTGTTTCATCTTAACAATTAATCATCTTAAGTGAGAATTAATTATGTTCCGATATCTACCTAAAGTTGTCGCTAATCGACATTTGATCAACAATTTATCCCGTTTATCGTCAACATCAAGTTCACCCTCATCTTTATCAACAGAAACACCAATGGTAACAACGCAATTAGATTGTGAACCCATTTCACTAATCATCTCGGATAATTGTTCTAAACGATTAAAACAAGTAACTGAAAATGGTGAATTTTTAAGGATACAAGTTGAAGGTGGTGGATGCCAAGGATTTAGTTATAAATTTCAATTGGATAATAAGATTAACGATGATGATCATGTTTTCCAAAAAAATGGTAGTTCAATTGTTGTCGATAAAACAAGTTTAGAATATATTAATGGATCGATGGTCGATTATAGTTCAGAGCTGATTCGAAGTTCATTTAGAATTGTTAACAATCCTAAAGCAGTACAAGGTTGTTCTTGTGGTGCCTCGTTCACAATTAAACTGGATTAATATCAACAATCGATATTAACAACAATCATTTCCTTTAGGAAAAACAAAAAAAAATATCCTCTTCTTTTTTCCTCATGTAATCATAACACAAATTCAAAATCGCTTCTTTAAATTAACCGAAAACAATCTCATCGAAAATACAAAATGTTACCATTAATTGAGAAGAAAAAAAAACCAAATCAATCGAAACTTTTAATCAACTGATTAAATCCAATTGATTTGAGCAAATGCGACAAATTGTAAAATGAAAATCAAGTGATACGCAAGCTTCAAACTCCAAATGTTTTGCATAACAAAACAAAATACCAATTGTATTTTAGTATTTGTATAAATTGTCGACCCTTTAATAAACACTCAGAAATGATTAACAATAAACTAATTAAATCACCAAGACAATGACTTAATTAGACACAAAGATCATCAAATGCTCACCATTAGTGTTTAGCTATTTGAAGCTGTTTTGTTTTCCTTGGTCAGCTGTTTGTTGCTCTTTGTTATTGTTTAGTGTTTATAGTTTATGTTATTTACTTTTAATTACTTGACTAATTATCCGTTTTACAATTAACCTTAACATTATATTGATTAATAATGGATTTCAATCATATCTCAGATTATTAGGACACAACATAATCTTAATTTTTTCTTCTCGTTTATCCACTTGAATGTCTTTTTTCCGAATACCTGTATTTCCCCTTTACCAACAGTTTCCACTTCTTGTTTCTCATCGTCATCATCAGCATCATTTTCAATCTAATTAAGTTTTTACCAGGGTAATTTTACCTTACCCATTGATCAGTTGATTCCTTGGTCCGTGTTAACATTTAATTAATCACCATTAACCTTATCATTTACGATAAATAGTATATATATAAATAGGATTGTGTTTCCAATTTGTGATCTTTTCCATTTGTTAACAAGTTGAATTTTTATTTCTCTCTTGGTTTTTTTTTCTTCCTTTTCTTTTTATTATATCGAATGTGATTTTGTAATTACAAATTTTTTTTAGGTAATTGATAAGTTGAACAATCAAATTGGTGCCATTATTTTGTTAATCATATAACCATGTCTACGGAAAGAAGTGAACTCAAAGTAGCCCGTTGGTATTTCGGTGGAATCGCTTCAGCAATGGCGGCCTCATGTACTCATCCACTTGATCTATTAAAGGTTCACCTTCAAACAAGTTTCACCGGAGGACAAGGAGGTCAAACTGTTACTACTGTCCAACCAACTCTAGTCACTACAACGGTTTCAATTGTCCGTAATCAAGGTGTTATCGCTCTTTACAATGGTCTCACTGCCTGCTTATTGCGACAATTAACTTACTCAACAACAAGATTTGCTGTTTATGAAGTAATTAAACAAAAATTGGTTACCATTGACCCCAATGACCCCAAGAGTATACCCAACATGCCATTTTATCAGAAAGTTTTAGCTGCCGCTTTTTCTGGTGCCGTTGGTGGTTTAGTTGGAACTCCGGCCGATATGGTTAACGTACGAATGCAGAATGACATTAAATTACCATTGGATAAGAGAAGAAAGTAATTAAACAATTAAGTTACAATTCTAACCTTTAATTGTTACCATTTTCTCTCCGTCAATATTAGTATCCTCTTTAATATATTCTGTCTCTTTTTATCAATTAACTGAAGATTTTTTCTTCACTTCTATTATCTTGATTCTCAATCAAATCATTGATTAACTATTAGAATTACAATTAACCTCTCAAGCTAAATTTTCCATCGATGATTATTACTTGATTGTAATATCTTCCAGTGGAAACAACCGCAACAATCAAGTTCTCATGTTTTTTATTTGTAATTTAATTCCTTTTCTCTAAATTTTATTATATCCTTTTTCCTATTCAGTGAGACTAAACTTTCTCTCTACTATTATTACCATTATTTAGCTTGACAACAATTAACTTTGATTGTTTCAAGGATAAATTAATAATAACACAGCCAAATCAATATACTGATACCAAAAATTATTGGTTCTGTTAGACAATTAGAATTGATTTATCTTTCCATTAGATCTAATCTTTCATTTCCTCTTAACTCTCAGTTGGCATCAATAAATAATTATCAACTTTAATTGTTAATTTAACTCGATTAATCTATTAACTGATTCTCTTTTCTTTCTCATCCATTTCTAGTTACGCTCATGCTTTTGATGGTCTACTTCAAGTATACAAACACGAAGGTGTCTCTCGATTGTTCAATGGAGCGACTTCGGCCACTTCGAGAGCAGCTCTGATCACAATTGGACAAATTTCGATGTACGATCAGTTCAAATATATGATGATGAAATATGCACCTCAAGTATTTGAAGACAATTTAACTACTCATTTTACCGCGAGTTTCCTTGCCGGGGCCTGTGCAACAACGATGACCCAACCATTAGACGTGATCAAAACCCGAATGATGAACGCACCACCGGGCGTTTACCGAGGAATAGGTCACTGTGCGTCTACAGTTATCAGTGAACTTGGACCATTAGGTTTCTTTAAAGGTAGTAAAACAATACAATCGATGGGATCGTTGAACAATTAAGACTAATTTTTGCTTTTCCACTCTAGGTTATGTTCCCGCTTTCGTTAGACTTGGACCTCAAACTGTTTTAACGTTTATATTTTTTGAACAGTTACGAATCAGATTTGGTAAATCTCGTTGAAAATTCAATCAAATTGAATCAAATCTCATTGAATGAAAGTTCAAGGCGGGAGAAAATCAACCGTTAATCACTTATTCATTTAGTACAAGAAACTATGTGATTTGTTATCATTGTGTTTTCGTTTGTAATTGTGATTTAAATTTGATGTTTTTCATCATTCTTATTATTGACACTTGACCTTAGATTTTTTTGCTCTCTCTCAATTCTATCAGCTGTTATTTTTTCTCATTCTTTTAATCCTCATACTCATTATTACTTAGCTCTCAAATATCCATTCCTTTGCAATATATGTATTGTGTGTCAAACTTAATCGATAAATTGTTCAATGTAACTTGGAAATTGAGATAATATATTAAATCACTTGAAAAGTTTATTTGTTTGGATAAATTTCATCGCACATTGTTTTAAAAGCGACAAAAGTTTCTTCGGCTGTTGGTGTTATCAAATCATCCGGTAAAACGAAACCATGATCACCGGTATCACGAAGTTCAAATGTATACGAATAAGGAACTCCAGCCTCACCATAAGCCCAATCATCTGATCCTCCGGAAGCGACGTCTTTGTAAAGAAAAGAATCGAGAATATAATCAATCATCTCTGACCATTCAAGATTAATCAACAATCAACTTACATAATAAATTGGTGGCACTTCCAACGGTATAAGGTGTATCGTAAATGGATTTCAAACTAGTGGCCGCTTTTTCAGCGACTCGGTACATTTCCTTGTAATCTTTAGGTAGATCAGTTGTCCATCCCCATGGTAAAAGAATCAATTGTGAATAAGAATGGAAACTGATGTACATGTGCCATGGGCCGTTTTTCAAGATATATTGAGACATCGCCTTTGGTTCGGGTTCGGAAAACGGAGCTGAACCAGCGTATACATCGGAACATGGATTAGTACTCGAACCACCAGCTAAAGGAGAAAAAAATATGGAAAAATATTTAATCAGTTATCAGTACAATCGTATTAATTTGTAGCAATAAACAATTACTTCGCCATTTGTAGGACCAGTTACGATTAGGATCGGCTCCACGGCAAATGTATCCCCATCTACTGTTGGTCAGTGATCTGGTCTTTCGCCACATACGATTCTAAATCAATGGTCAAACGGTTTATAAGATTAACGATATGATAAATTTACATTGGTAATTGTTTACTTACCGTTGTGTGAGTATATTCATATCCATCCGGATTGGCAAGCGGAAGTACAACAATATCGTATTTGCTCAAAATTGAATCAACATTTTCATCTTTGCCTACTGAAGTTACCAACTGAACAATGATAACAATTGGATAACAATTGCAACAATTAATAACAATTGAAATTGAATATCAAGTGAAACCATTTCAATATTTACCTTGTTGATAAAATACATTGCAGTTGATGGTCCAATCCATTCTCGAGCATGAAGTCCAGCATCAATCCAGATCTTTTTTTTACCTGAACTCGAACCTGAACTTATCTTGATTACCTTTAAATCACGTCCTTCAAATGATTTACCAATTGTTTCAATTGTGGCTACTTTTGAATTGGAACGAGCAATTTCATCTAACATCGACATCATCTAACAACCACCAATAAGACGATAAAAAAAATGATCAACAATCAAACTAATCACTTAAATCTAATCATCGGTATTCTTACGGTATCGTATCGCTGATAAGTGCTGAAAAATTGTTTAGCATTGGGTCGAGATCCTCTTACACCAAATGGAAATGGTAAACTTTGTCTTCCTTTGATTAAGTTTTCAGCATCAATCCGACTAAAGAGGAGGAAACAATTAACAAGACAATTTATATACAACTCGAAATGTCAACAATCACTTACCTTTGGACATCTTCAATCATCACACTTGGAGTTAATTGATTTGAAGCAAAAACTGGTGACAATGTTGAACGAGCCTCAGGTGATAACATGATATCAACCGATGAATTGAGGCTTCCTGGTTCTGTCCAGAAGTCAACTGACCGCTCCATTAAGAAAGTTTCATTTTGAGCTAATTGATAAAGAAAATGTAATTGGTCAGTAGTCGTTGGTTTAAATCGTAGAACTGAATAATTGTTGTATCGTTTGTAACCATCTTCAATGAAACACAATGAAAAGTTAATCAACAACAAGACGATGAAAAGTCCATTCAATGGAATCGATGTTAATTTGATATTAAACATATTCAATTTCACAATAAGTTGATTATTATTGATAAAGTAAAAAGCGTTTTCTAATCAAACGACAACAATTAACTGATGTCGTTGACTAACCAATGGTAAATGAACTAAATTTAGTCCGATCAATACAATTTATATATATAATAGGCAAACAATTTAAAGGCTCATGGTAAATTGTTTACTAATTTTAACAATGGTTAACACAGCAATTAATTATTTCTGGGTTACCCACAATTAAAATGATATCCGCAGCAACATTTCACCCTATGTAACAAACATATATCACAATTAACAATCAAAAATGAGTTTTAATTGTTACCTGATGACCTCGTTTTAACAATTAACTTTAGTCTGTCTTTGACCAATAATCAATATTAATTATTACCCATTGATAATTATCTAATCATTGACAATTGTTTGTTAATTAAAACAAAATCAACTCAATCAAAATTCATTATCATCAATAGTTTAATTTAAACTTGGTCAATGATTTGTTTAATTATGTTAATTGATTAACTAGATTTCTAGTTCATCGTAACAATTAACTATTAATCAGTGTTTTAGGTTAAATTGTTTATTGTTTAAATGTTATCATCAAATTGATCAATAAACTATCACTATTAATTATTACTAATGGTAGTAAGAAAATGATTAGTTGTAACAATTAGTAAACAATCAATGATTAATTAAATGATAACGGTAAAGCTATTGACCGGATTTAATTTTCCCTTTCTATTGATTAAATTATTTTTAATTGTACCATTTAAATTACTATAAATACTGATTGTAAAATCGTAAAAATAAAAAAGTTAATCAATTAACTAACAAAATTGATTATTCTAATCACGAGATAATCGTATAAAAAATATCGTACACAATTTAAATGAACTTTAATCAATTAACTAATTGTACGTGTTAAGGTGTGTGTAATTGTTTTAACGTTTTAATCAATATAATTGTGATCGTTAATCATTGACAATCAAGGAATTTGTCTTTTTGATTGAATATGAAGATGGCTGAAGGAAGACAATTAACTAAATCATATCTGATCTGCATAAATTTTGGCCAAACAATCGGGTGACACTTAACAGTAATTCCAATCAACTGTTAACAATTTACATCCAACAATCAATTTAAATCAATGATAATACACGTTGGTAATTTAAATAATGTGAAAGTTTAACTTATATTATGTTACCAATCAACACACTTAACGGTTATCGTTGTTTGATTAGTTGATTGTTTCTTAATTTCTTACCAACGATTCATCATCTTAACACCAATTTAATGACATTGATTATGATTGACTAATCCCACAACAACATCATCATCATGTCATCATCAAGATTAAGTTAATCATTGACTGGATCAATTTTTGATTATGTTCTGCAAGCAAAAACTGTTACAATTAATTATCGTTGTGTAACAAATTGATTAATACTTGTAATCAAAGGGTTGACTTTATGTACATGTATATGGAATTAGATTGCTAATTGTTACGATTAACTGATTTCTTTGGAATAATTTTGAATTTCTCAATCTCACTGATTAACTTGTCTTCGTTTCATTAATCTAAGTTGAAAACTTAATTGTTGATTAAAATTAATGATGTTCCGTTTGATTGTTCAACATGGTGCCGATTGGTATTGCTCATTACTATTAGTTAATTTAATTACAAAAGTTTGAAAACAATTGAAGCGATAATTGTTGATGTTATTGTTTATTATTGACAATACAAAATGATTTGAATGCAATCAATGATTTAAGCTTACAGTTGGTTGTTAACAATTAATTGATTAGTCTCAATTACAATAATTTGATTAATTTGACAGATTTTTGATTTCATTTGATCAACAAAAACCAATGAATCAACTAATTTCCTAAGCTAATCAAGATCCATTGAGTTGATTGAATATCTTTTTCCAAAGTCATTAAACCTGCACAATTAACTAAAACTATATGAGATTAACAATTAAATCAGTTATCAAATGATGAGACAAACAATCATCACGATGAAAACAATAATGACAAATGAAGATATAAATTCAGTTGTAATCATGAAAATCCAAGATCCTTCCGATCAATACGATTGAGGAACAATGGAAATTATTACCGTTAATCCAATGAACAATTAAAAGGTTTCCAAATAATAAGATTTTAATTAACTTACATCATTTGATTGTTCGTACGAATTGCTGATTGTACCATCAGCTGATAACCGATAAATCTTTGAATATGATTGAACTGGTGGATAATGAATTCTAGAAAGCAAGTAAATGACTTAAACGATTATTGTCAACAAAAAGATAACAATTAGTATACTATGGAATGAGACAATTGGACAATCGGTTTCATAATTAACGACTAGAAAATTTGATAAACTAATTCAATAGTCATGATATTTAAATGCTAATGGAACACAGTATTTGATTGTATCAGAATTTCAGAATTCAACAATAGGAATAACAATCGATCTTTTGATTTTTCTCTTTTCAAATTTCAACACGTTCAAGGCACGCGATTGACTTAATCTCAGAACTCGGAACTCAGAATTTCATCTTAGTCTCTCTCTCTCTCCATCAGAATTTGAGAAAGACGATTATTGAAAAAAGAGGAAAATGAAAGGGAAATTTTCAGAATTTAAAACTTTATTAGTCTGATGATTTTCATGGTAAAAAGAATTGAATTATTAATTTAAATTAGATTACTGTTGTTAGACATTGAAACAAACACTCAACCCAACAATCAAGATGATAATGATAATTAACAGTTTGATTAAATTGTTAACAGTTTACATGGTTACTGGTTTAACTTTAATTGTGATTAAATCTCATGAGAAAACATGAGATAAACTCATACTAAACGTTTAAAACAATTAATTTAAATAGTAAACAATTTAGTTAATGATTAAAAATATTGGTTGGACACTTTTTCACCTTTAGCCAAGTTAATTGTTGCCCAAAGCAATTTAGCAAAATTAATCTTTCATCAGGTCAGCCTAACAATTAGCAAATTATTTAATTTAAAACAAAACAAAAATCATAATCATTTACCTGAATCACTGATTTCTTAATTAACCTGGAAGTTCATTTAATTTGGTTAATTAATTAAGCAACTTTCACTTGTCGGACGAAAGTGTTAATAATGATTAGTAATAATTGAAACTGAAAAACAAATATTACTACAACAATTAAACATATTAATCATAATTAATCATCTTTCTGATGATTAAAAGTGAAACCATTATTAATTAAATTCAGTTAACACACAAAATGGTTTCATATAATTAAAGTTTCAAATTATCGCGTACATAATTGTAATTAAATTGCGCTAATTTAATGATTAGTGATTAATTAACGAAAACTTAATAATAATGTTAAAGAAATTGTCTAATTAATGAAAACATTGTTATTATTGTTGTTGGAAAGTTTTATCGTTTATTTGATTATTTGTACTTAATCATATTGTAATAGTTAAATTGTGATTTGGACTACTGATTGTCTGAATCTAGTTCATCATCAACATGTTAATCATTACAATTAACTTGACAACGTTGTATCTTTATCCTCTCAACCTTTAGCAATTTAATATATATAATTTATCATTTGTTGATCTTGTAGTTAATCATCATCAATGGTTAATTTATATTAATAGTGAAAAGGTTTCACAGGTTAATCATTATGATTATGGTGAAAAAAAAACATGTGAAACTTTTTTTTTCATGATAATATCATGAACATGGTTGAAAGATTCATATGATTTCAATGAGAATCTGAATATTCCCTTGGAAGAATTAAATTTAACTTTAAAAATATTATTCTTTTTTTCTTGATTAATCCTTAATTCTGTTGATGGTGTTGAGTTAATCATCCGGAAATTAGATTATCTTATTATTGTCAACTAACCCGAGAATCAAGTGGCAATGTTAATCATCATCAAGGTGTGAAAGCAACAATTTAAATTGTAACCGAATTGCTAAACAATCAGTTTAATCAGTTTTCGCATGTATATTATAATATAATAACTAAATTAAGAATTGATGATTTATATTTAGTTTGATTGTTGTTACTTTTTTTTTCGCGATTTCATTTGAAATTGTTTTATTTTAATCAATCATGTTATAAACAATCAACTCTATTGTTGAGATGTTTATCATAACACAATTAAATTTAATTGTCATTGTGGTTTTTTTTTCTGCTCATATAATAATCAATATAAAACCTTTAATTATGATTGTTACAATTGTGACACAGATTTTGTTGATATGATAATTGATTGATTTGTTTTTTGATTACCATTAATTGTAACGGAAATTAAGTTTTAACCAATAATGTTGATTAAAAACAATGGACCATCATTGGATTCCGGAGACAAGTTAATTGTTACAATTTATAAATAGTATTACAATTTATCAACAATGATAATCATATGAAATGCAGGGTTAATTTAAATTGAATTAGAATCACAATAATTTGTAAATCTAGTTAGTAAAGTGAATCTTTAATTTTCCTACTATGTTTTGATTGATTAGTTGATTGTTACCAAGATGATCATCATCATTGTCTTAACATTTAATCATTGAGTTAATTAAGGATTTCGTTTTTGATTGTAAACAATTTAACTTTATGTTTCAAGTTTAATGAACTTGATGATAAAGTTGATCAATGGTAATCCAAGTTAATACAATTTTATTGTCAATCCAATTGTTAATTAACAAGTTTGAATATAAGATGCAGGTTTGTATTGTGATTGTTTGATTAAAACAGTAATTAAAACAATAACAATTAAATTTGACAATGAAAGTTGATCAAAAGTGATTGTTGATTTTTGTTGTTGTGCAAAATTACAATTGAAATCATTGAATCCTGATCACTTTTCAATGATGATTTATAATCAAAATTTACTCTCATCTTATTGTTAATTAACAATTTAACATCAATTGTCACAATTAATTTGTGTACTTTGAAACAATTATCATTAACCAGGTACAAGATTATTTTCAAACTTATCCGTATACATGTTTAGTTAATTGTCAACTAATTTTCTTGTCAATTGTCAACCCAATTAACATGCATCAACCAGTTTAATGTTTAATTGTGATCAATATGATGCTAATTGAAACAAGCAAATATCCAACAATTTAAATATTAAAACAAATGAATAATCAAAACAATTAAAGTAACAATTAAGGATTACCTCAAATAATAATGATAATAATTATAATAATAGTTAAATCAACATCATTAATCCTGGTTCAACAAATTTACTAATTCAATTGTAGTAAAAATCAACAGACAATTAACTAATTAACTAAGTGGATATGGTCAATTTCTAGGTTTGAATTTTTTTCTGGTTCAATCATCTACGTAAATGATATAAAGATGATAGCAATTGAAGTGATCATCTTAATTATCTTGATGATAATCAGCTAAACTAATCATATAATCAAAGTGTCTTTGGTCATCGTAGTTAATGATAACATAAGTAATCAAACGTTTTCTAATGCTGTAAATTGTTCAATAATAATAATCATGATTAACGGTATTAATGGTGATAAATAATATTACCACAGACAATTGACCTTTAATTTAATTGTCAACTGTTAGTTAATCATATTAACTTTAACTTATGGTCAATTGTTTATTGATATATATAACTTGATTATTGATTGTTGGCCAGTTGATTATTTATTATTATTACACTTTAACTGGAATCGTTATTACATATTATATGTATATTATACTCTGTATGTAAATTTAGTTGAACATTATAAACATGATCAAGTTAATTGTAATTAAATCTTCAGGTCAATAGATACATTGAAAAATAAATAAATGGTTAAATCGAGAAATTCAATTTAAATATTTAATCTGATAATTTAGTAATAGTTTCAATTATCATGTTCAATATAAAGGAGATTATCTCATCTCGGAATCTTTTCTCATGGTTAAATAAATTTCATGGTTAAAATGGTTGATTGTTGAAGATTGAGCTTCTTGATTGTTGATAAATTATCATTTCAGTATATTAACCATCAACAATCAACTTGATAATCTTGAATTATTTTATATTCAATCTTATAGCCACAGGGAATCCAATGAGATTCATGATACAATAGTCAACAACATGATCAACTTGATTGTTATCATAAACATTGATGATTTATATTAATATTATCAACAATTGAGCTAAACTTTTCCAACCGTAATTAATTTAACATTGAATTATTGTTAATCAACTTCCTGTGATTAACAATAGTTGACCTGGATTATTTAAATCATATAATCAATGGTAACTTTCACCAACTTTAAATTTTCTTGATAATTAATTGTAGATTGATTATTAACAATTTAGACTACCCCATACATATTATAACAATTAAGGATTACAGTTAAATCTTAGTCAATGAAAACTATTTCAATACAACAATCAAAGTATCAACCTTGATTGTGATTTTGTCTAATTGTTGTATTAATAATATCATAAGATGGTTAATTTTAATCAAGGTAAATTAAAGTTAATCAAATATAATCAATAAGATTTACTAACATTAAAAGCCTAACCTGTGATTGTTTTTTTATTATCATTTTTATGTGTATTCAACACCAACAATCAGCTTATTGTTATTAATTCAGTTAATAGTTGATAAATTGTTAATTCTCATCACAAATCAATAAATTGATTGATTGTTATTATTGTTTATCAACCTCACCCATAATCATCAACAATTAAGACCTGAACTAATACGATTAGTTAACTACTATATAATGATCATAATCTGTTAATTTTCATTGTCAAATTATTAATTAAGAAGATGAAGTGAGAAAAAAATTAGTTAATTACCTGACTAATCATTATCGTTATAGTTTATTTATTGAACAATAAACTAATTTGATTAACTTATGGCGTGATTAACAAGGTAAATCCTAACCTTGATTATTGTTAATCAATTAATTATCAATTAGATTCTGTGATTTGATTGTTATTCTTGATTATCTTTGTAATAGCATCAACATTGTTTAATTTGCTCATTGTTTAATCTTCCTCATGAGTTAATCTTTTAACAATTTTAATCACAATTAAGTTAATCATAATAATAATCATGATGATGATGAACAATTTTGTCGTCCCCTCATAAACCAGATCAACATAATCTAATCATAATCATGAAACTAAATATATATTGTTTCAAAGTTAATGAAACTGAAAGATAATTATGATTAGTTAATCATGTTCAGGGTAATTCTGATGTGAAAAATGAGCTTATTGGATCAGACAAGATAATGTTGATGATAACAATTTAAGGTTAAATTATCACATAGACAATCAAACTGAAATTAAGTTAATTGTTTCAAAAGTAAATTGGCAAATTAACCTGACAAGGAATTAGATTCTTAATCAGAACAGAATAAGTTTAGATATTGAAATTATTACCATGAGAATATACAATTCATTTCTATTACATGAAATGTATTGAGAAAACTTTTTTTTCTATCCAATTCAATGAGAAAGTTGAGAAAAAAATTCCACATGAATAATAGATAATGTTGAATATTCTGATTCCAAACATTCATCATCATCGATTCATCAAATAAATCGTAGTTATTTTCATGGAAAATTCAATCGAATCTGTAAATCGTTGCAACGATAGAGATACTAACTTATTGTTAGAATTTAATATTGAACTTTTTTTTTGTTTTCGAACAAAAAATAAACTAATTTACATATTCTGAGAAATCTGAGCTTTTTTTCAGGAGAAAATGCTAACCAACTGATATTCTGAGTTCAGGTATCATGAAATTTTCTCATTCGCCTGAGTTGTTAAACTTTTTTTTCTCTTTCTTCTTATTAATTGTCACAATTAGTGTGATTATTTTTTTTAAAATGATTTTTTCTCGCGATGAGAAACAAAAATTGTTAATTAATTATAAACTATCCAATTAATAGAACTGGATAATAAGAAAATTGAATTAACTTCTCGTCGGATCTAAATTAGTGTCATAACAATTAGTTGAATATTAATTATTAAATATTGTTTACTTTTCTCATATTGATCACTGAACGTGTTGGTAAATTTAATTGTCGTGAACGTTAATTTTTAGCTAATCAATTGGCCTTTTTTTAAGTTGATCTTGATAATAATAAGTTTAGTTGATCAATTGATTGTTAAATGAGTAGATGGATTTGTTTTTCTGTCTTGTAATTAGTTGATTATTGAAAGAAAACGATTAATCTTATCAATGATGATGATCAGTTAATTTGATTCATTGAGAATCAATTGATTTTATCAATAATTTGATTTAGGGCCTGATGAAACTCAATGCAGGTTAATGTGTGTAAATAGTTGATACGATTACTGTTATTGTTGATGGTGTTTATTACCTGAATATCAATGATGATGATGATGATGATGGATTAAGATGATGATTATGATGAAAGTTTAGATGAAAGAGAGAGGGAAAAAGGTGTGATAAAGATCAAGTTGCCAATTAATTGTGATTAAGAGAAAAGGTATTCAAAGATTAGTGAACAAAAAAAAAGACGCATCAACGAATCCACAAATTGATTTGTATTGAGTTCGTAAGTTAAAGTTTACGTTGATGAAAGAGATGAAAAGATGATGAGAGAAAGAAGAGAGAAAGAGAAAGGGAATGAGGATGATACATGAAGAAGAGAGAGAGAGAGACTGGATTCTAAGAGAGTGGGAAGAACGAGATTTGGATTAAAAGAAAGAGAAGAAAGAGAAAAGAAAGAGGCAAAAAAGGGAAGGTTTTCTCAGAGTAGAAGAAAATTTTTCATGCTAACTGAGTTTAACGACTTACCTTCTACCTGTAAATGAATGGAAAAATGTAATAATAATAATTCTGATAATGGTAATAACTGAAAAGTAACTTCCCCATTTTGTCTTACTTTTTCATCTTCTTCTTTCTTTTTTTGTCTTTATCTCTCTTTCTTTCTTTCTTTCTCTCTCTCTCTCTCTCTCTCTCTTACCTTTTCTTGGTTTTATCTCTTTCTTTATCCAGATGAGTTCATTGCCAATCCATTAATCTATCCAACTCTTTTATCGTTTATTATTATTTCTGTTGATTTGGTTACTCACTTTGATTGTTATTCTTGATGTCGTTGTTTTCATCCCAACCTTTTCTCAGTTCTCAAAGATAATGTTAACTTGTCTCTCTTTTCACTGGTTCCTTTTGACAAGTTTCAGTTGCTGATCAACTCACCTTAAAGGTAGCGAGTTAAATCAACACAGTTTATTAAAAGATAAACACTAATCCATTTACCTTTTTGTTAATCTTTTGTTTTCCTTTTAATCTCAAACTTTTTCAATTTGTTTGTCAATCTAGTTTCCAATGTTTATTTCTAATGTTACCCAAAGATTATAACTGTAAATCTTGATCATCATCGTTCTCATCAAATTAAAGAGAGAAAATGTTAACAATCAACTAACCAACAGCAATCGGAGAAATTAAATCAACACAATCAACATAAATTTAAATAGAAAATCAAAGTTTCCATAGTGAAGGCGATTGTTTTTCTCTATCTCTCTCATTCTCTTTAATTGTTGAATAACATTTTTCTTTCATCTTCTTAATTCCAGTTAATTGTTCCATTGATTTGGATTGTGTGTTTGTTCATAACTGTTGATTGTTTTCTTCTTCTTCTTGCCGGACTAATCATCGTTAATTGTTTGTCTTGTTTAGTTTTAATTGTTGTTTCACCTTTGGGTTCAAATAATGTTCTGTTGGCTATTGAAAGAAGCCAAAATGCCCGCCGTTGACGAAACAAACATTGGCGCTCTCGCCCTTCATTATGCCGCTGCCAAAGGTTGTCCCGTTTGTGTTAAATTGCTCGTTGAATCTTGTCCCGAATTAAGGTAATTCACAGTTAATCTCATATTCTAATTGTCGACCAAATTTCTGATTGATTAGCTCAATTTCTGACCATTTAATAGACAGAAAAGAGAGAGAGAGAGAGAGAGGAATATAAATTTCCATCTCTTCCGATCAGATGATCTGATGTACATGCTTTTTACATTTACTATTCACTTGTATCATTTATCATCTTTACTTAATTATATCAATTAGAATTTCTAATTATTATCGTTAATTGTTATTTATTGACATGTTCTCTTTTACCATCAAGCCCATTGTTGTATCTTAAATTGATTTAACGTGAAACCAATCATGTGAATCTATTGAGTCTTTTTCCTAATGATACGATGATCACAATTTAAATCTAAATCGTTCTTAATATATACATTAACCATTCCAATTTGATTCAATTGCTAATCACTGTCACGTTCATATGCATATGATTTTAAGTATTAATGTCAATCCATTTGATAACAGTAATAATAATAAGGTAACATTTCACTTTACCTGACAATCAAATTGATCCAATGATTATCAATCCGTAAAATAATCAATTCAACTTAATCAGAAGATTCAAAGTTTTTTTTTCATCATCAATTCAAATATTAGTTTATCGTAATTCTAATATAATAAAATAACCTAAGGGCATAATCATGATCAGAATTCATATACATGTAATATGTATAAGTTTTCTCTCAAAAAAAATAGTGTATCAGTGATTCAATGATTTCCATGGTCGATAGATGAAAAAATATTTCGATTATTCTGATCAACATAATCAGAACTATTATTATTATTCCTATCAAACTGATCTGAATTTCTATTGAAAATCCCAATATATCATATTTTTGTGCTTCAGAATTCATTGATTATCCTCATCCCATTCATCCTCATAATCAAATATAACCTCTAACTTATCAACCTTAACCTTATTAATCTCAATTGTGACTCTCTCTCTCTCTCTCTCTCTCTCTCTCCAAACAGTAATAATTACAATTATCATGATCCGTATGATTATATCAACAGTAAATTACCTTTTACCCCTTAATATTTATCTCTTCCTCCTTTAGCATCTTCATCTTCACGCTCAGCGGTTTCTCAATTCATTTAGCGTAATTTTTTGCTTCTTTTTTCACCTTTTTCTACCTTTTCCTCTTTCAAGTGCTTGTTACAGTGTTTTTTTTTACACAGCACTGTACATAATTTTCACAGTACAACACTGTTACTGGTATTATAATATTGGCACATAACAAATATCAGCTTAACTGTTTCTTGAGGCTTCATTAGTCACCCTATCGTTACCTTAGTCTGAAAACTTAATGATATCGTAACGATAATCATAATATTATTATCTTTCTTTTTTTTTCTTCAACACTCAATTCTTATTATCTATTGAATTTCATTTTTTTTTCTTACCATGATGATGATGATGATGATGATTGCTTCACATCTCTTGCTTTTTCAAACCCTTTAACTTGTCATCATCTTCTTCCCTCATCATTATCTCCATCATCTCTTTTTACCAATGATTTTTCAATAACCACTTTCGCAAATCAAATTATCTCAAATTTCCTTGTTTTTCCAATCCATTTGCTTGTATATAAACCAGGAAACAAGTTATCATATTTTTTTTACCTTTTCTAATTTTTTATCGTTTATCTTTCTTACCTGTAATAGTTTTACCTGTCAGTTTGCTATTCTCATTATATTTACCTTTTTTTGTCTTACTTTTAATGCTATTAACTTACAATTATCTCAACTGTTACTGTTTTTGTTTGTTTGTTTGTTGGCTTAATGGTTTTGTAGTTTTTTACTTGATTATTAGATTGATATTGTTAATTGTTGATGCTATTGTTATGATTGACCGTTGATGTGGTTAACTTTGCAATAGTTAATTACCTAGTGATTATCATTTAAACAATGAACCTCAGGTATCATTGATGAACATTGATTTTACAACTATTACCTTTTATCTTTGTCAAGGTCATTTGTTTTGACCATTGTACTTGGTCATTTAAATAATTTACCGTTATCATTATTATTTTCATTATTATAACTGTTATGACAATTTGTTAATTACTATGAGTTTGTTTTGTAAACAACAATTAAACTCAAATTATTAATATTATTATTTTGTTTGCTTTTCAATGTTATATTATTCAATGATTTTTATCTCGCTAATTAATTACTCAATCTGAACTTTGGTTTATAATTATAACTGGATTAACATTATTAACCTTCAATGATTTTGTTGAAGTTCAATATAAATATATTTTTTTTAAATACAATCAAGATTAAAATCTTGCTTTGTTTTTAATAATTAACATGATAACAATTAGTTCCCAGTAGTAATCAGTGATTTAGCTAATAAACAATTATTATTATCCAGTAATTCACTTTACACTAATTAGAATGAGAATTAAATTTATTTAAGTCTTTTTTTTTATCAAAAAATCGCAGTTTTTTATTAGTCCATTGTTATTATAATCTAATATTTGCTTGACCTGTCTCGAGATTAGTTAGTTGATTTAGTTTTAATTGTTTTTTTTTTTTCATCTAATCATGTTAATAGAAATGCCTGTGGTTGTATTGACTCACTTGATTATTGGAATACTCATTTACCTGGACATCATCATGGTCCTAATGGTGATAACTTTTACCTTCGTTCGGGAGACGTTGGAGTTACAGGATGTGGAAATGGTTCTAGTGCCAATGAGAATGTTAATAAGTCAACAGATAACCTTGTTTTCCCTCGGAAACATTCAACAGCCACCACAACAAATTCAACTCCAACAACCGTAACATCACCTCATCACCATCATCTTCACCATCACCATCATCCGCATCACCATCCACACCACCATCATCATCATAATCATAATCACCATCAACCAGCTCACAGATTAAATTCAGCAGGAAACAGTAGTAAAGCTTCAGATTCTGGGAAAGAATCGGTTGCTGATGAAGATTCCCTTCTACCACCATCAACATCATGTTCTGAGCCATTTTTCCTCCATGATCCCTCGTGTGTCACCTCAAATGACCGGGTCAAGAAATTATTTCGCAAGAATCGGCCCAAAGGTCCATCCAAAGTCTATGAGAAACACCGTAAACCCGATAATCATTCAATCAAATTAGGTAAGATCAATTGACCGTTCCAATGATGATCGATAATCTTAACCATGCAAATCAGTTAATTGTCAACTAAATTAAACAGTCAAATGTCTATATAAACATAATCAACTTTATCTCAGAGTCTTTTTTGTCCAATTAACATGCAATTTGATCATGAAAACCATTGATTGTTAAAAATTAATTATAACACTCAACTGATGATTAAATTCAATACAATTGAATGTGATTAACTTAATTATTGGTTAATAATTGGCTCTAATGAATATCAATACAAAAAAAAATGAGACGAATCAATTGTGAACAATGTTAATAAGGTTGACTTAATTGTCATCATTAAGATTATCGTTAATTACAATTCATTTTTGATTAACAATAAGCAATTGGTAAACCGTTAAATGTTTAAATTAATATTATAAATAGAATCGAGCAATTAAATTAAAGAATTGAGAGAAAAAAAAATTAACTCATAATTAAATTAGTGACACTAACCTTTAATTATTTGATTAATACAAATGAATAAATTGTGAATCAAAAGCAGATCAAATGATTAATGATATAGTCAAGATTAATTATCGTTAATTGTTGTTTAATACTTGATTTCCGTTCATTTTTTTCTGTCTCAATTAAAGATCAACAGTCTACAATTAACTAATTTCTTTTTCTCTTCTCATGTCTTATAATTGAATTAACAGTTAAAGCTGAAGTTTATACCAATTCAGATGAAGGAACAAGTTTATCGGAATCATCTGATCCTCTGCCTGATTATGATCATGATCATATTAAAAGTGATTCATCCTCAAGTCCACCAGCATCCGAATTGACATCATCAATGTCCAGTGGAGTAACTGAATCATCCTCATCTTCATCTTCATCAACCAATAGTGATAAATGTATTTACTCAGAATTTGATGATCTAGAGAAAAGAATCTATCAAGAAGTTGATGAATTAGAACCAATTGTTGATTCGACCAACAAGAAGATGGAAGATGAATCGTCGAATAACAATAACAACAATAATAATAACAATTCTAATCATTTAAATAATAGTAATATTGGAACAATTAACCGACTCAATTCAAGTGTATGTTCAGAAATTTATATTAAAGATAAAATCTATTCAATCGACTCGCGTCCACTCAAAGTGGCACCAAATGACCGTCACAAAGAGGTTAAAAATTTGATCGCAAAACTAGATGTCCACGAATCGACAAACACAACAACAACTACTACTACAACAACAACATGTTCATCACCACCGGCAACACTTAATCGAGCCTCATCATCATCAACAATCAACCAACTGACCACAACTACAAACGGACCCACCTTGACATCAACACCAACCGTTAACCAGCAAACTCAGACAACCCCTAGTATCCAAAGTCATCAGTTGCCTCCACCTCCACCACCACCACCCCCGGCCAACTTGTTGATGTCTAAAGAATCCTCAAAATTACCGTTAACTTCATCTTCTTCCTCCTCTTCATCCGAGTACGAAGAGCCTGGAGCCAATTCAACAACCTCCAATGGTGCAGATAAAAATCGTAAAATGAAAACACTCGGAGCCAAACAATTAGCATTTATCCCACCACAATTTAATTCACCACCAGATTCAGATACTAACATTAAACCCTCTGAATATTTGAAACGTGTCGCAGGTAAAACAATATCTGCTGGGCCAAGATATGCAAATTCAGGCTCTGGACCAGGAATCGGTGGCGGTGGTGGAGGTTGTAAGGAGATGATATTCTTTGAGAAAAGACGAATCAAAAGAAGCTCATCAGAAACTCATCTCTATCAACCTCATCTAAATTCATCATCTTGCTCATCATCCAATGAATATGAAGCAATCAAAGATGACTCACATTCTTCAGCATCATCAGCTTCAACTCATAATCTACACCATCATCATCATCATCATCACATCTCACACCACAATCTTCATCATCTTACCCATCATCATCCACTTCGTCCCTCATCATCAGCAACCTCTGAACATTTATATGAAACTTGCCACTCAAATAAATCAGGATGGTCAAGTTCAATGCGATCAGAATCAAGTTGCTCCAGTAGTTCAAGTAATAACATTAACTCAACTCTAAACGGCTCTGGATTAACAAACGGCAATGGATTAAACTCTAAATCCAATCTGATTAACCGAAACGGTTTAACTGGATCTACATGTAACTTAGGCAATGGGTATGTTGGAATTGCATCTCCTGGACCAGTTGAAGGTGGAAAGGGAACTTCATTCAATGAATGTTCACAATCTAACAGCAAATCAATTGTTGAGTTAACACCAATAACTAATCAGTCCTCATCTTCATCATCATCAAACTTGAATGGTAACTGTAACTTTACCGTTACTCAGGATGAACTCAAGAGAATCCACCTGAGGAAAACAGTTAAACCTTCAAACGGTTAGTTATTATTACCTTTTATTATTATCATTTATTAACTATTATTATTTATTATATTGTTTATATATTTGTATGTGTGTGTGTGAGTTGTTTTATTTTATCATTATCGTTGCAGTTGAATGATAATTAAAATTAGTTCGTGTTTCAAGTGCAAACTGATTGTGAGTGTATCATGAAAGGGACGGTAAGATTATGATGGTGACAAAGAAAATGGATGAAAATAATTAACATGATGATAAGATAATGATACAAATTAAAAATGATGATTAAGAAGAAGAAAATTATTTGAAAGTGAGATTAATATTAAAAGAATTGAATATTTTATTATATTTTTACTTGTAGAATTTTAATTTCAACTAATTATCAATCCTCGAATTAGTTTCAATTGAAGCCTATCGATATGTTATCGATTCAATAGAAACAGAATTAGAAAGAAAAACAATTGTTTCAACATCTTTAATTGACCAATTAGTTTCGTAATTAACTCTTAATTGTTGTAGATTTTGCAATATTTATCACTACAATTAACTAATTACTTCAACTAGGAAAGGAAAAGTTTTACTCTCTCTCTCTCAATTGTAGTGTTTACATAAATTGAATTGAATAAAATAATATAATCACCATTGAATTTTCATGATAATGGTTAACAATCAGATTATCATTTTGTTGATGATTAAAGTTGACAATTTATCAATTGTTGATCCGGTTTACCTGTGGGTCTCTAACCTGTTGGAATTGTTGATCTTTGAAAGCAAAAATCGAGTCTCGGTCTTTTTTTTAATCCAATTTTCTTATTCTTTTAATCATTTATCATTATTGTACATGGAATTATTTTATTAATTTTAATCTTCTTTTTTTCTACTCTTTTTCTCTCTCAATTTATATATATAAATAACAGAACGAACAACAGTATTATTACATAAGAATGATGTTATCGCCGAACTGAAAATGTCCAAAGATTTGGATGGAATCAAGAAGAAAAAAGAACAGGAAAAAAGTCGAGATGAAGTAAGAGAAAAGTTTTTTATTTCTATTAATTTGGTTCAATTTTTTTTCCTTCTTGTTGTGTTTCAATTTAATTTAATTCTGATTCATGTGTATTATCAGTGATCATGAAAATGATAATCATATTGATCCAGAAAAAAAGGTTATGATGATAAAAATAACAACATGAAATATCATCTGATTGGTGTTGATTTGATAATAAAGTTAACACTCACGTAATGGTGATCATATTTAAGGTGTGATATCATCATGATGATGACTCTCAGCATCATTTTCAGTGTTTGTTGGTCCGTAAGATGGGTTTGGGAGAGAGAGAGAGGATGAGGATGATGACAAATTATTATTATCTTCTTTTTATTATTCTCTCATAATTGGGATCAATGTTTCAGTCTCAAAGTTTCAGGAATTGAGAGAACAGAAAAAAGTGAAATGTGAGAATTGCAAATGTCTATCAAATTATCATGTTCTTGATGACATTTGATTTAATCACATGTAACATGATTTAACTTGTTGTTTTCTTCATCATTATCGTCTCATTATTAACATCGTTTTCATGGTAAACATGATGATTTCTTACCGATAAACAATTGAAACTTGACTTTCCATTGAAATATCTTTGTCAATCTATTCAACATTGATTTCAAAGAGAAATATTTCCCATTGATTGAACTTGATTATTTCTCCATTGGAAATATATGAGTATTACTTTTATCGTTATTCTGATGATGAATGAAATTTTTTCCTTCTCTTCTCATGATCATGTTGATTATTTGATAAGGTAAATTTTTCCAAAGGTTAAAAGGATGATCAGTATAAAGTAGATTTGCTTTTAAAAGGTAAATCATTTATGTTGAAAGAAAAATGAATCTACATCTTGAGAATTGAGTGTAGACAGAATTTTGTTTGAAACATGAAATTGAAAATGAATTTTACCCAGAAGATGAATTGATCATGGTAATCACCGTAACTATTTACAATAAATCAATTCTATTTACAATATTGGCTTATAGAACTTTGTTGTTGTTGTTGTTATTATTATCGTTGAAAAGTTCATGATAACTTTCAGCTACTTGGTCTGAACTTTTTTGCTTTTATCCTGCTCCTTTCAGGTAAAAGATAAAATCGCTGAACTAGCTACTGAATATACGGTGGAAAAGTTTCTAGATAAAGTCGCCACCCATGATAATAGTGGTGTACCAATTCCTCAATGGAAAAGGCTCATGTTAGCCAAGAAAAGCGCTGAAAAAGCTCGTAAAGAAGCTGAACAAGAATTTCTGAATGACCATGAAGCGAAAAGGATAAGTGCTATACCCGAATGGAAGAGGCAATTACTTAATCGTAAAGATGATTCTAATTATGGTTACATCTCATCTAACTCATCCACAACCTCGTCAACTCCAACAGAAAGGTAATCACTTGACTGACCATTGGTCATTTTCATATTTATTTTTGATTAACCCACAAGATTATCACATTTATCTTGACTAATATGACATTATTTCACTATACAGTTAATGTAGGTCAAACTAATAACTTTTGCTTACTAATTGGACTCTTACCTGTGATTTTAATTTTACCTGATAAACAATTTTAATTTAAAAACACTGATTGATTGATTGATCCTAATAACACAATAATAATGTTAATTATCAGCTGATTGGCTTAATTATAACTATAATAATGTAATGTAAAGTTTTGTTATTTTGTCTCTCATTTACTCGTAACTTTTTAATCATTAATTTTACTAATTACTCTCACAAATTTAACTTTGATTGCAACAATTAAGATTTTAGTTTTTGTTTTGCCTTCACAATTAACTAATTTTTTTACTAACTTACTTTTTTTTGTCTATTTTACTTTCTTATCCCAAAAATTGATCAACAAAGTCACAGAATTGAGGATGAAGTTAATTCCTCAATGGAATCAACTAATCAATGTAATCATCAACATCGTCATCATCATGATCACCACCGAGAATCAAATGCTCCTTGGACATTTGGATTGAGAAAAACCAATTCAATCTATTGGTGATTAACAGTAAACAATCAAATGATTTATTCTAAGTGTCAATTGATTGAACTATTAAAAGGAACAACAATCAAATCAACAATCAACTAATCGTAAAGAAAAAGTTAACTGTTTTTTTTTATCATCATCATCACAATCAATGGATTTCAAAGTCACAATGTTTTTCAAGTTGATATCAAATATTGACAATTTATTTACAGATGATAAGTGATAACAATTAAGTCTAACAATCAACGCCAATGTTAATCAAAAATGAATCAAAGCCAACGAACGATAGTTAATTGTAACCCTGTAAACTAATAATTTTAATTCCTTCAAAACCAATCGATTGATAATTTTTTAAATTGATTTTTTTTCTATTAATCATTTTCTACTAATTTGATTTTAATCAAATTACATAATCATTAAGATGACAATTAACACTTTAAATTGAAGTTGTGATAATTTGAGTTCGTAGACATTCATAATTAAGAAATAGATTTGATTGATTATTGATTGACAGTTGATTAACTAATTGCTTTTTTTTTGTTTAATTACAATAATGTAATCAACCAGCTCTCTACTAATTGATTTTTAATTTTGTTTTTTTTTGTTACAATTTGTTGTGATTTATAATCAAATCAATTTAAAATATATATTATTTTATATCATTTATCAATCAATCAATTATGAAACATAAAAAATATGATAAATTGTAGCAATTAATTTTTATCTTGTAATTGTTTAATTGGTTAATTAAAAGATTTATTTTATTTTTTTTGATCAATTTCGTTAATTCATCAATTTTAATTACTCTCAAACTGGTGGACAATCAAGTAATCAATGTTATTGGACCAAATGAGACGAAACAATTTGAACAAATTGATTGTTAATTGTTGTCCTTTTCACTTTCTGGTTGAAATTAATTTACCTTAACAATCATGATTAACGATGACGATTAATGGTTAAGGTTAATGAGTCTGATTAATTGTTGTTTGAATAGTTGAATGAATGGCTAAATTAAATTGTCCAGTTTCGAGTACAATTAACTTGACAACAATGAGGTTAATCACAAGTCTTTAATTTCAAATGATCTGTTAACAGTAATTGTCCCCATCATTTAATCATTAACAGCAATCAACTGATTCCCTGATAAATTAAACTCCCAACGGCTCATTGATTGAGATTAACTGTCATGATTAACTTAATCAACATTAACTCACTTTGACAATTGATAAGATAATCATAATTACTGTTTATCTCTGCTGATCCATAATCATCATCGTTTCACTTTCATTGATAATAATTAAATTTATTTCTAAATCAATTGAATTACTTAATAGTAAAATCTGATCTCTATCACCTTGTATCACCATCAATACAACTTTTCAGGTAAAAAAAAGTCATTAAAAAGGAGATGATTGTTTCCAATTAAACTGATGATCAGTTAATCAATAAATAATATTAAACATTTGAAAAATTAAAAAAGTTAAAATCATTAACTATCATCATTAAGAGTAACAATCAACTGGGAAGTATCATCATGATATCATTTATTTATATTACTCCTTTTCCAATGCTAATGGATATCATGATGAGTGAAAGTTCTGGATGAAGGAGATTCATGATTATCATGAAAAAGTTTAGGAAAAAAAATAGAAACTGAATAACCAGCATTGAATCAGAATAATTTAGCTGAAAATTTACCAAAGGATTTGATGGGTAAGTTGATACCAGAATTTCATGGTTAATCTAATGAAGCACAAAAGGAATGAGATAAAATCATCTGATTAACATGTTGAGTTTTTTTTCTGTCTTCATCTATTCAGGGAAAGAAAAAATTTCCATGAAATGTTTTTCTCTTGGCTTAGAACTCGAGATTTGGAAACTTTATTTTTTTCTATTCCAAGACTTTAATGAAAAGCTAAAGACTTAAGTCTGATTTTTTTTTCTTCTCTTAAATTCCCTTCAAGTATAATAACAAAAATTGCATTCGAAATATTGATATTAGAACTTTTTTCTTCCACCCACTCATCGAATTTGTTGAGTTAATTGTAGCACTCATTTTCTATCCTTAATGTGTTAATTTCCAATGATAATCATTGAAACACTTACTCGATGTTTCCTTTGTAGAGAAAACAAAACAAACAATTCTTAAATCTTTCACCATGAACATCAAATTATCATTCATCTTATCATCATCATGTTTTCCTATGGGATAAGAATATCATCTAGTATTTTCATTAAATTGGTTCTAAGACTTGAACAAGTTCATTTCGTTGAAATTGTTACAAAAGTTGAAAGTTGAACATGAAAATGGTTTAGTAATTAAAGACAAAACTCAATTCTACTATTAATTACTAGCAACAATCTAAATCATGGTTTAAATTACCAGACAACAATCAACGATATTACAGACTTATCAAGCTAAATGTATTTATATTAATATCTTTTGAGATAAAAGTAAAATCTTCAATGAATATTGAATGGGAAATAAATGAAGATTTGATATTATATCATTTTCCTCAGTGGGTATTAAGATATTGTTATTTTTTATCTTCCTCTTTCTTCACCTTACCAGACACTTGAGAATTGTTTGAATGTTTTCCTAAATTCACCATGTAATATGTTTCCCATCATCATGATTATTATCATGGTAACTGAACAATAATCAACTTTTCAATGTAACTCTATATCTTTACTCTGGTTTCTTGACTGAATTTGGGATTAAATGAGTTCTGCTTTTATTATTATCATCTCTTGAATCTTTATCTGGTTTCATATTCAATTATTAATATCATATCTTAACCTAATCAAGTCAAGATTAAATTGTTATATCAACAATTGATGATGTAAAAACAATTGACTATTTATTATTATCCCAATTCAATTGTTTATTTGGTTGTATATTGATTATTAAAATTTGGGGAACAATTAAAATCAATTGTAAGTATTTGCTTCGAGTTGATTTAAAACTGTACGATATTAGTTAATGATTAAGATTGTAATTACTTCCTGGTCACATTAATCGTTACAATTAAAATTGTTTTGTATCATCAGCTGATTGTGATGATAATAATGACGTTTAACAGTTAATTGTTTGGGTTGATTGTTACAAATTGTCCAAGGAAATGGAAACAAGTGAATGTTAAATTTAGTAGATTAACTAACATCTTGGTGAGTAAATGAGACACAAACCAGAAACAAGTGAAGCAATTAAATTAACTCTGTTTTGTTGGAACTGAATTAACTTTGGATGAACACAGAGAGAGAGAGAGATAATCATCTTAATTCTTAATCATCATCAACATCATCATAATCATCATCAAGGTTAATTATTATGAATGAATGAATAAACACAATTTATCATTTACAATGAAAGTTGATTATCATTTTGATTAAAAATTTTCTCTCATCACATTTAATCAGGTTAATAAATGATTTAAGTTAACAGTTATTTTGATTGTTATTATTATTATGATAACAATTTACAATTTATTGTTATTGATCTTTAACCTTATTTGATTGTTGTTGACAATTTATACATTAATACTTAACCATATTGATTAATTGATTGTTAAGGTTGTAAAAACATTTAACATCCGCCTTTTGGTGTATTGATTGTAAATTTATGGTTCCACTAGTGAATCAATTAAATTGATCACAATTAGCGTTTAATTAAACTTACTGTGTTTACCAAACGGTAACCAAATTGTAATCAAATTAATGATAATCAAGATAATGTATCTGTATGTGTTTCTAGGTAATTAAGCTTGATTGTTTGAAGATTTTAATTTTCATGTTCCCTGCTAATTAAAATGATTACATGATAAGGGTGAAGTTTAATCAATGAATTAACTATTAGGCTTTGAGGACTTAAGTAATTAGATTTGATTGAGTAATTGTAATAGTATTAGAGAAACAAAATTAATATTAATACGGAAACGAGGGGTTGATTATTGTAACAATTAGTAAATCAGTGAGGAATCAAATTGTTGTTCATTTTCTTGTTATTATTATATAAATAAAATCGGATTAAATTAAAAGTATCATAATTATTATAATCGCAATTAGTATTATTATATTAACATTGAATTTACGATTAGTGGATTTAACTTTTTGTTTTGATAATCAATTGGTCACAATTAAGTTTAACCAAACCAACTTTTCAACTAATTAGTAAAGTTAATTGTTCATCGTCATCATTGATTAGTTGAATTTTGGCTTTAGATTTTTGTTTCTTTCAGAGTTCTAATTATTATTAATTATACATTTTTGATTAAATCTTTGTTTACAATCAATTTTTACCAAATTATTATTAAGATGATGAAATTGGATTAACAAGGTAACAAGATTAAGAGATGAAGGGTTAAAGGGATTGGGGAGAAAGATGGAAAAATTAAAATGATCAACTAATTGTAACAGATTAACAGGATTTCTAATTGGATGTTGATAATTTGAGAAAGCAAAATGATTGAAAACAATTAACTAATGTCAATGTTTCCCAGTGATGAAGTTGTTACAAATTGGATTAGTATTGGTTAACTAACTGATTAACAATCAATGATTAGGAATAAGGAGTTAATTGTTATTGGTTTTTTTTGTTTTTGCTCTTGGAAACTGTTGATTAATCAGATTAATCTCTTTGATTGTTGGCTTTTCAATTAACGTTTTTATCGCTTCTTTCCAGGTCCACCAGCAAATTCAGCATTAGCCAAACCAACGAGATGCTTAGCTGCCCTTTGTCCAGATAATCCTCGCCTCAGGCCAAGATCTAATCCTCGTTTATCACTGAACCAAATAGATAATAAATTCATTTATAAATATATCGGAATTTAAATTCAGTTCATTTGATCATGATGTCACTTTGATCAATTCCAGATCAGGGGACAATCAATCATGCAAATGTAATACAGAAACAGAAATTTGAACTTGAAACAATCAGTTAACCTTGAAATTTGATTAATGATTAAAAAGTTTTTTTTTTCATTCTCTCAACTGAATTAACTTTGAATGTCTCTTTTTTTTATCATAATAGATTTCAAAATAATCTGAATCAATTCCCTGATGATTTTCAACTGACAATTGGATTAAAATCTAAAGACAATTATCATTTTATCACATTAATCATTGTCAATCATTGGTAATGGTAAATAATTGTAACAATCATCATAATCGTCATCGTCATTATCAACTGATTTTGATTGAATATCTTTGATCAATAATAAGCTGATAATTTTTATCATGTATTGTTTTTCAATCCTCATGAGATGATTAAGAAAAGTATTTAACTAATTGTGATTAAGCTTCGAGAGATGGAAATTGAATCAGCCTCAGTTAATGGATTAACCAGATAAACTAAAGGGTTAATCTGATTGAATGATAAATCATAAAGTTGATCAGATTATCATTAACACGATCATCATGATTATCAACAGTGGATTAATTTCTCTCTTGTGATTAGCTGATTATTTGATTACTTTTTTCATGTAATCAGAACACATTAGATACACATCATGGTGGAAACATTGTTATTTGATTGTTATCATGATAATTTATTTTCTTCACGTCATTGTTAAGCTTAATTCACTCAACAATCAATTGACTATCATGGGGAGTTACAACAATTTAGTTATTATTATGAATACCTTTTAATATCATCATTAATGTAATCAAATGTTCATAATTGTAATCATAATGTACTTATTGATTTTTGATATTAAATTTGAATAACATTCAATGGAGCGAAATCAATACAATGATTAAGAGATTGATTAAAGTTCTGGTATTGATTATTATTGGAATGATTTGAATTCTGATTCTGTAAAAGTTATAACTTTTATTTCTGATTCAAATTCAATGATATTCCTTTGGTTGATTAACTGATTAATGGTTAAAATTAAATTAGCTCAATTGTATCAATCAAAGTATGAAAACTTATAAGTATGATTGAAGTAATTAAACAAAATATCAGCTAAATTAATGAAAATTTGAAAGGTTTAATTGATATCGATTATTTTTAAATGATTATAATTAATCCATGTAAATGATAAGCTCAACCATTAGAAAGATGATTCTGATTAAATTAACACAATCAATATTTTGTCACTATAATTATGATGAACATGATTAACTGATCAATATGAGACAATTAATGAAATAATTTATTCAATTCGTGAAGCAAATGATTAATTAATTGTAAAAATTGAACGAGAAACTGTTACGTTAATGAAAAATATTAATTCATATTGTAACTGAGTTTTAACAATTTAGTTAATTATCATAATGAATATCATGAAATTGGGAATTATGAAATTATCCCCATGTAAGTCAGATTTTAGATGATGAACTTGATCACAATTGAGATATTATTATATAAGAATTTAAATTGTTATCATTAAAGTAATTTAGTCTATTGAGTAAATTGCAAATGTAGAACATGAATGTCAGCAAGACAATTGAAAAGAAATGAATGATTTGAATATATTTCAGGAATTCTCATGAAATTTGAATTATTTGCAAGAATAAAATTGAATAAAATTTCGAGAGAAAAAAAATTCTGATTAAATTTACGAGCATTTAAATTGTCTGAAGATTTTCAGAATCCATTGGAAATTCCCATGTAATTACCATAATTGTCATGATATCATCTTAATTTCTGTCCCGTAAACTTGATCCATCGAGACAATTAATCAACAATTAACTGTAGACAAAGTTGATCCAAATGAAAATGAATATATCAATGAATTAATTACAATTCCAAGGAATAATAATAAACTCGATTCTGATTTAGTCCAAATGAATACGATCAAAACTAATGAGAAAATACTGACCCTCTCTCTCTCTGAATAGAATCTGAATTCATTTCAATCTGAAAGCTCATGTAAATGGAATTGAATTGAAATTCAGAACTAAGCTAATATGAATCAATATGAATTGATTATGATAATTAAATGTTAAAAGTTTTTCTTTGTTTGATAATAAATAAACAATAAGAAAATAATAGTTTATGTTTACTTTGTTTCTCTATTGTTGATATGGATTCTTTTCAGATGATATGTATCATGGAAAATGTTTCATCTTCATATGGATGAATGGATGAAGATGAATATATATCCCATTTAGATTGAGAACGGAAGATGAACATTTCAGGAGATACACTTGACTATTTCATCATCTTCGTTTTTTTTATCATCCTCCATCTTCTTGTCTCATCAATACATCAAGTAAACATCATTTCCAAGTTCATGGGATTGCAAACACTTGACCGTTTTTCACTCATATTCATTGGTCAGTTATTCAGTTATAGTTACTTAGTTTTCAACGTTACGATCAATTTGTCATCTATTTGATTAAATTGATTGATTATCTGTAATTTTTTATTCACTTCCAGAGTCTACTTTTAACTGCTTGTTAAAAGGTTAAGGTGATTAGGTTAATCATGAATATCGATTGACAAATTTACACTTTGATTTGATAGTTTTTCATTTTTGCTTTAAATTGTATTCTCACAATCATCATCAACAAATTGCATAATTAATTGCTACTGATTAGCTGTTAAAGGTCATTGTTTTATCTGCTCATTTGTTTTCTAATTTTGATCTTTTTTTCCTCTGGATAATTAAAGTTCATTGAATTCTGTATTAAGAAACTTTGATTTATTGGGAAGATTCAAATTATTTAGCCAACGGTAATTGATTTATTTAATTAGATACTTTAACGGTTTACTTTTTGATAGTTTACTTTATTGACCATTGAAATTGATGGAGGTTATAACATGATAATCACCATGAAGATGAAAAAATAAGGAACCACTAATATGAAATCAATGAATAAGTGATAATATGTATTCATATGGAATGATTTTTCATGATAATCTTCAGGAATGAATTAGGATTGATACTTTTTCCTAAATAAACAACATTATCATAGTGAAAATGAAGGTGATAACGATAATCATGGTAGATAAATTCATGGAATCATGAAATTTTGAGGTTAAGGTTTTTTTCTCAACTGAATCAAAAATAAATAACCATAAATTACTTTTAAATCCTTTAATCTTCATGTTTTACAATTCATTTGGATTACATGGGAAGACATTGAATCGATCAGTTTGATGAATTTAATTCATTTCTGCAAACAGGTAAACATTTTCAATCCATTCAGATTCCAGCAATCAACAGATAATTAAATTGTTCCTATTGAAATATTGTTGATTTTTTTTTGATTGTTTATTTTTAATTGTTTTCTCAATGTTTACTCATTTCATTGAATTTGTTTCCATTGTAAAAACAACGGAAACAAAAGTTTTCAATGATAATATCAATTGTTTTTTAATTGGTTTGATTTGTTTTTGCTGGATCAAAATGTTTATCACAATTATTATCAACAATTAATAGCTAGATTGATTCTAATCACAATACATTGTATCAATTGCTGTTTATCTGTGGGAATTTAATTGTGGGCGAGTAATTGATTAGCTGTTGATTATCATGTTCATGATAACTTTTCATATTTGGATTAAATCAAATGATTTAGTTTCTGTTTTTTCTTGTCTCATATTCAATTTACTTGATTAATTGTCTTGGGATTAACTGTTACAATTATCTAACAAACTAACAAATACTATTGAAATTTTGTCTCTTCAACTATCAGAGATCTGATTGAATCTATTTAGTTGATTTGATTTCTTTGAGAATTAAATCATTTACAATCTAATAGAATTGATTGAGATTTTCAAGTGACTGTGATTATTTGAGAATCAATTTATTTCATCTTGATAGAAATACTGAATTACAGTTGAATGATTAGAGAATTGATTTAACTCACTTTGTTGGAATTGAATCAAGATTTGATTGTCGTTGTTTTTCCAGTTCATTCAGCATATTCCGCCATTGAATCCATTCCTTGGTTACTGGATCCAAATTGTAACCGGAACCACGATCATCACCATTTGATTGGAAGGTGAGATCAGATGATGTTGGTAACCAACGAAGTGATGAACAATCAACTAAACTAATGGAAGCAATCAAATAGAGGCAAAGGGTTAGGTTAATCAGATTTAACCAGCAAACGGTTGACAATTTGTAGGATGAATTCATTGTTGACAATTTTTGACTTGAACTTGAGGATAAAATCAAATGAATTTTGGTTTTCCGATTTTATTTTATTTTATTTCTTTTTTCCTTATTATTATTCAATAAGAAATTAGAGAAATTGATTGATTCCAATGATAATTTAACCTTTAATCTTGTTACTTTGTTTATTTCTTGTTCGTAGTTAGGATTTTTATCAATGAAACTGATTAATCAGAATTTATAATTAAAACGAGAAAAACTTAACGAATTAAAGTTAATTGTCTGCAGTTTTGGATAGTATGTTGTTCAAAGATATTCTCACACTGGAATGAACTGAAAACTTGAACACTTAACAGTTAACTAACTTCTGATAATAGTTACTCTTCACTCCAAGTTATCGAACTTACAACTTAGAACTTTCTATATTTCGAGTTGAAAAGGAGGGACTTTAGGTCCAAATTATTTTCTATGGTTGATGCGCAATCAATTCTCATTATTTTATGAATTATTTTTCTTTTTCCTAAACTAACCAAACCTATACAAACATTGATTAAGATTTTATTGTGATCAAATAGATTCATCAAAACAACAATCAAATTATTATAAAAACAGCAGAAATTTTAGTTTTTCTTTCTCTCAACAGATGACACTTTTTCAGAATTTTTGACGAAAACAATTAATTTCAATATAAATTATTGGATTTTAATTTTTTCGAAATAATTTATTCCAATTAGTAAATAAATTGAATAGTTTAAAATAATTTCCATTCATTTTTATCGGTTAATTGTTCTCATTTATTGGAAACTTTAGTTTACATTTCGGAGATTGAAACAGATTTTAATTAGAAAACGATCCCTGAAATTCAGCTTCCGCTATTTCCGTTTTCTGACTCGGTAAGTGTTTGAATTTTTTTTGGTTTGATAACCAATTGTTTGGACAATTAATTAGTGTTTTTTAATTTAATTCTGTGGTGTTTTTGGTTAATTAATTTAAGTATTTTCCTCTAAAGGTAAGTTTGGTCACCTACTTGGTTATTTAAGTTGTTCTTTAAATGGCTTGATTCTGGTTTCTTACACTTACATTGTTTCTTTTTTTACTTTCGGTTTATTTTTTTCTTTAGTTTCCACAATGAGTGATAAGAAGGAAAAGAAACCTAAAGCCGCTCTCCCCGTACAAGCTGAGGTTAAACCAAAAGATGACAAGGAGAAAAAGGTTAAGAAAATTGTGAAAAAACGTGTAGCAGCCAAACCCGGTCGCCTCTACGTCAAAGCTGTTTTCCTTGGATTCAAAAGAAGCCTTCGTAATCAACGTGAACATACCTCATTGTTGAGAATTGATGGTGTTACCAAGAGAAAAGAAGCCAGATTCTATGTTGGTAAACGGTGTTGTTTCATGTACCAAGCTAAGAACAGGACAACCGTTCCCTTAAGAAAAGGAAAATACACAAAGGTTAGATGTATCTGGGGAAAAGTCACCCGAGAGCATGGTAACTCTGGAGTTGTTCGTGCTAAATTCAAGAAGAATTTACCAGCTAAGGCTATGGGAAGACGTATCAGAATTATGCTTTGGCCAAGTTTAATCTAGACTTTGATTAATTTTCTTGATGAACCTCTATAAATTAAAGCTTTGCTTAATTGTAAATGCTTACACATCATTTCATTTTTATTTTCAAATTTCCATCAATTTATTTTGCCTACTTTAGATTAGAGTTACAGAATTTGGATTATAATTGTTTTCTTTCTTGATATAATCCAGATACTTTTTTCTCATTGAAGAGCAAACTAATTTTCTCGAGGTGTACAAAAACGAGCAAAATTTTTCATCTCCAGTTTCCGATGTTTCATCTTCAATGTTCCCAGTTGTCTAAAAACGGCTTCATTAGTCAACCACTCAATCTGATTTAATGTTAATGGACAATCGATCATCTTTTTCGCTATTAATTTCTCCTTAATTGCAAACAATCTTTTGGCAAAACTGTGAGCAAAACTAATCCACAATTTAGGTACTTGTTCACTTCGATATCTCGGTGAAGATACAAGATAACTGGACAATCTAGATGATTGTAATAATGCTCGTTGGTAAATATTCAAGGCGACTGATTGATCATCCAACATACTACAATCAAGATCCCAGGAAAGAATTGAAAGATTTAGATTGCCTGAGGAAACAAAAAGAGAATGATAGATTAATCAAGTTAATTATATTCCAATCGACTTACTAATTAAATTCTTCTTAATGTCAACTTTCGGAGAAAATGGATTACAATGGAAAAAGTATTGACAATTTTCGGTTTGATATTTATCGTAATTGTAACGAATTGTCTTGGAATTAAGATGAATATCTCTTCCCTGGAAGGTGAAAAATTCTGATTGGCAAAGAGGATTAGTTGGAAAAGAGAAATTAAATTGTAACTTTTTCGTGTTAATTTCTAATCCATAATTAGGAAAATCGGATAACATTGAAGTTAAACAATTTTTTGCTCTCTCAAGTGACCTGGAAATGAAGACCATGTCATCTTCGATAATCAATCGACCTTCACCATTTTCCAGGCCAAAATTACCGACAACATTTTCCAATACATGAGTTATGTATAAAGAGCATAAGCCACTTGATAAATTTCCACCTTGACGAATTCCCTTGATTAGTTGATAATATCGATTGGGTCCAAGTCGAAGATAAGGAGTTAGAATGTAACTTCGAAACAGAGCTCGAATATCTTGAAGAAAATATTTGGTCAAAGATCGTTTGGGAACGACGACACAATTTTTTCTATTATTAGAAAGGTTATTGATCAGTTCGGTAAATTGTGTTCGACTTTCAATACTAAAGTGATGCTTTTTCACTTGTAATTTGGTGACGAAAGGTTTTACCAGATCGAACTCTTTGATCTTTAGTGGATCTTTTGTTGATGCATTGGAAAATTTTCGATCAAGTTTATCACAGAGTAAATCGAACAATTTACCTTGATCAATGGATGGATAACAATTAACAATGTCCACCCTGACAAAGTACAATTTAGATTCTTGAGATGAGTTCATGATCTCTTTTAAAGTGATCATATTTTGTCGATGTCTTTGAGCAGCCGAATGGTCAACAAGTCGACCCAAGAAATAAGACAAAATTTGAAGACACGAACGAGTCTCGTTTTTACCAGCCTCGACTCGAAGTTTGTTGATTACTCGTAACTTATTAGAACAAGGTATGAATCGAAGATTTGAACTTCGAAGTAAAAGTTTGTCCAAACGAGTCTCTTGTTTAATCTCTTCAATACTGACCGGTTTAAGTTTTTTCTCTTTGGTCAACTTATTGAGAAATTTATCTTGAATACTATTCCAAACAGGATAAGAGTAAAAGTGTAATTTGAAATTTGTTGATTCGGTTATGTAGAAATGAGCTTTCAATAGATTAATGAAATAATCGACTAACCAAATCATGAAAAGATCAAAAAAATATTTCTTCCTGTGGTTACACTTTAGATCGTTGAGCCAGGAACATGAATTAAGATCTAAATTTTGTGGTGTGAAATTTTTTATCATGAATCGTAATTTAGATCCACTGGTTACCAGTAATTTCAATCGATCGAAAATACCTTGACAATTAGAACGTGAACCGAAAAGATTTCGAGGGAAAAGGTAATAGTAAACGCTGTACATAAACGCGATCACTTGATTGTGATTAAATGATCTTCTTAATGAGCTCTGAATGGCCTCCGAAGTGTCCAAACAAATGTCTAAATCGACGGGATGACAACATTTGTTCATCAGGAACTTGAATTTACATCGTTTATTCCGTTTAATCGTTTCATCCATGATTTCTACCAATGGTTCAAATGAAAGTTCATTTTTCAGTTCGATATCTACCGAGCTGAAAATCCGTGACAGAAGATGACGAGGTGTAGTTTCTAAGTGACTATTAAAATATCGATTGGTTTGTTTACCATAAAGAAATTTCCTCTTTGTAATAACTGAAGTTTGTTGATTAGATTTAATGTACTTTTGGCACCAATTATCACAATTTAAACTTGTTTTCTTCAAAGGTTGTGGACAGTCCAAAGTTTCGATTGGCCTTTTCAACGAGTTTTTCTTAGCGTTGTTTGTTTTTGGTACTTGCAAAGGTGTTTCCTTGTTCCAGACGAAATCACAATAATATGGTCCAGTTCGTTGAAGAATGAATGATTCATCGACAATCTCGAAAAATGAACAGACTCGGATTAAGTAATTGATGGAAGAAGAATCAAGCATCCGAATGAATTTACACATTGGTGGATTGGAGTAATAAGAGAAGACATAATCTGGCCTGATGGAGTTCGCGGTGATCACAGGCGATTGATAATAAGCACCAAGACGAGCCTTAAGGACTTCTTTTAAAGCGTTTTGATCAACTGGCTTGGAAATCGGTTTGATTCGGTTAACATCAATAACCGATTTAGATGTTAACAATACGGAATCAAGAGATGAGAAAACATTGACATTTAATTTTGATTCCAGTCCAGTTTCGCGTATTAATTGCGTCACGGGAATCACGGTAAGATAATATTGGTGGAAATGTTTCAAATTAAGATCAGGTTGATTCTCGCTTTTAGAGGTGGGGTCATTAGAAGTTGTTTGAGAATCACAAATCATATTGATGGGTTGAAGAAGAAACTTGAACAATAATTAAATTTGTAACACTAATAATTTTCAAACATAAACATTTGCATGTGTTTCCAAAACAACGGAAATCTCAAATCTCAATCACAACCTTGTGGCTCCATCTTAAAAAAGTGAAGCTTAGGATTAAAGGGATAAGAGGATAAAGATTTACTTTACTAAAGTATTTTAGTTTGAAAGAAGATGATGTGTGAAACTTTGAATTATTTTATCAAATGGATTGAGGATAACAATGAATTGTTGATTAAGTAAGATAAGTGAATGAGTTGTCTTTTTCTGCTAATATCAATTGGAGTAAACTTTTCTTTTTTCTTTCGATTTGTTCTTTTGTGATCTGTTTCCTCTTTCTTTTTCTTTAGCACATCTTAATCTCTTTTTCTTTCTTTCTCCTCTTCCGTTCTCTTTCTGATTGTTGAGAGCGAGGAAAATTTCGTTTATGAAAGGAAAAAAATGGAATATATTTTGTTCTAATCAACAATTTAATCCTAGAAATAACCTCAGGATTTGAAATTGGTCATCAACCAAGTTAAACCTTCATACAGTCCATCTCCGTTCGGGGCACAAGATGGTTGGACAAACCAGTTTCTTTGGTTAAAAGCAGCGACATTTAAACCTAATTTATCTTGAATTTCTGATGGCTTCATAGCTGAAAAGAATAAGAAAAAGACAAAGACAAAAAAAAATTCAATTAGTAATAGTTAAGCAAAGGAGAGAGAGGAAGGAAATACATTTGATTATTAACTCATTTCCATGAAGGATATTTCTATTAACAGTGATTAGAAATAATTAATAAATCGAGAAACAAGTAAGGATAACTATTACCTTAATTTCTAACAAATTGTTTCTTTTTAAACTGCATTGTTATAAGTCATTTTGTAATCGTTTGAAGGTAAATGTTAGTTTTCATTGATTCTTATTAATTATTAGTATCATTTTATAACATTAAATCTTAATTCTAAAGATTATCAAAAGATGAGAGAACTGTAAACTGTATTCGGTTTGTAAGAGAAATCAAATGAAAAGATCTATTGAATTATGAATAAAATAAAGATAATTATGATAATATGATTACAGAAACTTTCTTTCTGTAAGAGTTAAAGCCGAATATCAAATGACAATAATAGGGATGATGATACACATATTATTCATGTAATGTAATGTCTCCAATCATTTGTAAAATTGAGGAAACAAAAAAAAAGCGATAGAGATCAGTAACAATTAGTGGATGGAGAGGTGAGATTAGCAACTATTATTCATTTACTATTGAAAGACTGGAAATGAGTAGCAAAAGGATGAGGTAAAAGTTGAATGTTAAGCTCATTCATCAGTTGATTGTGATAGAGGTAAAAAAAACACTTACCATCTGGGAGATCCTGTTTATTGGCAAAAATTAAAATAATAACATCTCTCATCTCTCTATCGGTTACAATTCGGTATAATTCTTGTCTTGCTTCGTCTATTCTGTCCCGATCTGATGCGTCGACTACAAAAATTAAAGCTTGAGCTCCAATATAATAATGCCTCCAAAGAGGTCGAATTTTTTCTTGCCCACCAACATCCTATTGATAGAGTAAAAGAAAAAGGAGAAAAAAAAGAAGAAGAAAATTAGTGATGTGAAATGGTTGACAGAAAAAAAGAACAAATAAATTTTAAAATGAGAAAACAACTACAACTTAAGATAGTTGTAGAAGCTTTTAACAAGTAATACATAAAGAGAGAAAAACAAAACTCGATATGATTCAACATATACTTGATAACTTTCCAATTAGTTCATTTATGAATTATTATTATCAATGTGATTTGATAAATTAAGAATACATACCCATACACTGAATTTAACTTTCTTATAAGTGACTGTCTCCACATTGAATCCGACAGTTGGAATGGTTGTAACAGATTGATTTAACTTTAATTTATACAGGATAGCTAGAGAGGTGGAAGAAAAAGATAGACAATTAGAGTTAAATCAGTCAACGCACACATAGATTAGGGTGGAAAATTTTTATATAATTAGAGCACTTTAAATCCAAGTCATTTTTTATATGGTTAAAACTATAAACAAAACCATAGAGAAAGAAAAAGAGAGAGAGAAAGATAAAAGAGAATAGAACAAAATGAAAATGGAAAATAAAAATAATAGAAAATAAAAAAACGTACTTGTTTTGCCGGCCGCATCTAAACCGAGCATTAATATTCTCATCTCTTTATTGCCAAATATTTTGGACAATAATTTACCCATGATGGTTATTTAAACTAATTAATACTAATAGACACTTAATTAAGAAACATTGGTAGAATGAGTTGAAGATTGTTAATTATTTTTAATCAGCGAAAGGAAAAGAAAATTTTGTGACAATCAGCTGAAAAGAACATTTTCCTCCACCAGATGGCTCTGCCTTCGCTTCGAAATTAGCGCCATCTGTTAGTAGTCATGATAATGTTTTCTTTTTCTCTTTCTTTTTATTTTGGTGAATTTGGATTTCGATTCATTTAAATTTCAATTGTAATTTAGTTAATTTTACTTTATTGTTTTACTTTATTGATTTGATTGTTCTTTATTTTTATCCAATTTGTGGATTCAATTGATTAGTTAACTATGGAATCTTCAGAATCAGCTGATGATTTACCTAAGGGTTGGCAACAAAGGAAAAGTCGATCAACTGGACAAGTATATTATTTGAATATTTACACGAAAGAGAGTCAATGGGAGAAACCAACATGCGAGGCGAGTACTAAAGATGATGAGAAAATCCGATGTTCTCACCTATTGGTTAAACATAATGAGAGTCGTCGACCATCTTCTTGGAGAGAAGATACAATTACTCGGACTAAAGAAGAAGCTATGGAAATTGCTGGAAAATATCTCCAACAAATAGAATCTGGTGAAAAAGAAATGGAAGATTTAGCTTCAGAATTTTCCGATTGTTCTTCTGCTCGGAAAAAAGGTGACCTGGGCTACTTTACTCGTGGAGCGATGCAAAAGCCATTTGAAGATGCTGCCTTTGCTCTTTCAGTTGGTGAGCTCTCCCAGCTTGTGGAAAGTGCATCAGGAATTCATATTATCAAACGAACTGGTTAAACAAACAATCACCTTGATCTTGGAAAAACAATGAACCTTTTCAAGAGCCCAATATAGCAATATGTTCATCATCATTATGTTTGTTTACTTTTCCTTTTCTTTTCCCAAGTCTAGCATAACAATTCTCAAACAAAATACTATGTTAAATTGATCTTTCTTTCTCGTTCTATCTCTTTCTCTCTCTTAATCTGGATCTGTTGATGTTCCAAAAAAAGTACTGAATCCAGAATTATTCCAATAATAATCTGTTAAAATCAAAACTCAAAACAGACTAACAATCAAATACATAAAAAAAATTGTAAGTGTTATCCCTTGACCATTTATAATATTAGTTGATTGGTCAATACATTTTTTTAGTGCCCCAACTGTGAGTACACATAAAATGCCAAAAACAATCAGAAAAAAAATTTAGTCTGTATTAGATTTAAAAATGAATTGAATCAATTAACTTAATGTCTAAAATGTATCTTCCAATCTGATGATTGTCAGTTAACAACAACAATTAACAAAAAATAAATCGAGTTAATCTTTTCCTCTGAATACATTTAAATTTAGCGCCTTTCGCTTTATCCGGTGAAGTCTCTTGTTGTTATTGTGATCAATTGATTTCTATTCTGAGTTAAAGTCGATCTGTTTTCCATTTAATTTTGTTCCAATTAACTTGTTTAGATTCGTTCTTTTTAAATATTTAAAATGCATGATAAAGGAAGACGAAACAATCGAGGTAATTTCCACCGACACACTGGAGGTTATCATAGTTATCCAAGGCCACCTTTTGATATTTACATGGTGGAAGATTATTTTCCTAAGGTAACCCCTTCCAATGAAATCGACAGCGCTCTTACTCAGGTAAATTAAACTTAATTCTTTGTTAATTGTTGACATTTTTGACATCAATTTATTCTCATACTGATGATGTATTGTTTCTCTTGTTAATTCTCTTTATTTTTGTTTTTCTTGTCTTTATATTTCAGGCAATTCTCAAACGAAATGGTGATCTTACTCCAACACCTGAAGAACAAACCAATTTAGTTAATCTTGTTTCCAAGACTCAAATGGTTCTTGAAAATTTAGCTCTTTGTCCGGGTACTTTTGATGCTTGTGTAAGTTTTGTATTGTTGAAAAAGAAATGGAGATTATTGGTTATTCTGATTTTTTATCTCTTTTGTTTCTACAGCAAATTGAGGAAGTGAGATGTATTGGATCGTTCAAAAAGGGAACAATGATAACTGGAAGAAATTTAGCCGATCTTGTTGTCATTCTGAAAACTTTACCCGTTTTAGAAGCAATTAAAGCTTTAGGTACTAAGGTTATTGAGGAATTAATGAAAATGGAATCGGGTGTTATTGTTCAATCAGAAGTTGTCGAAGGAGGATTTGATGTTGTCAATAGATTGAACAATGCGACTGTAAGATGTTTGATTACAACTATCCCACCGAATATGAGAAAAATTGATCCATCAATTCATTTGTCGGTGAAAATGTTACAAAAACACATGTCAGCGATTCGACATGCTCGTTGGTTCGAGGAATCAGCAAATCTAACCACAGTTAAGGTTCTGATTAGAGTTTTGAGAGATGTTTGCAATCGATTTGATGGGTTTGCTGCTCTTTCTCCTTGGATGATTGATGTTCTAGCTCATTATTCTGTAACATTTAGACATCATCAACAATTATTACCACTTAATTGCGCCTTCAAGCGAGTTCTCCAATTACTTGCAGGAGGCTCGTTCTTACCTGGATCAACTGGTATTCCTGATCCTTGTGAAAATGGAACGACCTCACTTCATGCTGGTCTCACTTTGGTTCAACAAGATTCCATTTGTATGACAGCGCAAACTTTACTTCGAATCCTTTGTTACGGTGAAGGTTACAAAGTCATTCTCGGTCTTGAACCCGATGTTTATGGAATCACAAACAACATGTCCGTATGGGATTCAGTGGTTGTCGCACCAAGTAACGCAGCCTTTGAATTGCCCCTTAAAGACGATGAGACGGAAACCGAAATGGCAGAAATACCAATTGACATGAAACCCAAATCAATCTCTCCCACATCGGCTTGAATCATCTCATAATCACAATCATACTCATACTATTTACAGCATTTGTATACAAAAAGTATTCACAGTCAATCAAAATGAAATCAAACTTGATTTTTATCTAAACTTTTTCTTTGACTTTTAATACAACTAAAAAAATCACTTAATCTTTTTCTCTTGACGAGCTTTCCATTCATAATACGAATCGGGTGGTGCAATATCTTTACCAGGGGTTTGACCGAATTCCCTGAGGAAAGGTTTCTCGATGTCAGGTAAATAATCGAGAACCGGCTTAGCATGAGGTGGGAACCACATGAATCTCTTTTGCTTCTGTTTCTCAGTCAAATAATCAGCATCTAAATCTTGGTTCCATTTTTCAAGTTCCTCTGGCTTGTACTGTTTATAGTAACCAAGATATTTCTTCGGTAATGGGCAAGTACCTGAACATGGAACTTGACCTGAAAAAGAACAATAAATAAATAAAAGAATTAGTTACAAAAAGAACTTGATAAAAAACAATGAAACGATTAAAGAAACTGATTCAATTCAATTTACCTGCAACTTCACATATACAAAATTGTTTCTTGTTGAAACCAAACTGAGCTGGATTATCATAATCTTGGGCATCTTTGGCTCTAGCAGATTCCAATTTCAATCTATCCTTAGATTTACCAAGAATTTTTGTCAATTGAGTTACAATCTCGTATCGGGTTTTCTCATAACAATCAAAGAGAACAGTTTTCCCATTATCAAGCCAACATCTTATAAATGGATTAGGAGTCATGTCTAAGAATCGGATGATTTGAACATCAGGATTTGCAAACTGGATTTGAGGAACATTCCAAAAGTGAAAAGCATTTAATCCATCATGTGGATTGCCGTATTTAATTAAATGTTCAACCGCGTATCTCCTCGGGTACCAATTACAGTGAATCTCAACAATTTTCACTCGGTCTTTGAATATAAGAGATCCTGATTTCAGGTAAGGAAGAGTCCGTCTAATGGGACCAGCACCTTTTAAAAAAGGCATAATCGAAACGAAGATTAAAACACTTTAAACTATCACAAGTAATTTAATTCACTTTAACAATCAAATCAACTTCACAATTTTAGTAAACAAATGATTGAAATTCATTGAAATGCTTTCGCTTTGAGTCTGCGCAGATCATTTATTTACTTTTGTGCTTTGGGGTTTTCTTCATTTTTGTTGAGGTTTTTACTCCTGAAATTGGACCGGAATTACCTAGTTAAATGGATCGTTTCATTTTTTTAATCAGTAAATTTCGTTAAAACTAGTGCTAGTGAAGGTAAGAATATATACAGCCAAAGACTTTGAGTTTGCAACCACTTTTTACATCATTCACGCAGTCAATGATAAGCAAGTAAAGATAGCTTTTGATATCTAATCAGTTGACCATTTTAAGACTACGTCACTTAAATTAGTGGACAAACTTATCATCATATCTCTGGGTTAACTTTATCTCTCATTGATTAGATTCAATTTGGGCAACTATATTATCAATCTCCATGTTAATTTTTTCTGAAACATTTTGGTTATCACTTTCATCTTGATTTAAATCAATAGATGCTTGTATAATAGGTTGATCTATTACAGTTGAATTATGATTTGTTGTTTCGATTTGATTTTCAGAATCGGTTTTCGTAATTTCGTCAACATTTTCATAATTGTTTTCACATATTTTTGAAATAGAAAGATCTAACTGGTAGCTAATTATTGTTGTTGATTGTTGATGAGGAATATCAATTCTTGGTGAATCAAATATATGATTAATTGATTTCGTTGTCCGAAAAGGATTACTTTGAATTGTTGGAAGATAAAGTAGTCGTTGATTTGATGATGTTGTTAATGGATGGAATGAATTTGTAAGTGATTGAGTTGATATTGGTGTTGGTACACTCGAGTACTTTTTTATTTTAAGCTTTAACAGCGACCTCAGGGGAGGCTCGATGAATTAGAATTCATCGTTTCCGGTAATGACGACCGTACCAGGGAAAGGGGAAAAAGGGACAAGGAAGGGAGTAATTGATGAGGAAAAGAAAACAATACAATAATTAACAATTTTTCTCCCCTGAGGTCGAATACAAATTTGAGATAAAATTTAAAAATAAAATTTAGTCACAATGGACAAAATGTCCTTTCAAAACAAATGGACAAAATGTCCTTTCAAAACAAATGGACTAGAGTCCTTTCAACACAAATCCCATTAGGGCTTTTATAAATATTATTAATTGAGTGGTTAGTTTGATTGTCCAAAGTCCAAAAAACGGTTAACTCATTAAGTATGAAACGAAAAAAAAGAAATAATAATAAACAAATAAAATTAGAATTTCAATCTAATCAAAGAAATAGAGAAAAGAAAATTGAATCAGATTATCAACAAAACTTACCAAGAAAAAGAAAATGGTTCAAGTTATTACGACGCAATAATAGCTCAGTTTTTAGAGTAACAAAATTAACTAAAGTAACTGTTGAATTATCATAATTTTGGTATCAACTTGATCCGTATGATAAGATAAATAATAATAACATAAAATTGAATTTTAAATTCACAGGTAAAGTAAATTAAATTAAAGTTTATCAGGAGCCTAAAAAATCATGTACTGACTTAAGGCAACATCTAAGTTCCCATCGCCATCTATCGGATTGAAGCTTTTTCTATGGTGAAAATAAAAAAAATCTAAAAAACGCTAGATGGCGATAGTGAGGTTTCTTTAATTGAGTTTCAGAAAATGTTGCCTTAAGTCAGTACTCAAGTGTATTGATATTGGTGGATGTGGTGAATTTTCATTTATTTTTATAATTGGTGATAGTTGATTTGATGATGTTAATGAATTTGATGTAACATTAATTGTTGACAGTGTAGATAAATTTGTCATATTATTTTCTAATGCCATACATGTTTCTATTGAAGATTTTATAGTTGATTCCTCGCCAAATAAATCGTATTGTTGAATAATTGACTTTTCCAATTAGGAGTCTAGTTGTAATTCGTCATATACTTGTTGTTGGTTGTGATAAACATCCACTGTTAACGCTTTAGCAATTTTTCATCTTTTGATGACCATCCAAATTTTGGTGGTGTTGTTTCTTGTGATTGTTCTTCAACTGGATTTATTTTGTTTTCGAAACATGTTTCGATATAAGTATTTACCTGTAATAACGAAATTTGGTCGAGATCCAAAAAACGGTATTGACTATTTTGACTCGAAGCAATTAAATGGGCTTTAATAGTGCAGAAAACTGGTTGTAACCATTTTAAATGTAACGCAACCAGGTAACAACTCTCACATGGTACCTGGTTTCTTCTGTTGGCTAATTTATTGCTGATAAAGATGATGATGCTGAAATATAGAGACAAGTTTTTCTCCCTCTTTACCAATAAAATGGTCATATTTCGGCCATTTTAAATCATGGAGAACTAATAATAAACATGTATTATTATATTAAAAGTGAATTTCCTTCATGATTGGCACCCTTACGGGGATAAGAGAGCTGTAAGGAACCCAACATGGTGATTGGGAAACATTCGAAACCAATTTGAATGAAGCTGTGGCCAAACTAAATAGCGAAGGTCGAATGAAGGGCGTTTTAGCTTTACCTGACCGCTGGAAGCGCGTAATTACAGCAGAAGGAAACTTTATTAGTAATTAACATTTTCACCAAATTTCATCAAAATCTTCAAAAAAATAACAAAGTTACAGCGCTTTTAAAACGGTTCGTCTTGCCCTGGACAACCTAATATATAAACATAATTAAACAAATCTGCATACAAATCTGCAGACGATTGTTTATTGGTCAAAGTGAGTAAATTTTCCAATTCACAAAATAATTTTCTTTCACCAGTGATAACAATGATCTAAACGAAGTCAGTGAAGACTCTTTGGTTCACTTCTCATGAAATTTAACTTCTGTTAGATAATTTTAGCATTTCAACAGTGAAATATTTTTCAATTTTGAGATTATTCTTACTTTTAAGTCAAATTTTCTTTCCACTCAGAATTAACAATTAAATAGTTAGTTACGACTCACAAGAAGCGATCCTATAAAGAGACTAAGGTCATTCGTTTTAGTGTATTGCAAACAATCCAGTGGAATTTGGTCTAGAAAACGAAGTCAGTGAAGACTCATTTTAGTTACATTTTGTCAGTTAAGACAAATTTATTAACCTTAATTCAAGTCAGTGAAGACTAAGAATTATATAGACATCCTAGATTCACTGAAAGCTCTATTGATCTGCCCTTTCCTTTAGAAATTGAATGTTTGACCTTAGATAAATTCTCTTGCCTTAAGAAATTTACTACAATTTCAAGTTTTATTAAACGAATAAATTCAACCTTCTTTTGACTTTGAATTGTATTATCTTTATCAGTTCAACAATCAGTTGCTTCAACAGTTAATCTAGATAACTAGTAAGTGTTTACTCCTGATCAATTAGCAAATGAATTTTTCTCTCATCTCTCAATTACAATGACTTCTAGACCTGAACCTTTGGATTCTGATGCCAATGATAATCAGTTTAGTCAAGCAAATCAAGCAAATCAAGTTAATCCACCAATAATGAGTGTTAATCTTTCGGGCCTATTAAAAAATCATGTGACTATTGAACCTTTTAAGGGTGAAAATGAAGATGTTATCGACTGGGTACTACAATTAGAATTAGCATCTCTAGCTTTAGGTTTAAGCGCTGAGGAAATGTTTAAAAGTATCCCCTTTTACCTTCAGGATTCAGCTTGTCGCTAGTACAACATCATCTTCAGCTCTTATGGTGCCAGTGAAAAACCTCAGATTTATGAAGAATTAAGAAAAAATGATTGTAGGTCTTTGCCCAGCTGATTATAGAACTCACTTCTCTCAACAGCTTAACAATAGTAAACAGAGACCAGGTCAACCAACAACAAGTTTCATCTATGAAATTGTATAACGTGATTAGAAAGGAAATAAATGATTGCTCATGGCGCTGAATAGTCTAGATAATTAAATAGAAAAGGGAAATAATAAAATCGTCCAGTCAATTAAATAAATTGAGCACAGAACTAATTAGGTTAGTAACTCAATCAATCACGAGAATTGATAAATCATTAAGAAATCTTGAAAATACATTAGATAAATGAACGAATAAAGCTCAATACTAATTGGATCATCCTTAGAATTAATCAGATTCCATCAATCACTACAGAATTAATTAAATTGAATCATATTGAAAATTAATCAAGTTGAATCATATTGAGAATTAATCAAATAACAAGAATACAAATAAAATAGAAACAATGGTAAGACTACTATACCCCCTTTCAAATCGTCTCAAAATTTTCTGTGTAATAACCTTTGACATCTTGGTCAACATTTAGTTGGTGTGTGCGAATTGTTTGTTTATGTTAAAAATCAACTGAAAACTCAATGTTTTCAGTTAATTACTTTGAGTGAATACAATTAACTAATTGTGTCTGTATATTGATCAGTCATGTTTTTGATGCTCTTCAAACTGATATAAGTTTGATTATTGTAGTCAAAAGATTAAGCTAAAAGTTGGGTGATTATGATGAGTCTCTGTGTTAACTCAATGGGGAAAATTTGAATACCAGTGAATTGATGATGTCGATGATTAAATGAAATAATTTTGATTAATTAAGTAAATTAAGGTAATAATTAAGGTTAATAATTGTTGATATAACCAACAGATCCAATTAATTTACGAATCCTTTCAATTTATCGAGAAAGTGAGTAACAATAGTCAACCAACAATTAAAACAATTAGCTATGGTTAGATTGATTAACAAATTTACTAAGCAGAAAGAGTAATTTATTTAAATCAAGGATTTTGTTTATTTGTATTCTGTTTCTGTAACCGGAAAATCGAGGAAAAAGATCAAACGAATAAAAAATTGATTCAGATGAAGTAGTATGAAAACCTTTGCTTGTGACTCACCCAGAAGCGGAAGGGGGGAAAAACTTTTCATAAAACTTTTTTTGTATAAAAATCAAAAAACCCGCCATCACCACCTGTTGCTGAGCAACATTATGCAACAATATTTTTCTACCTTTTTATGAGTGGTATTTCCTCACAAGTAATCTTTCTTAACCGCAAAATCAACTTAAGGTTAATTTTAGTTTATGTTTTAAAATATAA